TAACAAAATGTGGAAAAAGTCAAGGAGTCTGAATACTTTTCCGAAGGCACTGTATATATATATGTGACACGTATTAATGCCAAAATAACATGCAAAACAGGCAACAAAAAATAAATAAATATATTATTTTTTTGTTGTTGCCTGTTTTGCATGTTATTTTGGCATTAATACGTGTCACACACACAACTATATATATATATACAGTGCCTTCGGAAAAGTATTCAGACTCCTTTACTTTTTCCACATTTTTCTAAAATTGATAATTGTATTTGTTGAATGTTTTGCATGTTATTTTGGCATTAATACGTGTCACATATCAGTTTGCAAACAACGTTAACAAAAATAGATAATAAAATAGATTTAATAAAGCTTTCTTGAGTAAGGCAGCTCCAAAATGCAGGTGTTTCAGCCTAGCTCAGTGCTTTCTGTGGTGGTGGGGCAGCCAGCGGAAAATACAGAGCGTAGAGGTTGATAATGTTCTCTAGTTGCGTCGTGATTGGCTCAGTGTTCTGTCACTCATGAGGACACTATGTCACCAAAAAATCTACGGGGAGAGCTCGAAAATTCAAGCCCCCTTGGGTGCTGCCATAGAGTTACATTAGAAGTGCTCATCCAAGAAGGCTCAAGGTCATTGGCCACAGATAAGATGAAGTCAAATCACGTTATATGTACTGTAGCTTTGATTGGACTGATCATGTCAACATCATACTTTCAAAATCTTAGCTAGCACGCTAGCAGTCATCATCATGAATCAATTCGACAATCTACTGGCAAATCCTTTTCAATCCTTGTCAGAGAATTTGCAAACGAAGGACCACCACGCCACCTTCCTGTTCAAGTGAGCACAGCACAACAAGGTGAGTCCAAAAATGTATTGTATGCTGCTGCATAAATGATGTAATATGCCAGGGAGATATTATACTGTAGCTAAGAAAGTAATACTAAGTGTATGTTGTGTAGTAAGCTGTTAGTAGCCCATGTGCCTCACTAATAATTTGGTCCCTTTTCCCTTCATAACTTTGCCTACTGTTCTGACTTGGTGATGCACATTCAGCCTTTAGCCTGTTTTGGAGAAATGTAATCATTTGAATATTGTAAGAGCTTTCATTGTCTGTTTAAATGCCCCCTTTATTTATCATACGGTTCTGACTTGGTGTACAGGGAGAATACTGTAAGAACGGCCCATGTTCTGAATTCTGTCGCTGTACATTTCAAAAGTGCTGAACAAAGAGTTATATTGACTACGTCCGTCCTAGCTCGCTCTTTAATATCTTAATCGAAATTGCGGATTGCCTCTTATTCTTGTTTAAGCAAGTCAGCCATATCAGCTATGTTGTTTTAAAAGGCAGTAAATGAGGCTGAATTAACTGTTTCGCTGCCAGACAAGGCTCCGTTGATAGCCAGGTGTAGCAGTGGTAAGGTTTTGGGACTGCTGTTGGGACTCTGCTGTTGGGAGAGCTTTATGTAGGCCCTAAAAGTTTGTGGCCACCGTTTGTCACCGTTATAGTGCAATTCATGTATTGTTTAGTGTTGTGTTGTGTAGTGGCTTTGCTGGCATGCATCATATTTTTGGGGGGGGAGTTTGCCCCACCAAGATTTACATGCTAAAATCACCACTGAGCAATGCAATATGTAATGTATGTATTGCATTGTGAAAACGAATCCCTAACCCTTACCTAACCAGTCCTTAGCATAACCACTTTAAAATGTCAACTTCAATGGGGTCGGACTATCCCAAGGATCGTGGATAGCACTAACCTAGCTAAATGGACCTACCCCTTTTGGCTCAAGAGCACCCCTAAAGGCAAAAGTTCGGTACATAATGTTTTATAGTATGATTGGTTCTGATACTTTTCACTCACTGGACTTTGACCAATCAGAGGCGACCCAAACAAAGAGAGGCAAGCGGGAAACTTTGAGCGTCGTGTGCTTCCACCTGTGTGAAGCTAGCCACAATAAGGATTAGCCAGAATGGTGGAATTTGAGGTTTGCCTTCAACGTTAAAGTCCCCCATTGAATGGGATTAAAATTTATATGAATAGCAGAATCATTCCATATTTGTACTAGATAATGCTAAACAAGCTCAAGTACAAATCTGTTGAAATCTGATGGTGGCTGTAGTAGACTATAAAATTGCATTGGGTGCATACTTCTATGCACTGTACAGCCTTACCTATGGATCTTGGGTCCATGAAATGGGTTATCAGCCTACTCAGTGACACCCACAGATTACAATTCTGAAGAGTTTACACAAATATTAGCGTCATAGCTCGTATGAAGAAACTTTAACTGTGGGAAATCACCTCACTATCAAATCAAAATTGTCCCATGCTTCGTAAAACAACAGGTGTGAACTAACAGTGACATGCGTACTTACGGGCCCTTCCCAACAATGTAGAGAGAAAACAAATAGAGAAATAATAGAAAAGTACAACACGTAATAATAAAGGTAATAATTAATTCACAATGTGGTCCTCTGTAGCTCAGCTGGTAGAGCACGGCGCTTGTAACGCCAAGGTAGTGGGTTCGATCCCCGGGACCACCCATACACAAAAAAATGTATGCACGCGTGACTGTAAGTCGCTTTGGATAAAAGCGTCTGCTAAAATGGCATTTATTTATTTATTTACAATGAGTAACAATAACTTGGCTATATAAAGGGGTACCAGCGCCTAGTCGATGTGCAGGGGTACGAGGTAATTGAGGTAGATATGTACATATAGGTAGGGATAAAGGGACAGATAGTAAACAGTATCAGCAGCGTGTGTGATGAGTCAAAAAAGTTAGTGCAAAAAGTGTCAATGCAGATAGTCCAGGTAGTTATTTGGTTCACTATTTAACTAACTATTTAGCAGTATTATGGCTTGGGGGTAGAAGCTGTTCAGGGTCCTGTTGGTTCCAGACTTGGTGCATAGATACTGCTTGCCCTGTGGTAGCAGAGAGAACAGTCTATGACTTGGGTGGCTGGAGTCTGACAATTTGTAGGGCCTTCCTCTGACACCGCCTGGTATAGAGGTCCTGGATGGCAGGGAGCTTGGCCCCAGTGACGTACTGGGCCGTATGCACTACCCTCTGTAATGCATTGTGGTCGGATGCCAAGCAGTTGCCATACCAAGCGGTGATATAGCCAGTCATAATGTTCTCAATGGTGCAACTGTATAACTTTTTGAGGATCTGATGGCCCATGCCAAATCTTTTCAGCCTCCTGAGGGGAAAGAGGCATTGTCGTGCCCTCTTCACGACTGTGTTGGTGTGTTTGGACCATGATAGGTCCTTAGTGATGTGGACACCGAGGAACTTGAAACTCTCGACCCGCTCCACTACAGCCCTGTTGATGTGGATGGGGGCGTGCTCGGCCCTCCGTTTCCTGTAGTCCACGATCAGCTCCTTGTCTTGCTGACGTTGAGGGAGAGGTTGTTGTCCTGGAACCACACTGCCAGGTCTCTGACCTCCTCCCAGTAGGCTGTCTCATCGTCATCGGTTATCAGGCCTACCAGCGTCATGTCGTCGGCAAACTTGGCCACACAGTTGTGGGTGAACAGGGTGTACGGGACTAAGTATACACCCCTGAGGGGTCCCTGTGTTGAGGGTCAGCGTGGCGGATGTGTTGTTGTCTACTCTCACCACCTGGGGGACAATACACACAACTATTTAAAAAATATTTTTAGTAATTTAGCAGACGCTCTTTTCCAGAGTGACTTACAGGAGCAATTAGGGTTAAGTGCCTTGCTCAAGGGCACATCGACATATTTTTCACCTAGTCGGCTCGGGGATTAGAACCAGCGACCTTTTGGTTACTGGCACAACGCTCTTAACCACTGAGCTACAACAGGCTGAATAGTGAAGTGATTTCCCACAGTTAAAGTTTCTTAACATGAGCTACGACACTAATATTTGTGTAAACTCTTCAGAATTGAAATCTGTGGGTGTCACTGAGTAGGATGATACTCCATTTCATGGACCCAAGATCCATAGGCAAGGCTGTACAGTGCATAGAAGTATGCCTACACTGCAATTCTACAATCTAATTCAGCCACAGTGCGATTTCAACAGTTGTTTTATTGTCTAATTATTGTCTTTTGTTGAATTTATATTTCAACATTCCGACCTTGTTTAGCATTATTTAGTCAAATTATGGCATGATTTCACTATTTGTATCCGTTTGAATTACTTTCAATGGGGGACTTATATTTTGAAGGCGAACTGCAAATTCCACTATTGTCGCTAATCATTATTGTGGCTAGCTTCACACAGGTACCTCTTTCTGGCAAAGGTTACCACAACCTCTCACTATAGTTGGAATATTTTTAAACCAGTTAGCTAGCTAAGCAAGACATGCCGTTGTTCTATACATGTGATAACGCAAGTAGAATTTACATTTCGTGGGGATTTGTGAACTGCTGAAAGAAAGTAGCAAGGTAAGCACAAGCGTATCAACTTAGTTAGCTTGCGAACGCTACTTGTTTTAGTTGGCTAACGTAAACTGAATCAAAGAGAGAAGCTTGTTAGCTAGCTAACTAGCTGGCTGTAAGCTGTGCTGTTATCAAAACTTAACCTGCAGCTAGCTAACTAATGATAGAAACGTTGACAAGTTTAGTGCCTGTATAACCTCCTTAGCCGACTAAACTCAACCCCACGATTTACCGATGGTTGGCGACAAGTGTGGGCGGACTGGAGCTCCAATGTCAAATAAAATGATTTCTGATTTCAGTAATCAAAAGAAAAGCCCACAATTACACACGAGATTGTTCTGATTGCGGACAGTTCTTTGGATGCTGAAAGCAGTAACGTTAGTTTCGGATAACTTCGTTTTATGACGGTAGAGCTCAGTCTGCCCAACACTAGTCGCCGCTCAACTCCATCGTAAATCGTTTGAGTTTAACCTATGAGTTAACTAGTAGCTTACTACATCTATGGTTCGTATCGAAAAGTACGACAAATAATGTTATTTTACTTTGCAGTGTACGCCACCTGGGCTGTCACACACTGTTCTCATCACCATGTCGCAGACCACTCTGTTGGAAGAGGTGGTCCAGTGGAGTAAGGACACCTGTCGGCTGGAAGTCAAATCCGTCCTCCCCAAACTCATCATATCCTTTCATGGGTCTCTGTTGTACAAAACATGGCATGGGGCGTAAATAATGGGGCATAAATAATTTACTTATGGTTGAAATGACTGTAAACATCAGTTCCAGGTCTGCACAAATGCACATCAGACCTATCTAGTTTATTATGTATGCCTGTGTTTGTAGCTATGTACTGGTGAAGTAATATTGCGATACTTTTGAACTCCTTAACCCTGTGTACTCCATGCATTATAAAACAGAAAGCTGGGAAGAACATATACGTAAGTCTAATCTTTTTAACATCAAATCAAAGACTTGTGGAGGTCTACCATTTTCTGTCTGTAAACAATTGTTGGAAAAATGACTTGTTTCATGCACAAAGTAGATGTCCTAACCAACTTGCCAAAACTATAGTTTGTTAACAAGAAATTTGTGGAGTGGTTGAAAAAACGAGTTTTAATGACTCCAACCTAAGTGTATGTAAACTTCCGACTTCAACTGTATATATATATATATATATTTCATATAATGGTGTGTAAAGACAGTTTTTGAATTCTAATTTTTGTTGGACATAAAGTTGTCACCTGTCAGTAAACCCAGTCATAATTCAGTGTTCTCCATGAATAGGGCCTACAGTGAAAGGCCAGTGGCATGCTTTCTCTCATTTCATGAATGTGTGTCTCCTTTTAGATGTGCTGAAAATCATCACAGACATGTTCTTGCCTCACCTCAGCCAGTCAGAGCTGGAAGACGAGTGCTTCTCCAAGGTCTTACCTAAGGTACAACATATTTCATTTCTTGTTTGAACACAGACATGCATATTCGAAAGCATCAGCTCAGTGTGTGTGTATATATGTTTAACTGTTGTAATGTCTGCAGGTAGAGAAGATGTTCAACAGGCTGATGGAAGAGATCACTAAACCAAGTAGGAGGGCTGTCCAGTCACAACACGGAACTACACTCTTTTCTCAGGAACATTCTACAGGTGTGTTCTTAATGGCTGGTAAATTCTCTCTCTCTCTCTCTCTCTTTCTCTGACTCTCTCTCTCTCTCTCGCTCTGTCTCACTCTCTCTCTCTCGCTCTGTCTCTCTCTCTTTCTCTCTCTCGCTCTCTCTCTCTCTCTCTCTCTCTCTTTCTCTCACTCTCTCTCTCTCTCTCGCCTCCTCACTCTCTCGTCTCACTGTCTCTCTCCTCTGTCCTCTCTCTCTCTCTCTCTCTCTCGCCGTCTCTCTCTCTCTCTCTCTCTCTCTCTCTCTCTCTCATATTGTATCAATCATTCCCCTGTCTTTCTCTCTGTTGTGTTAAGGTATAAGTTGTTTTCCCCTCTTCAAATCTGAATGCTAATTGTACTGAGTGGACATCGTTACCTGGGGGTGGTTCTGTTTGCCAGTTGATGGTGCAGGTGTTGGAGGTGCTGTCTGGCTGTGTGCGTCACGTCTGTTCATTTGAGGAGGCCCCTGCCCTGGATACTATCCGCTCCTTACCCTCCTGCGTCCTTAAGGTCCTCAGGAACACCTTCCAGCACTGCAAGGTATGACTGCAAGGAATTCACTGTTTTAAGGAATCTTCCTGTGCAAAAGTCTATGTCTAGGAGTGTCTGAAAGAGTGCATCATGGCCATCTGTAGTTTTGGACTGGATGGAGTCCAGTGGTATTATTACAATATGTTGTGGGAATCACAATGAAAGGGTACCAACGTGTAACTGTTTCCCCAGGAGAGTGGGGAGGTGTACTGTGGGCGTCTGTCCCTGGTGGGAGACCTGCTTCAGGGTCTGTTTAAAGAGGCTTACTCACTACAGAAAGGCCTGATGGAACTGATGGACAGCATCTCCCTGGAGAACACAGCCTCGGAGGACGACGTCTCCGACGTCATCACAGGTGTGTGTGTGTGGTGTGTGTGTGTGTGTCGGAAGAGACTTATGCATCCGTCTGGTTGTTTGTGGATAGCAATTCTCACTAGATAAAAATGACCATTTACGCTATTCATGGTAAGACATTGTCATACATTAACAATATTATTTTGCCTCTGACAATGAAAATGTGTTTATTTCCCTCAGTGATTCATAGTCTCCTGGATATATGCTCGGTTATCTCACACCTTGACATCGCACTACATGCCAACACATGGAAATTCATTGTTAAGTAAGTATAGAACCATATACATTTAATCATCATAAACATTATCGGGCTAATTATCTGATCTATCCTATTTATTCATTATTTAGTAAGTGTAGTCCGGCCCACAAACATTACATTTAGATGATAATTTAAAAACTATCTGGCTGTTTTTGTTGGCTGACTTATTGATTGATTGATTGATTGATTGATCTGATCAGGCAGTGTGTGAAGTATGGGTCGTTGGTGGAGGAGCGGCTTCGTCACGGTGACATCACATCCTGTCTGTGTGATGACCTGCTGGCCTCGTTCCATAGCTGCCTTGAGCTGGCTGGGCAGATCAGTCAGGTGGGGCCACAGGTACATGGCCAATCACATCGAGAGAGTCAGAGGAACACTCCCTATGAGCAAAATACGAAAATCTTTCATTCATTTTAAATTATTCTTTCATTCATTTCAATTATTCTTTCATTCATTTTAATTATTCTTTCATTCATTTCAATTATTCTTTCATTCATTTCAATTATTCTTTCATTCATTTCAATTATTCTTTCATTCATTTCAAAATGTATTTTGTTGCGTGCATACTGAACATGACCTTGATGAGTTGAATGAGCTGATTTCCTTCTATTATTAAAGCCCGTGTCCAAATGCATTATTGATTGATATTGCACCACAATAGAGAACATTTTTTTTGCGCGGAGTATGTTACGGGTCAATTCAGGAGAGAAATGCAACCTTCTCGCTGTGGCCCTGGATGTCTATGCCTGAGGTGAAGGATAGAACATGGGTAGACAATGAAACAATGTTCTCTGATAGATCTGGTCATTCCTGCTGTCATGTTGAATCGCTGTTCTGTGTTTCTTGCAGCAGGTGGCACACAGCCCAGAATACAAGCTGTTTCAGAAAACCACAAAGATGTGCAGATTTTTTGCCAACACATTAGTTCACTACATAAAGGAATTTAAGGCTTTTCTTTCTAAGTCTTGCAGACGCTTCCATCAACTCTACCTCCAAATTGTCAGGTACAATGAGCCTACACTGTCTGCAACTCTCACACACACATACACACACACACACCCTCTGTGGTTAACGTTTATTCTATTTTACCCACAGCAAGTTTCCACCCAGCCTATGTTCCCCAGTGCTCCCCTCCCCTCTATCTGAGGAGCTGAGCGGAGCAGCTCTGGTGCCCATGGACGCTCTGCTCTCCCAGCTGCTCCCCCTCAGACCCTTCGCTGAGTCAGTCCTCAACCCCAGCCAGCGTGAGTTTACCTCTACCTTCACCCTAATACCCCTGGCCTAGTATAGAAAAATTGTCCACTTCTTCCTTCACCCTAGTGTAGGAAAATATTAAATACCGTACATTACACAGATCCAGTGTTATTAGGCAAGTGCTAAAGACCAAATATTTAGTATATGTAGCAAAGAAACCCCCCACTGCAGTCTATGCTATCCCATGTGATTTCCTGACATGAGCCTTAGGTCTTGAAGTGTACAATCTGTTTCCTGATTACGCGCATGTACACTGTCCCACGTCCATTTGGGGCCTCTGTCAATGTACTGTAGGGATGCTTTACGCTTCAAGCCTTATGTAACAAAGGCAAACACACACACACACACACACCCCCTTTCCGTTGGTGTTCTTTGAGGACATTACTGAGTGTGCTCTGGTTTTTATTTAGGGGTCAGAGGTGAACTTGGAACACAATGCTCTCACATCTCATAAGGCCAAAGTACTACTATGAAGATCAGGTCTCTGCTCATTGTCTGTCTTTAACCCCTAAGCACAGGGGACATAAACAGTAGAGATAGGAAGTTCAGCTCTTTTTACTGACTCTGATCTTTTCGACTCGTTCAGTCAAAATAACGAATCTTTCGACTCATTTCGTTCATTTGAGACAATAATGCCCAGTGTACGCAGGACCCCTTACCGGCGAACGATGAACTGAAGGAAAAGTGTGCTTTAAACAATGTTGATTGCCTGCCATACAAATACGATTATTTCTTGATACATTTGAAACAAAGTCTAGTTGTGGCCACAACCGGACTAGATTGTGAACGATTGATAAGGGTGATAAGAACAATATAGTTTGCGAACTGCAGCCCCTCCCCCAAACGATTTGTGTTTGAGTTTGTTGAGCAGAGTTATGTTTTGCTTCTACAAAGCTGTGTCCATGATAACTTTCAATCATCAATAAATTGTATTCATTCTTGCACCTTGTGATAAATTATCATTTCTAAAGATGTATTTTTCTCCTCTATGCTGTCTGATCTATTATCCTGCGTGGATAAATGACAGACAGTTGTTTGTCGGCGCACGTCTGGAGCCGCTGAGCGTGTATAAAACCTGCTGTAGGACTCATTGCGGCCAGCAGGTCAAAAACAAACCACCAAAATGAACGAGTCACTCACAAAAAACAAATCATGACTCTCGAGTCAGTAAAAAGAGTCGTTCAAAAAGAACGAATCGTTTGCGAACTGCATGTCACTAATAATAATGCCCGGAGTACCCCTGAAGTACCCCCTCTTGCATTTTACCAGTAGGCTTATGGTCTCATGGGTCTTCTCAAGTACCCCATGTGGATAGGCCATGTATTCCCAGAGGTCCTAGTACCCCTGGTTGGGAACTACTGGCCTAATGCTTACAGGGGCATTTCAGTCCTGTCCTAATAGACCCACCTGTCCTGTTTGTGTACCTGTATGTAGAGTTGAGTCCTGAGACAGAGTTACCTCATTGCCTCCTGCTGGTGAATGTCATGGGTCAGTTCCCCTCCCATCCAGATGAGGCGCTGCAGCTGTGGTATGACGGCAGCCACTTTCCTGAGGACACACCCAGGTAGGAGAGCTCTAGACTATGGCTGTAGACCAAACATTGGTCAAGTAGTGTTTTTTTGTTGTTTTTGATTTAGTTTGCGTAGTGCAACAGAATCAATGAAATAGTCCCAAAAACGCCATGATACATCAAGAACATCAAGTGTTTCACTTTCACCAAAACATTTATTTGATCTGTTGTTCTTTCCACCATCTATCTCCCCCTTCTCTCCCCCCCTCTCCTCTCCCCCTCCCTTCTCTTCTCTCCCCTCCTTCTTTACCCCTCATCACGAAATCCACAAATAATAACTCACCCCTCAGAACCTATAACCCAACCCTCACACATGTCTTTCCCCCCCTCCTCTTTCTCTCCTCTCTCTCTCTCTCCCCCTTCTTTCCTCCTCCCTTTTTCCCCTCCCTTCTCTCCCTCCCTCTTTCCCCCTCCCCTCTTCCTCTCTCTCCCCCCTTCTTTCTTTCCCCTCTATTCTCCCCCCCTTCTCTCCCCCACTCTCTTCTCCCCTCTCCTCTCCTCTCTTCCCCCTCTTCTCTCTGCCCCCCTACCTGCCCTTCTTCAGACTGCCTCTGTTCCGGGCCTTGTTCCAGACCTTCCGGCGGTGCTGTCCGGAACGGAGGGTTCCAGTGCTGTTGCCGGGGGTGATGATGAAGGGTCAAGCCCAAGGAAGGTGTCCCTAAACTCATCGTTGGTGATCTCGTGTCCGGTGGCATGTGGCCCCAGAACTTCCCCTTTCTGGGGGGGCCCCCAAAAACTGTTTTAAATGTCGTAAAAAATTGTGTGTAAGCATTACACACACACACACACACACACACACACACACACACACACAAGTAGTGTACACACACAGCACTTTGGCCCCTGAGTTTTTCCTGACTTACGTGGGCTAACCTGGAAAAACTCTAAAATGATTGCATTATGATGAAATTGTGGATGTGTTTATGATGGATGTGTTTACGATGGATGTGTTTATGATGGATGTGGTTATGATGGATGTGTTTATGATGGATGTGTTTATGATGGATGTGTTTATGATGGATGTGTTTATGATGGATGTGTTTATGATGGATGTGGTTATGATGGATGTGTTTATGATGGATGTGTTTATGAAGGATGTGTTTATGATGGATGTGTTTATGATATCATACCAAACCTTCCTCACTCTGTTCTTCAGTTGAAAGACAGGATGGGGGAGAAAGAAAGTTGTGTTTTAGGATGACACCAGAATGCACTTGTTACTACATGCCCTAACCTGGAAAAACTCTTAAATGATTGCATAACAAGTAAGATTATTTAGTGGAAACATCAAGTGCATTTGATCCCCAATCTCTTCTCCTTCACCCTGTCTTCCTCACTGTTATGTGTATTATGAATCACCTATCTTCTATCTCTCTTTAAGCATCGCCGTCGTCTTTTCTACTCTTCTCTTTTTTAACGTTCTACTCTCTTATCTATTCTCTGTCTATAGGATCTCCTCTCTCTTCTCTCTTCTGTTTTCTTGTCTCTTCTCTGCTCTTCTCTGTTCTTTGGTAATATTGTCACTCTTAGCCTAATGGTAGGTTGCTTCTCTCTTCTCGTATTCTCTGTCTTCTTCTTTCTATGTCTTTTCCCCATCTCTGCTCCTACTCTTCTCTCTCTCTGGCTTCTTCTCTCTTCTCTCTCTTTGTCTCTCCTCTCTCTTGTCTTCTTCTCTTTGTCCTTCCTCCTCGTGTGTCTGTCTGTCCCCTGCTTTGCACCTACACCGGGGCCTGTTGGAGCCGTGGGGCCCTACGACCGTGCTTGGTCACAGCCGTGGTCTTCTGCCGTGAGCACTGTCCCCCCCCTTCCTCCACTAACACTTGTCTTTTCTTTATCACCACTGCTGTCAGCTGCTTTATTCAGGACACATGTGCTTGTCTCACCTAGCCACCATTTTTAAGATGAATGCACTACCTGGAAGTCTCTCTGGATAAGAGCGTCTGCTAAATTACTAAAATGTAAATGTCCATTCCTTGTCCTGTGTTAGTTGTCAGTTGTGAGTGACTCTGTCCTCTCTCTGCAGGTACGGTACAGCTGATCTGTGCTTGCATCACGTTCTCCTTACAGCTCAGCTGGTGAGTAGAGAGGACTACAGACAGACACACAGACAGACAGACAGACAGACAGACATACCACAGGGTCACAACCTCTCCCTGGCTCCCAGTGATCTCTCTCCCACACACACACACACACACACACACACACACCTCTCTCAAGGAATCCTAGTTTATCATCCCTATCCTAGGCCCAATCCCAAATCCACCCCTAAGGCCTGCGCCCTACGCCCTTGTGGAGATCTGAGAGGATTTGATTGGTATAACAAATATGATGTAACAAGTCAGGCTGCAGCTGGTACCATATTGCTCACCCCTGTCAAATCCAGTCAGATCTCCACAAGGGTGCAGGGTTTTAGGGGTGGATTTGGGATTGGGCCAACGTCTCTCTCTGTCTCTGTGGGGCAGGGTGGCCGTAACCTATGGCATCTCTGATACCCCAACAGAGGCGACAATTGGTGTTGCTGGATCATGGGGGGGGCAACGAGACACCTGTTAGTAACTGTGCCAGGTCATGAAATAAAGTGAAACTGGCCTTCCCCTTTTTTTTACCATCCTCTCCTCTCCTCCCCCAGGTGAAGTGGTGTGGCGGGCAGTGTTACCAGCTGGTCCATCTGGGCCTGCTGCTGAGACGCATGCTGTTCCTCATGACCCCTAACCATCAGGTCAGAGAGCAGCACAGAGAAAACATCTACGTGTGTGTGTGTGTAGGGTGGGGGGTGTATTTGGGCTGTATTTATTGATCTCTGGTTTTATAAAGAGAAGTGATATGAGCTATGTGATGATACAGTGGTCCTCTGTAGCTCAGCTGGTAGAGCACGGCGCTTGTAACGCCAGGGTAGTGGGTTCGATCCCCCGGGACCACCCCATACACAAAAAAAATTGATGCACGCATGACTGTAAGTCGCTTTGGATAAAAGCGTCTGCTAAATGGCATATTATTATATTATGTGGTTTGTGTTTTTCTTTACATTTGTGTGTGTGTTTGTAGATGGAGTTGGTGGAGCGTTTTCCTCCCTCCCAGGCTGAGAACCTCCCTGTGTGGTGTCACATCCTCCTCAGAGCCCTGTCCCATGACGCCCGGCAGCGGGTCGAGGCGGACGTCATCACCCTAACTAACACCACTGTGACAGACTGGCAACAGGCTGGGTACAAACTGGGACAACTGGACCAAGTGGTAAGGAGGACCGGGAGACCCATGGGGGGCGGCGCGCAATTGGCCCAGCGTCGTCCAGGGTAGGGGAGGGAATGGCCGGCAGGGATGTAGCTCAGTTGATAGAGCATGGCGTTTGCAACGCCAGGGTTGTGGGTTCGATTCCCACAGGGGGTATGAAAAAAAAATAATGTAAGTCGCTCTGGATAAGAGCGTCTGCTAAATGACGTAAAATTAGGACGCTTCAGAAGCTGCTTTAGACCAGGAGCGAGCCAATCTTAAATAGCTTTTCAGTGTGGACAAAACAGTTGTGTGCTATTCTGCTGGAGTGGTAGTGCCGAACCTACTTGTTTTATACAGCCTCATTGCCAGGCAGGCAACTTTTTATAACGCACATGCTCGTGACACATTTTGGCCTTAGTTATCATGCTGAAGGTCTTATTCATTGCCACGGGATTTTTTTTTGCTCTAGAATATAGAAGCACCAAGGGCATGGCTACAATATTCTCTGCTGCATGGTTGTCCGCTGTCCTATAGGAGGTGTTGGATAGAAAGATCCTGACCGGCTTTAAGAGCTTAGATAAGGGGAAGAGTTTGGTTTAAGAGCTTAGATAAGGGGAAGAGTTTGGTTTAAGAGCTTAGATAAGGGGAAGAGTTTTGGTTTAAGAGCTTAGATAAGGGGAAGAGTTTGGTTTAAGAGCTTAGATAAGGGGAAGAGTTTGGTTTAAGAGCTTAGATAAGGGGAAGAGTTTGGTTTAAGAGCTTAGATAAGGGGAAGAGTTGGTTTAAGAGCTTAGATAAGGGGAAGAGTTTGGTTTAAGAGCTTAGATAAGGGGAAGAGTTTTGGTTTAAGAGCTTAGATAAGGGGAAGAGTTTGGTTTAAGAGCTTAGATAAGGGGAAGAGTTTGGTTTAAGAGCTTAGATAAGGGGAAGAGTTTGGTTTAAGAGCTTAGATAAGGGGAAGAGTTTGGTTTAAGAGCTTAGATAAGGGGAAGAGTTTGGTTTAAGAGCTTAGATAAGGGGAAGAGTTTGGTTTAAGAGCTTAGATAAGGGGAAGAGTTTGGTTTAAGAGCTTAGATAAGGGGAAGAGTTTGGTTTAAGAGCTTAGATAAGGGGAAGAGTTTTTTTTAAGAGCTTAGATAAGGGGAAGAGTTTGGTTTAAGAGATAAGGTGAAGAGTTTGGTTTAAGAGCTTAGATAAGGGGAAGAGTTTTGGTTTAAGAGCTTAGATAAGGTGAAGAGTTTGGTTTAAGAGATAAGGTGAAGAGTTTGGTTTAAGAGCTTAGATAAGGGGAAGAGTTTGGTTTAAGAGCTTAGATAAGGGGAAGAGTTTGGTTTAAGAGCTTATATAAGGTGAAGAGTTTGGTTTAAGAGCTTAGATAAGGGGAAGAGTTTGGTTTAAGAGCTTAGATAAAAGTACCAATAAGATAAATCTTGTTTAGTGTGAGAAATCAGGGCAGATAAGGTCATTGCTTGTCGTCCTAAGTGGACCGTCCTGGTTGTATGTGAGGATGAAAGCACTGCATTATTACATTTTTACATTTTAGTCATTTAGCAGACGCTCTTATCCAGAGCGACTTACAGGAGCAATTAGGGTTAAGTGCCTTGCTCAAGGGCACATTAACGTCATTTAGCAGACGCTCTTAGCCAGAGCGACTCACAAATTGGTGCGTTCACCCTATAGCCAGTGGGATAACCACTTTACAATCTGGGGGGGGGGGGGGGTTAGAAGGAATACTTTATCCTATCCCAGGTATTCCTTAAAGAGGTGGGGTTTCAAATGTCTCCGGAAGGTGGTGAGTGACTCCGCTGTCCTGGCGTCGTGAGGGAGCTTGTTCCACCATTGGGGTGCCAGAGCAGCGAACAGTTTTGACTGGGCTGAGCGGGAGCTATGCTTCCGCAGAGGAAGGGGAGCCAGCAGGCCAGAGGTGGATGAACGCAATGCCCTCGTTTGGGTGTAGGGACTGATCAGAGCCTGAAGGTACAGAGGTGCCGTTCCCCTCACTGCTCCATAGGCAAGCACCATGGTCTTGTAGCGGATGCGAGCTTCAACTGGAAGCCAGTGGAGTGTGCGGAGGAGGGGGGTGACGTGAGAGAACTTGGGAAGGTTGAACACCAGACGGGCTGCGGCATTCTGGATGAGTTGTAGGGGTTTAATGGCACAGGCAGGGAGGCCAGCCAACAGCGAGTTGCAGTAGTCCAGACGGGAGATGACAAGTGCCTGGACCAGGACCTGCGCCGCTTCCTGTGTAAGGCAGGGTCGCACTCTCCGAATGTTGTAGAGCATGAACCTGCAGGAGCGGGTCACCGCCTTGATGTTGGCGGAGAACGACAGGGTGTTGTCCAGGGTCACGCCTAGGCTCTTCGCACTCTGGGAGGAGGACACAGCGGAGTTGTCAACCGTGATGGCGAGATCATGGAACGGGCAGTCCTTCCCCGGGAGGAAGAGCAGCTCCGTCTTGCCAGGGTTCAGCTTGAGGTGGTGATCCGTCATCCATACTGATATGTCTGCCAGACATGCAGAGATGCGATTCGCCACCTGGTTATCAGAAGGGGGAAAGGAGAAGATTAGTTGTGTATCGTCAGCGTAGCAATGATAGGAAAGGCCATGTGAGGATATGACAGAGCCAAGTGACTTGGTGTATAGGGAGAAAAGGAGAGGGCCTAGAACCGAGCCCTGGGGGACACCAGTGGTGAGAGCACGTGGTGCGGAGACAGCTTCCCGCCACGCCACTTGGTAGGAGCGACCGGTCAGGTAGGACGCAATCCAGGAGTGAGCCGCGCCGGAGATGCCCAGCTCGGAGAGGGTGGAGAGGAGGATCTGATGGTTCACAGTATCAAAGGCAGCAGACAGGTCTAGAAGGACAAGAGCAGAGGAGAGAGAGTTAGCTTTAGCAGTGCGGAGAGTCTCCGTGACACAGAGAAGAGCAGTCTCAGTTGAATGACCAGTCCTGAAACCTGATTGGTTTGGATCAAGAAGGTCATTCTGAGAGAGATAGCAAGAGAGTTGGCTAAAGACGGCACGCTCAATAGTTTTGGAAAGAAAAGAAAGAAGGGATACTGGTCTGTAGTTGTTGACATCAGTGGGGTCGAGTGTTGGTTTTTTGAGAAGGGGAGCAACTCTCGCTCTCTTGAAGACGGAAGGGACATGGCCAGCGGTCAAGGATGAGTTGATCAGCGAGGTGAGGTAGGGGAGAAGGTCACCGGAGATGGTCTGGAGAAGGGAGGAGGGGATGGGGTCAAGCGGGCAGGTTGTTGGGCGGCCTGCAGTCACAAGTCGCAGGATTTTATCTGGAGAGAGAGGGGAGAAAGAAGTCAAAGCATAGGGTAGGGCAGTGTGAGCAGGACCAGCAGTGTCATTAGACTTAACAAACGAGGATCGGATGTCGTCAACCTTCTTTTCAAAGTGGTTGACGAAGTCATCCACAGAGAGAGAGGAGGGGGGGGGGGGGGGGGGGGGGGGGGGGGGAGGATTCAGGAGGGAGGAAAATGTGGCAAAGAGCTTCCTAGGGTTAGAGGCAGATGCTTGGAATTTAGAGTGGTAGAAGGTGGCCTTAGCAGCAGAAACAGATGAAGAAAATGTAGAGAGGAGGGAGTGAAAAGATGCCAGGTCGGCAGGGAGTTTAGTTTTCTTCCATTATGGACTCTCAATACGGTCCATTTACTTCCTCGCTGCCCCAGAACATAGCGCTGTTGTCCCTGCTGATGGTGGTTCGAGGTGAATCTCCCGAGGCAGAGTGTGGGTCATCTGCACTGAGGATCATCTCACAACTCTGGGTTGGCATGTGTCCCAGTCAGGTGAGGGACACACAGACACTCACAAGTACATTTTGGGTGAACAGTTTGACTGTTAAGGTAACTCTATCCCTTTTCATTGTCAGGTGCAGACCCACCCTAGCATCCAGTGCACTCTGAGACTCCTCCTCTCCATGTCAGCCATCTTGGTGAAGAGTTTTGACCCACAGGTCATCTGTCAGGTACATTTACATTTACGTCATTTAGCAGACGCTCTTATCCAGAGCGACTTACAGTTAGTGAATACATTTTTTTTTTAATACTGGCTCTCCCGTGGGAATCGAACCCACAACCCTGGCGTTGCAAAACACCATGCTCTATCAAACTGAGGCTACATCACTGCCGGCCATTTCCCTCCCCTACCCTGGACAACGCTGGGCCAGGGTGCCGGCTTGCGGACAGAGCCTGGATTCGAACCAGGATCTCTAGTGGCACAGTTAGCACTGCGATGCAGTGCCTTAGACCACTGCGCCACTCACTAACGTGTTCTATGATGCTCAGTGGTGTAGTGGTAAAAGAAAGGTGGGTAAACTATCAACTCCAGGGGGCGATCGAGAGAAGAGGGGGGGGGGGGGGACTAGATTAGTAGAATAAACAAGGTGCAATTTCGACAGTCACTCAATTAGCCCATGTCAGCAAAAAAAAGTTAGTCTAGCCAGCTATCTAAACTAGTAGTAATCATGGTCGATTTACCGACCAAGGGGCCCCCATTGATTTTGTTAGTCGCTCTCACTCAGATATCATATTCAAAACTGCAAACATTTATCTCCACCCCATGGCAAAATGTGTAGAATTGCAGGAAATTAACTCTAAAACAATGTTTTGTCTCAGCTGTCAAGAGGGGGGCCACTAAAAGGTTTTGCTCGCAAGTTGAGGGGGCCCCCAACAAAATGTCACTTAGGGCCCCCAAAAGGCTAGGGACGGCTCTGACTGCACGTGTAGGGATGGCTGTGGGTAGGCAGACCCGTGAGCCACTGTGGCCCCTCATGATGATTTCAGATTTTTGGGGACCACCCCAAAAATATTGAAAAATAGGATGTGAAGATGTTCATATTGAAATGTGTTATCTTTATAATCACGTTCATGTTCTTTGTGTATCATGTGAACTGCACTGCAATTCAGTTTTCTATAATGTATACTGCTAAAGAGCACCAGTGTAAAAGGCCTATAGTTGACTCTAACATGTTGTACTCTATATACTAGGGCTGCACGATATATATCGTTTCAGCATCGACATTGCGATGTATGCATCCGCAATAGTCACAACATCGCAGAACGTGCGATTTAGTAAGGTAAACATAAGTCTACTATATATATATATATATATATATATATATATATATATTAAATGTTAAACTAGCATTATATCTGTCTGATATAACGTAATTTACTCCGATTTATGGGTTGTTGGATACACAGTTTATTATTATTATTATTTTAAACACGGAGTTCGTTTCTGCACGTGGTTGCCATGCAGGCTCTGATTGCGCGACGAAATGATGAGCGAGGAACAGGCAAAAAAGATCGAAATGGAGAATTTGGTTGCAAAAAGAAATGCATCGTCAATTATATGGAAATATGTCGGCTACAGACAGGATGATGTTGACCAAAAACAGGTACTTTGTCGAGAGTGCCTTGCGATTGTTGCCACAACACGAGGCAACACGACCAATTTTGTTCGATCATTTAAGGCGGCACCACAAATCTTTGTATGACGAGTGCAAAGCAACTCAATGCCCTCCAAAGCAAAAATCTATTTCGGATGCCTTTGCCAGTATTACACCATACGAGAAAGTTTCCAAACGGCAGAGAGAAATCACAGATTCAATAACATTTCACGTCGCCAAAGACATGGTACCAATTAACACGGTTACCAAAGAGGGTTTTAAAAACATGATCCGGCGCTTGACAAGCGGTATGTAATGCCATCACGCAACTATTTTTCTCAAGTTGCCATCCCAGAGTTGTACGAGAAATGCAAGGCACATGTTGAACCAGAGCTGTCACAAGTGGAATATTATACAGCAAACAACGGACTTGTGGTCCAGCCGGACAACGGAGCCCCACGTAAATCTGACCGTACACTTTATTAATGAGGACTTCCACCTGAAAAGTCGCATTTTTCCCAGAGGATCATGCATACATCCTGTATTTTTTCATATCGCAGAAAAACAAAATATCGCAATGTCAGTTATTTCCAATATCGTGCAACCCTACTCAATACCTATTAAAAAAAAAAAACGTGTTTGATAAGATTACAGATTATTTTGAAAACCATTTACATTTCGGGAGACCCCAAGTTCGGGAACCACTGTACGACTCACCTCTCTCTCTGCTTGCTTCCTCTCTCTGCGTGTCTCCTCTGCCTCCTTCATTGCAGCCTGCCTCACCACTGTCTTATCTCACTACTCTCTGTAAAGCAACGTTATTTTGTTATGATAACAAAAGATAGGCTACTATAAATTAAGATTATAGCTTAATTTCAGTCAACTGCTCCTGCTGAGGTCAGGCTCCGTTTAAACGTTAGCTTCTAACTTCATCCTTCTAGCCAGCTGGTTATAGCTAGCGGTTATAGCTAGCGGTTATAGCTAGCTATCGGGCTTAAAGTAGCCAGAGCCCCTGAGCTAGCCACCTGGCTGAAATACCTGCGACTATTTACCAGTTGATGTATACTATAAATTGATTGTATGTGTTTTTAGGCCCTTGTGTGTGTGGGAGCCCTGGTCTCTGAGAAGTGTCCTGATGACCTGCTGCTCGCTGCTCTGGACTTCTTGGCCTCTCTAGGCAAGGTGTTCATCCCACTTGATAGCCAGGTACTGTATGATGGCCAGGTAGTACTGTATGATGGCCAGGTAGTACTGTATGATGACCAGGTAGTACTGTATGATGGCCAGGTAGTACTGTATGATGGCCAGGTAGTACTGTATGATGGCCAGGTAGTACTGTATGATGGCCAGGTAGTACTGTATGATGGCCAGGTAGTACTGTATGATGGCCAGGTAGTACTGTATGATGGCCAGGTAGTACTGTATGATGGCCAGGTATACTGTATGATGCCAGTAGTAACATACCAGGTAGTACTGTATGATGGCCAGGTAGTACTGTATGATGGCCAGGTAGTACATACCAGGTAGTACTGTATGATGGCCAGGTAGTACTGTATGATGGCCAGGTAGTACTGTATGATGGCCAGGTAGTACTGTATGATGGCCAGAAAAATTATACTGAACTAAAATATAAAGTGTTGGTCTGATGTTTCATGAGCTGAAATAAAAGATCCCAGAAATGTTCCATATGCACAATAAGCTTATTTCTCTCAAATTTTGTGCACAAATTAGTTTACGTCCCTGTTGGTGAGCATTTCTCCTTTGCCAAGACGATCCATCCACCTGACAGATGAGGCATATCAACAAGCTGATTAAACAGCATCATTATTACACAGGTGCACCTTGTGCTGGGGACAATAAAAGGCCACTCTAAAATGTGCAGTTTTGTTATGTATGGGTGGTCCCAGGGATCGAACTCACTACCCTGGCGTTACAAGCGCCATGCTCTACCAATTGAGCTACATTTGTATGGGTTACCTTCAGATGTGTCCCGTGACACTTGTGGGGGTAGTGGAGCAAAACGGTGAACACCGACTACATGTAGTTCACTACTCCCCAACAGTGTGTGTGTGTCGTCCACAGAGCCAGGTGTTGCCCAGGCTGAGTGATCTGTTTGGGGCCCTGCTAGCTGAGAGGTCCTGGCTAATAAACCAACATGCCCTGGAGGCCTTCGCTCACTTTGCAGAGGTGAGACTCTCCTGAATACTGTTTTTAGTGATACGTTATATTCCTATCTTAAACATTCCTATGAAATGACCAGTTTCCTTCTTCCTGAGGGCACTTGGCTGTGAGTTGATTTAAAACTGGTGGGTGTAGTGACCACTTTAATGTACGTATGAACTTCAATGTGCCTTCAGAAAGTATTCACACCCCTAGACTTTTTCCACATTTTGTTGTTCCAAAGTGGGATTAAAATGGATTTGGCATTTTTGGTCAACGATCTACACAAAATAATCTGTCAAAGTGGAAGAAAGAATCTTTTTTTTTAATTATTTTTTAAGAAAACACTAATGTATCTTGATTAGATAAGTATTCAACCCCCTGAGTCAATACATGTTAGAATCACCTTTGGCAGCAATTACAGCTGTAAGTCTTCTTGGGTAAGTCTCTAAGAGCTTTGCACACCTGGATTGTACAATATTTGCACATTCTTTTTTTAATTCTTCAAGCTCTGTATAACACGGTTGTTGATCATTGCTAGACAGCCATTTTCAAGTCTCGCCATAGATTTTTCAAGCCGATTTTGAAGTCAAAACTGTAGCTAGGCCACTCAGGAACATTCAATGTTGTCTTGGTAACCAACTCCAGTGTATATTTGGCCTTGTGTTTAAGGTCATTGTTCTGCTGAAAGGTGAATTAGTCTCCCAGTGTCTGTTGGAAAGCAGACTGAACCAGGTTTTCCTCCAGGATTTTGCCTCTGCTTATCTCTATTCTGTTTATTTTTATCCTAAAAAACTCACTAGTCCTTGCCAATGACAAGCATACCCATAACATGATGCAGCCACCACCATGCTTGAAAATATGAAGAGTGGTACTCAGTGATGTTGTGTTGAATTTGCCCCAAACATACAGCTTGTATTCAGGACATAAAGTTAATTTCTTTGCACATTTTTTGCAGTATTACTTGTTGCAAACAGGATGAATGTTTTGGAATATGTTTGTTCTGTACAGGCTTCCTCCTTTTCACTCTGTCATTTAGGTTAGTATTGTGGAGTAATCCATTCTCAGTTTTCTCATATCACAGCCATTAAACTCTGTAACTGTTCTAAAATCACCATTGGCCTCATGGTGTAATCCCTGAGCGGTTTCCTTCCTCTCCAGCAACTGAGTTAGGAAGGACGCCTGTATCTTTGTAGTGACTGGGTGTATTGATGCACTATCCAAAGCCTAATTAATAACTTCACCATGCTCAAAGGAGTATTCAGCACCTGCTTTTTCTATTTTTACCCATCTACTAATTGGTGCCCTTCTTTGCGAGGCATTGAAAAACGTCAATGGTCTTTTGTGGTTGAGACTGTGCTTGAAATTCACTACTCGACTGATGGACCTTACAGATAATTGTATGGGGTACAGAGATGAGGTAGTCATTCAAAAATCACACTATTATTGCACACAGAGTGAGTCCATGCAACTTATTATGTGACTTGTTAAGCACATTTTTATTCATGAACTTATTTAGGTTTGCCATAACAAAGGGGTTTGAATACTTATTGACTCAAGACAATTTTCTACAAACAAAATTCCACTTTGACATTATGGGGTATTCTGTGTAGATAATTGACACAAAATCTAAATGGAATCCATTTTAAATTCAGACTATAACACAACAAAATGTGGAAAAAGTAAAGGGGTGTGAATACTTTCTTAAGGCACTGTATATAACCTTTAACTGTAAGTCGTTCTGGATAAGAGTGTCTGCTAAATGACTAAAATGTATAAATGTTCATGTTTCAGGTCACCAATCATGAGGAGGTGATATCCCAGAGCTTGTCTTCAGAAGACACCAAAAACAAAGTGGTGAATTTCCTCAGCAAGGTAATGAATGCCACCCCCCCCCCCACAAACCACATCCAATAAACAGTCATTGATCGGGAGATAATTAAAGATGGAAGGGACTGAACATGTTGTTGTGTTCGTCCAGACTATTAACGCACAGGAATCGCTGGAGACTCGGCTTGAGAGGTTAAGATTGGAGACGTCTGTTCTTGAGCGACACAACAACAGACTGGAGACCAATGAGGAAACTGCTGCTTCTGCTGGTGATGACCAGTCCACTGCTGACACAGAGGTGAGTGATGAGGCTGATGCCCGTGAACATATTAAATCTGTGTTGGTTTTTTTCGGGGTGGAAGATTAACTCTGCAAAAGCTGTTAATGGGAAAACTTGGCAGAATTAGCCAGTGAGAGGATGACAATTCAAAACCAACAGTTTCTGGCACTGAACCAATAGCTTAAAATACCTTATTCACCACTCCTCCCTTCCTATATGTAAAGACTGATCTTACATTAGTACGTTAGTCACCAATCAAGTCTGTCTGATCAGTGATTACTTAAAGGAAGATAGGATGTATTTTGTAAGTATTCAATCGGTTTCTCTGTGACTTGCATAGTGATACAGTAATGATAGTGACTCATGACTCCCCCCCCTCCCCCATCCAGCCCTGTCCCAAGCGAGCACGGCAGGAAACCAGCGTTGAGGAGGAGTATAGACTTTACCTCCAGACAGCTGAGAGTGCCCTGAGGGCCCTGCAGACGCTGGTAGAGGGGCGCGCCACCGACACAGTTATCCCCTCCTCCACCCCTGTCCCTGCCCCCCCTCCACATTGGGTGACGTCCAGACTACAGGAGCTGCAGACTCTGATAACCCACATCAGCACGGCCAGACCACCAAACCGCTAGCCACCTGGCAATAGCCCCAAAGTTTTTTTTTTTTTTAATTGTTTTTTTTTGGAGCTTTGTTTTAAGTCTGCGTGTGTTAATGTTGTCTGTTTTATCCCTTTATAAAATAGGGTTTGTATGGGGAGAAGGGTCAGTCCTTATTAAACATGAATACCTTTAAATATGGAGTCTTTTCAGGTTCATTTCAGTAAGTTGGGTGTTTACCCATCAAATGTCAGTCCAGACTGGATTCACAAAAGAAAAGAGGTTCATGATTGCCCTCTGCTGGTGAATATGCAGTGTTCAGTGATAAGTAGTGAATGTGACGTTACCGTCCCGTGGACGTTGACCTCTACAGCTCAAGGCACAAATTCACTAGTTCTCAATCAACAGACAATATTGCAAGTGAAGCTGCACTATACTGCAGAATGGTCTTCATTATTTAATCAATGTCCATTATAGCCATTCATAGTTAGGATAAGACTGGGAATTATGCTGCGGTCATAACCACATGGGAAGGTAGTTAAGAGTTGTGAAATAGTAAATATGAGTTCATGTGCTTGAACTGGGAAATCAAGGTCATTTAAAAGGCTTTGGATTGTTTTGCCCACTTTTAAATCAAAAGTAAAATGAACAGAATCAGTTTTGTATCAACAATTTGTTTCTTCTTACTGTTAGCATGGTGGCATCTTCAGCATTTGTCGGGCGCAAGTGAAGCTGAGTGCAGGGATGTGAACGCAGCATTAAACCTGCCCAGCTTCCATCCTGACAGTATTAGTTGTGTGTGAAATAGGCTTATTGTTCAGAGCTTCAGCTGGTTGTCAGACAACTGAACCATACAATTAATCTAAACTAGGTCAGACAAAGATATCATAAAATCTTTTATTCGACCAGAAAGATACAAATAAATTATGTAATTCATTCAAAGTCAATTTCCCACCCCCCAAAATCACACTTCTCTCACCAGGGGTTTCATAGGGGAATCTCAAGTCTGTTCCTCAATTCCTTGCGTGCTCTCCCCTGCCTCTTTCTCAAAACGGCAGAGGGACGCGAGGAGAGTATTGGAGATCTGAGGATAATTTTCAAAAGGAGGCAAGGAAAGACTTGAGATTCCCCCACAGTATCCTCTCAAAGGTCATCCAAATCAAAACGGCCAGATGTGAAATGTATGGCACAAAACTAGAGTTAACAGTCCACTAGTTTTAGTGGATTACATTTTGGCAACAAACTACAATGAATGATTCCCAAGGTCTGTCTGCTGTCCCAGTCTAGCTGGTAACAACCCAAAGAGAAAGAGCCCCCTCACATTATTCTAGTACAAAAGTAAAGGTCCATAGATAACTCCCTAGTAACAGGATTATGGTCATCTTATTAAACATCTGAAAACTTCCGATTTTAAAATCTCAATTGTAAAACGTATTCTTCAGTGTCTCACATCCCATCACATTTATTTTCATTAGCAATATTACTTCACGACGACAGTTTAGAACTGTATGTTGCAGCTGGGAGCGGGTGTTCCAGTTCTCTGATTGGCTGTTTTTAAGGAGAGGTGCATCCTGGGAATTGAAGTGCTGCAGTAACCAGCAACATGTAGTCTCTACAACATGGATCTGAGTAGTAGATCCAGTCGATCACCAGGCGTTCTCATCCTCTCCCCAGTTAAGGTCATCCTCTCCGTCTCCCCAGCCTTCTGCTTCAGTCTGTAAAATGAAGGAATAAGGATTCATTAAATGACCACATATAAAGCAGGAAATCTTCTTATGCTAATGTATTTCCTTTATAGTACATGGGATTGACATTACATTCTGAAAGGCACTTGCCCATCGGGCAAGTCAGGAGTATTTTTTTGGTTGCCTGAAGTTTATGATCACTTGCCTGAAAATTTAAATTAGCCATTTACACACAGAAGTGCCATATATTGCCTGCCTTTCACCTACACATATGGAAGGAACCAGAAAGATCAGTACTTGAATTCTTAGTTTTTTGGTTATCAGTTTTTAAAAAATCTCAGCAGATTCAACTTGCCCAACTGCCATAAATTGTCTGTCTTTCACTTAAACCAGTGTTTTCCAGTCTCCCAACAGAACACATTTTTTGTTGTAGCCCCGGACAAACTCACCCGATTCAACACAGAGGGCTTGATGATTAGTTGACCAGTGGATTCAACACAGAGGGCTTGATGATTAGTTGACCAGTGGATTCAACACAGAGGGCTTGATGATTAGTTGACCAGTTGAATCAGGTGTGTCTGTCTGGGGCTACAATAATGTTTACTGTTGGGGATCCTCGAGGACTGTAGTCGGGAAAATGACTTAAATCACTGCGGAGGCACCAGACAGATCAGTACTGGAATTCTTAGCAGTTTGGTTGTTTGACTTTAAAAATCACCTTCCCCTTAAATGTCATGCACAGGATTCTGTTACTATCCCAGCGTACCGACTGACTGTTACCATCCCAGCGTACCGACTGACTGTTACTATCCCAGCGTACTGACTGTTACCATCCCAGCATACTGACCGACTATGTTACTATCCCAGCGTACTGACTTACCATCCCAGCGTACTGACTGATACTATCCCAGCGTACTGACTGTTACTATCCCAGCGTACTGACTGTACTATCCCAGCGTACTGACTGTTACTATCCCAGCGTACTGACTGTTACTATCCCAGCGTACTGACTGTTACTATCCCAGCGTACTGACTGTTACTATCCCAGCGTACTGACTGTTACCATCCCAGCGTACTGACTGTTACCATCCCAGCGTACTGACTGTTACCATCCCAGCGTACTGACTGTTACCATCCCAGCGTACCGACTGTTACCATCCCAGCGTACCGACAGTTACCATCCCAGCGTACTGACTGACTGTGTTACTATCCCAGCGTACTGACTGTTACCATCCCAGCGTACTGACTGTTACCATCCCAGCGTACTGACTGTTACCATCCCAGCGTACTGACTGTTACCATCCCAGCGTACTGACTGTTACCATCCCAGCGTACTGACTGTTACCCCACGTATGGTTACCATCCCAGCGTACTGACTGACATAGTTACTGTACATCCCAGCGTACTGACTGTTACCATCCCAGCGTACTGACTGTTACCATCCCAGCGTACTGACTGTTACCATCCCAGCGTACTGACTGTTACCATCCCAGCGTACTGACCGACTATGTTACTATCCCAGCGTACTGACTGTTACTATCCCAGCGTACTGACTGTTACATCCCAGCGTACTGAGTACATCCCGGTACTGACTTACATCCAGCGTACTGACTGTTACATCCCAGCGTACTGACGTTACCATCCCAGCGTACGACGTTACCATCCCAGCGTACTGACCGACTATGTTACTATCCCAGCGTACCGACTGTTACTATCCCAGCGTACCGACTGTTACTATCCCAGCGTACCGACTGTTACTATCCCAGCGTACCGACTGTTACTATCCCAGCGTACCGACTGTTACTATCCCAGCGTACCGACTGTACTATCCCAGCGTACCGACTGTTTACTATCCCAGCGTACCGACTGTTACTATCCCAGCGTACCGACTGTTACTATCCCAGCGTACCGACTGTTACTATCCCAGCGTACCGACTGTTACTATCCCAGCGTACCGACTGTTACTATCCCAGCGTACCGACTGTTACTATCCCAGCGTACCGACTGTTACTATCCCAGCGTACGACTGTTACTATCCCAGGTACCGACTGTACTATCCCAGCGTACGACTGTACTATCCCAGCGTACCGACTTGTACTATCCCCAGCGTACCGACTGTTACTATCCAGCGTAACCGACTGTACTATCCCAGCGTACCGACTGTTACTATCCCAGCGTACCGACTGTTACTATCCCAGCGTACCGACTGTTACTATCCCAGCGTACCGACTGTTACTATCCCAGCGTACCGACTGTTACTATCCCAGCGTACTGACTGTTACTATCCCAGCGTACTGACTGTTACCATCCCAGCGTACTGACGACTTGTTACTATCCCAGCGTACTGACTGTTACCATCCCAGCGTACTGACTGTTACCATCCCAGCGTACTGACTGTTACCATCCCAGCGTACTGACTTACTATCCCAGCGTACTGACTTACTATCCCAGCGTACGTACCGACTATCCCAGCGTACGTACCGACTATCCCAGCGTACGTACCGACTGTTACTATCCCAGCGTACGTACCGACTGTTACTATCCCAGCGTACGTACCGACTGTTACTATCCCAGGGTACGTACCGACTGTTACTATCCCAGCGTACGTACCGACTGTTACTATCCCAGCTACGTATACCGACTGTTACTATCCCAGCGTACGTATCCCAGCGTACCGACTGTTACTATCCCAGCGACCGACTGTTACATCCCAGCGTCGTACCGACTGTTACTATCCCAGGTCCGCGTACTTACCGATGTACTATCCCAGCTACTGACTGTTACCATCCCAGCGTACGTACCGACTGTTACCATCCCAGCGTACTGACCGACTATGTTACTATCCCAGCGTACTGACTGTTACCATCCCAGCGTACTGACTGTTACCATCCCAGCGTACTGACCGACTATGTTACTATCCCAGCGTACTGACTTACCATCCCAGCGTACTGACTGTTACCATCCCAGCGTACTGACCGACTATGTTACTATCCCAGCGTACCGACTGTTACCATCCCAGCGTACTGACCGACTATGTTACTATCCCAGCGTACTGACTGTTACTATCCCAGCGTACTGACCGACTATGTTACTATCCCAGCGTACTGACCGACTATGTTACTATCCCAGCGTACTGACCGACTATGTTACCATCCCAGCGTACTGACCGACTATGTTACTATCCCAGCGTACTGACCGACTATGTTACCATCCCAGCGTACCGACTGTTACCATCCCAGCGTACTGACCGACTATGTTACCATCCCAGCGTACCGACTGTTACCATCCCAGCGTACCGACTGTTACCATCCCAGCGTACCGACTGTTACCATCCCAGCGTACCGACTGTTACCATCCCAGCGTACCGACTGTTACCATCCCAGCGTACCGACTGTTACCATCCCAGCGTACCGACTGTTACCATCCCAGCGTACCGACTGTTACCATCCCAGCGTACCGACTGTTACCATCCCAGCGTACCGACTGTTACCATCCCAGCGTACCGACTGTTACCATCCCAGCGTACCGACTGTTACCATCCCAGCGTACCGACTGTTACCATCCCAGCGTACCGACTGTTACCATCCCAGCGTACCGACTGTTACCATCCCAGCGTACCGACTATGTTACTATCCCAGCGTACCGACTGAGGGAAGAAGTGCATTGCTTTTTGAAGTGATCCAGGGTGCACCACCAACCCTGCACCTACCTAGTAACAGAGTAGTAGTCCTTTCAGTTCCATTCACATGGACTCACCTCTGTCTGGTCAGCAGCTGCGAACTTGGCGGTGATTGTTAGTGTGTCTACAGATGGATCAGTGAGTTCTGACGGTGCGGCTGTGAGCAGCCCAGTATCACCAACATCGCTCTTCACAGGCAGCAGCAGAGCTGCAGCAGACGACAGTTTAATGTCCGGCTCCATGTCTGCAAAGAAGTCAAATTCCGGGTCTCTCTCCGGCTTCCTCTTCACCTCGATGGTGAACTCCTCTCCCAGAACCCTCGTTCCACCATCCTTGCGTGCGGTGTGCAGCCTGGGCCTGGCCTCGTCGTTAGTTTTCTGTTCCTCTTCCCGCCCCCAGCCGTTGTCCCAGGGAGACGTGGCTGTTGTCTTCCTCTCTGAGGCCTTGACGGTACAGCTCAGTTTGAGGGGTTTGGATCCTCCTCTCAGGGGCTCGGCTGTCAGACTGATGGGTGGTGGTGGTGGTGGTGGTGGTGCAGTGGCGCCCCCTCTGGGTGGAAAGGTCAGGACGACAGGATCTGGTATGGGCGCGGTGGGGGAGAGGTCAGAGGTGAGCTCTGTGTCCTCTAAGTCATCCCACGGTTCCTCTTCTTGGTCCCGCGTTCGGTCTGAGGCCTGGAAGTGCATCTGGACTGGCTGCTCTTGTTCATTCTCCCCCTCCTCCGGGTCACTCCAATCTGGCCAGTCCTCAGCCTGACTCTGGCCTTCTGGCTGGTCGGGACTGTAGGATGACTCCTCCTCCTCTTTGTTTTTGCTGAAGCCGTTCAGGGGTAGAGACATCTCTCTACTACTACCTGGAATAAGGGTCAGATGACTGGTTTAAGCGTCAACCACTGGATATGAGTGAATTGGAAAGAGTTAAGGTTCCCAGTGTTACTTCCTTACCTGATTTGGGGGCCAGGGGGTATATCCTGGGGGTCTCTCTGGCCTGAAGGCTGTCTATGTTCCCCAGGACCAGCCCCCCTCTCACTGCTACCGGTTTGGGGAACAGACTCAGGACCTTAGAGGGCTGGGCCATCTGTGGATGGGACCCCCCAACTATGTGAACTGGAGAGGCTAGAGCGAGAGAAGGTAAGGATGAATTGTTTTGTAGGGAACTATGACTAGCAGTAGTGCAGTTATATACGACATCAAAAAGATACGTTATCTTTTCTGTGTTTCTTACTTTCTGGGGTGACCTCTGCAGACTTAGTGAAGTTGGGCCTGGTGCGTTTGAACACTTTGGTCCTCTCCCCGCCCACCACCACCTGGGCACCTAATAACGGCACCAGTACTGCCAAGCTCTGCAGCGTCATGGCAACCAGAGAATCGTTTGTGTCTCTCATCCCAAGCAAAACCTGGAGAGAGGAAGACATCTTGAACTGAAACAGCGATGTTTTCTAAACCGCACAACACATTCAATGCAACCCCAGCAAAGACAATATATACTGAACAGGTCTGTGGTTCTAGCATTAGCGTATGATGTTTCTGCATGAGCTTATGGGAGGTGGTTAGGTGAACCATGCTCATCTGGTAAGTAACTTGCCGGAGACCCCTAATTTTCAGCTCAGTGGGGGTAACAGTCTTGCAGCAAATGGACAACCTGGCTTCTAACCCAGTCAGTAACATCAGCAAATATGAAAAGGGTCTGTCTGACGTGAGAGAGTGTGTCTGACCTGAGGTAGGATGTGGTTCTAGAGTGTGTCTGACCTGAGGTAGGATGTGGTTCTAGAGTGTGTCTGACCTGAGGTAGGATGTGGTTCTAGAGTGTGTGTCTGACCTGAGGTAGGATGTGGTTCTAGAGTGTGTGTCTGACCTGAGGTAGGATGTGGTTCTAGAGTGTGTGTCTGACCTGAGGTAGGATGTGGGTTCTAGAGGTGTGTCTGACCTGAGGTAGGATGTGGTTCTAGAGTGTGTGTCTGACCTGAGGTAGGATGTGGTTCTAGAGTGTGTCTGACCTGAGGTAGGATGTGGTTCTAGAGTGTGTCTGACCTGAGGTAGGATGTGGTTCTAGAGTGTGTCTGACCTGAGGTAGGATGTGGTTCCTAGAGTGTGTCTGACCTGAGGTAGGATGTGGTTCTAGAGTGTGTCTGACCTGAGGTAGGATGTGGTTCTAGAGTGTGTCTGACCTGAGGTAGGATGTGGTTCTAGAGTGTGTTAGAGTGTGTGTTCTGACTGACTGAGTGGATGTGGTTCTAGAGTGTTCGACCTGAGGTCGGATGTGGTTCTATTAGAGTGTGTCTGACCTGAGGTAGGATGGTCTGATGTGGTCTGACCTAGTAGGATGTGGTTCTAGAGTTGTGTCTGACCTGAGGTAGGATGTGGTTCTAGAGGTTGTCTGACCCCTGATAGGTAGGATGGTTGGTGTGTTGACAGTAGGATGTGTGATGTCTGAGGTTGGTTCTAGATGTGTCTGATGGTAGGATGTTTAGGTGTCGACCTGAGTAGGATGTTGGTGTGTCTGACCTGAGGTAGGAATGTGGTTTCCAGAGTGTGTCCTGACCTGAGGTTAGGAATGTGGTTCTAGAGTGTGTGTCTGAACTGAGGTAGGATGTGGTTTCTAGAGTGTGTGTCTGACCTGAGGTAGGATGTGTTCTAGAGTGTGTCGGACCTGAGGTAGGATGGTGGTTCTAGAGTGTGTCTGACCTGAGGTAGGATGTGGTTCCAGAGTGTGTCTGACCTGAGGTAGGATGTGGTTCTAGAGTGTGTGTCTGACCTGAGGTAGGATGTGGTTCTAGAGTGTGTCTGACCTGAGGTAGGATGTGGTTCTAGAGTGTGTGTCTGACCTGAGGTGGATGTGGTTCTAGAGTGTGTCTGACCTGAGGTAGGATGTGGTTCTAGAGTGTGTCTGACCTGAGGTAGGATGTGGTTCTTTAGCTCGTCGTGGGAGAAAGACTCAGCGTAGACGTGCATGTGAGCCAGCAGCACCACCCGGACGTGTTCCTCGTTGACCTTGAAGAGCTTCAGCAGCTGAGGAACTACATGTTTCCTGTAGAGAGAGACAGACAGGAGGCACTCCTCACTCCCACCACAATCTGTCAAGAGACAGATTGAAATTAGAAATCTGGTGAAATGTATTCATTGTGTGTAATCCCTTGTAAATAAACTTGATAGAACAGAGTATAAAACGGAGGAGGAGAGAGAGAGAGGAGGTATCCAGTCCGCATGTCATCATTACCATTGATCCCTATTACAGAGACTGGTCAAATCATACATAATCTCTCAGCTATTCAACTTTAATTAATTCATATATAAAAAGGGATACTGTTTTTCTACTTACCCAGAGTCGGATGAACTCCTGGATACCATTTATGTCACTGTGTGCAGTTTGAAGGAAGTTAGAGGTAGTTTCGCGAGTCAATGCTAACTAGCGTTAGCGCAATGACTGGAAGTCTACAGGTACGCTAGCATAGTATCCACTAGTTCATCTGACTGGGTAAATAGAAAAACATTTTTGCAGTATCCCTTTAATAATTTGTATTTATTATGGATCCCCATTAGTTCCTGCCAAGGCAGCAGCTACTCTTCCTGGGGTCCAGCAAAATTAAGGCAGTTATATACATTACAAAACATTTCACAACACATTATGCGTGTGCCCTCAGGCCACTACTCTACTACCACAAAATCTGAGTACGTGTGTGTGTCTGTGCGTGTCTCTTCAAAGTCCCCGCTGTTCCATAAGGTGCATTTTTATCTGATTTTACTGCTAGCATGAGCTGTGCACCTCCTATAGTCTGTTCTGGACTTGGGGACTGTGAAGAGACCCCTGGTGGCATGTCTTGCGGGGTATGCATGGGTGTCTGAGCTGTGTGCTAGTAGTTCAAACAGACAGCTCGGTGCATTCAACATGTCAATACTACTCACAAATATAAGTAGTGATGAAGTCAATCTCTCCTCTACTTTGAGCCAGGAGAGATTGACATGCATATTATTAATGTTAGCTCGCCGTGTACATTTAAGGGCCAGCTGTGCGTTCTGGGCCAATTGTAGTTTTCTTAAGTCCCTCTTTGTGGCACCTGACCACACGACTGAACAGTAGTCCAGGTGCGACAAAACTAGAGCCTGTAGGACCTGCCTTGTTGATAGAGTTGTTAAGGCAGAGCAGCGCTTTATTATGGACAGACCTCTCCCTATCTTAGCTACTGTTGCATCAATATGCTTTGACCATGACAGTTTACAATCCAGGGTTACTCCAAGCAGTTTAGTCTCCTCAACTTGCTCAATTTCCACATTATTCATTACAAGTTTTAGTTGAGGTTTAGGGTTAAGGGAATGATTTGTCCCAAATACAATGCTTTTAGTTTTTGAAATATTTAGGACCAACGTATTTCTTGCCACCCATTCTGAAACTGACTGCAGCTCTTTGTTAAGTGTTGCAGTGATGTCACTTACTGTGGTAGTTGAATATACGGAGTCATCCGCATACATACTGGCTTTACTCAGAGCCAGTGTCAGGTCACAAAATAAGGGGCCTAGACAGCTGCCCTGAGGAATGCCTGACTACCTGGATTATGCTGGAGGCTTCCATTAAAGAACACCCTTTGTGTTCTGTTAGACCGGTAACTCTCGATCCATAATATAGCAGAGGATGTGAAGCCATAACACTGGGATGGGCAACTTTTGTAGGCCCACGGACCCATTTTTTTTATCAGTCGGGGTCTCAATTTACTGTTGCGAGTTTGAATAATAGAATACACAAGGTGCAATTTCAAAATGTGGTTGTGCATCAGCAGTCACTCAATTAGCTCATGTCAGTTAAATTCACCTGCGGGATCGTCTGAGACCAGCCACCCAGACAGCTGATGAAACTGAGGAGTATTTGTGTCTGTAACAAAGCTCTTTTGTGGGGAAAAACTCATTCTGATTAGCTGGGCCTGGCTCACAAGTGGGTATGGCCTATGCCCTCCGAGGCCCATCGATGGCTGCGCCCCTGTACAGTCATATGAAATCCATATATTAGGGCCTAATGAATTTATTTCAATTGACTGATGTCTTTATATGAACTGTAACTCAGTTGTTGCGTTTATATTTTTGTTCAGTATAGTTGAAAAAATTGCTAAATCTTCTCTCAGCCCCATGGCAAAATGTGCAGAATTGCAGGAAATGAACTTGAAAACTTAAATATTTTCTCTTCGTGGGCAAGGTGGGGGGAGGGGGGGGACGATGTGGGTGGGGAGGGGACGATGTGAGTGCGCAGCCACTGCAGCCCCTCGTGATGAATTCTGTTTTTTTGTGGCATCCACCCCCATCAAAATTGCCCATCCCGTGCTATAACACGTTTTTGTCAGCAGCAGATTATGATCGATAATGTCAAAAGCTGCACTGAAGTCTAACAAAACAGCTCCCACAATCTTTTTATTATAAATGTATCTCAGCCAATCATCAGTCATTTGTGTAAGCCGCACACATGTTGAATGCCCGTCCCTATAAGCGTACTGAAAAGCTTTTGTTCATTTGTTTCCTGTGAAATAGCATTATATCTGGTCAAACACAATTTTTTCCAAAAGTTTACGAAGGGTTTGTAACAGGCTGTTTGGTCAGCTGTTTGAGCCAGTAAAAGGTGCTTTGCTATTCTTGGGTAGTGGAATGACTTTTGCTTCCCTCCAGGCCTGAGGGCACACACACACTCTCCTGTAGGCTTAGATTGAAGAGATGGCAAATAGGAGCAGCAATATCGTCCGCTATTATCCTCAGTACTTTTCCATCCAAGTGACCCAGAGTGCTCCACATGGGTGATAAATAGCCAATAAATAAAAAAAAAAGACAGACAGACAGACACAAACCCTTCTTTGGCTTTAAGAGGTGAGGCAGAAAGCTCTTCACAGCGGTGGGTTCAGCTAACACCATCCTGTTGAGGAGTTTTGGGACAAGACGCGTCGCTATCAGTTCCTCTGGCAGGCTCTGCACCCGGTCCAACAGAAACCTACCGTACAGACAGAGGATACTTTCTGTGGGCTCAGACAGTAACAAGTTGATTGGCAGACATTTTGTACGAGGAAATAAATAATAAAAAAAAGAGAACATGTTGTATTGTCACATACACGGATAGGTGCAGTGAAATGTGTTGTTTTACAGGGTCAGCCATAGTAGTACCGATGATAAAGGCAGAGCTGTCACTGAATCACTAACAGCCTATTTATATGCACACACAGTCACTCACTCACTTAAAGAATTCATTCTTCTCTTCCTCCGTTTTCAGGGTCAGGCTTTTCAGGAAATTCATGACCTCCAGAAAGTCATTTCTGAAGAAGTCGTGAGTGAGTAGGGAGCTGAGAGAGGGCCGAGACAGGGGGTCAGAGGTCAACAGGCCTGCTTGGAGAGTCCTCTTCAGACTGCCTGATAACTCTTCAGAGACTGCAGAAAGAGAGATTATACAGTGAGTTCCCTCAAATTGAAGCTGACAGTCTGCACTTTAATCAATCAAAAAAACATATTTATAAAGCCCTTTTTACATCAGCAGATGTAAACAGCAAGCAATGCAGATATAGAAGCACGGTGGCTAGGAAAAAATCCCTAGAAAAGGCAGGAACCTAGGAAGAAACCTAGAGAGGAACCAAGCTCTGAGGGGTGGCCAGTCCTCTTCTGGCTGTGCCGGGTGGAGATTATAAGAGTACATGGACATTAAGGCCAGATTGTTCTTCAAGATGTTCAAACGTTCATAGATGACCAGCAGGGTCAAATAATAATCACAGTGGTTGTAGAGGGTGCATCAGTTCAGCACCTTAGGAGTAAATGTCAGTTAGCTTTTCATAGGTCGAGACAGCGAGAGAGAGAGAGAGAGAGGGAGAGAGTGAGAGATGGAGTCAAACAGCAAGTCCTGGACAAGGTAGCACTTCCGGTGAACAGGTTCCATAGCCGCAGGCAGAACAGTTTAAACTAGAGCAGCAGCACGACCAGGTGGACTGGGGACAGCCAGGAGTCATCAGGCCAGGTAGTCCTGAGGCACTTTAACCTCATAAATCATTGTATCATTTCAAATCCAAAGTGCTGGAGTAAAGAGCCAAAACAACAAAAATTGTGTCACTGTCCCAATACTTTTGTAGCTCGCTGTACACACAGCAGGGCTGTCCCCGCCTAACAAAAAAATCTGTCGACCGAAAGTCGTCTGTTCTGTCGACCAATCGATTGGTCTGAATTTTTAAACTTGTATTTTTTCCATATATACACACACCCTATGTTTTAATAAAATCACCTATATGCATTGAGCTTGTCTGATGCCTTAAGCTTACGGTTTGATGAAATAAGACAAATGCCTCAAGAGGGAGCCAGAGATCTACTCTCCTCCCGCTCCTGCTGGCTTTCACAGAGTCTGCCATTACTCTCCTGAAGTTGCCAGTAACAGGCTACACGAGGAGTCGGCAACCTTTCTCATGTTGAATGCCAATTTATCTTACCATTTCTACCGATCTGCGTGCCAGTTATGGTTTTCGTATGCACATTTTCGTGAAACAGTTATTTAATATATAATAACGTCTTCATATCTCAAAATCATTGTCATGTGGTTAATCAAAATTAAATCCAAAAAGTCACTGCTATTGTCATTGCCAACTACGTAAAAATAGCCTCCATAAAGCCAACAAATAAAAACATTGCAGCCCGCTGGTAGAAAATATCCTGATAAAAATAAATATCCTATCAATCACATTGGCTACACATGGCCTGTCTGCAACGAACTTGAAACATTGTATCAACTATTAACTTGGGTCTGGCCTGAAGCTTGCACTAACGAATTTGCAACATTGTATAAAATATTCTGGGCCCTTAGAGTTTCCTGCACCAGTGAGCTTAGGACAGACACAGCTGTAGCTATTTGCGCAAGGGATAAGAAGCAGTGCTTGACTTGGACAGGAGCTCACCGGAGCTGAGTACCGGCACCTCAAAATGTCTACTGCTTCAGCTCCTGTTCCTCTTATAGAATATTAGCTCAAAAGTATTGTGGAGCTCCTGCACCTAAATATAAACAGTACCAGCACCCAAAATGAGTACCGGCACCTATTTCAGTCCAAGTCAAGCACTGATAAGAAATAAATCAGGTAGGCCTATTTTATGACGTTTCCATTGGATCAGAGCATGACAGTTTTCCCTTTTACTTTTATCGAAAGGGTGAGAGCTGGAAAGAATTTTAAAATACATTGAGGGACGACTGTAATTCTCAATGGATGTAAAAACAGACTTTGTTTGCTTGCCGTTTGAGGTGAAGAAAACATTACTTTGAGAAGCTCCACAGGTCATTGCGTTAAGCCAATCAGAAATACTATCAGATCACCAAATGGGTACATTTACATCCCTACATTTGTGCGCAGGCCATGTAGCCTATAGGCCTATATACTTCTATGCGTAATCAAGTGCGTGTCCTTACGCAACATTGACAGGAGCGCTCCAAACAAAAGACAAATCACTAAATTGAAAACTTGTAAATGGAATTAAATAAACCAAAACATGTTTCTCACAAGTGTAGCCTAGGTTGTGCACTCTGCAAACAATGTGTCCACTCCGACAATGATAACGGGAAGACTGGAATAATAATATTGAACGCATTAAATTAAATTACCATAACCAAAGTAACAAACATTGTAGATTAGAAATTATAGGAATTAACGGTAAATGTACTACTGGTGATATACAGTACCAGTCAAAAGTTTGGACACACCTACTCATTCAAGGGTTTTTCGTTATTTGTACTATTTTCTACATTGTAGAATAATAGTGAAGACATCAAAACTATGAAATAACACATATGGAATCATGTAGTAACCAAAAAAAGTGTTAAACAAATCAAAATATATTTTATATTTGAGATTCTTCAAAGTAGCAAACCTTTGCCTTGATGACAGCTTTGCACACTCTTGGCATTCTCTCAACCAGCTTCATGAGGTAGTCACCTGGAATACATTTCAATTAACAGGTGTGCCTTGTTAATTTGTGTTTGAGCCAATCAGTTGTGTTGTGACAAGGTGGGGGGGTATACAGAAGATAGCCCTATTTGGTAAAAGACCAAGTCCATATTATGGCAAGAACAGCTCAAATAAGTAAAGAGAAACGACAGTCCATCATTACTTTAAGACAAGTGCAGTCGCAAAAACCATCAAGCGCTATGATGAAACTGGCTCTCATGAGGACCTGCTGCAGAGGATAAGTTCATTAGAGTTAACAGCCTCAGAAATCGGCAATTAACTGCACCTCAGATTGCAGCCCAAATAAATGCTTCACAGTAACAGACATCTCAAAATAAACTGTTCAGAGGAGACTGCGTGAATCAGGCCTTCCTGGTCAAATTGCTGCAAAGAAACCACTACTAAAGGACACCAATAAGAAGAAGAAGACTTGCTTGGGCCAAGAAACACGAACAATGGACATTAGACCGGTGGACATCTGTCCTTTGGTCTGATGAGTCCAAATTTGAGATTTTTGGTTCCAACCGCCGTGGCTTTTTTGAGACGTAGAGTAGGTGAACGGATGATCACTGCATGTGTGGTTCCCACCGTGAAGCATGTAGGAGGTGGTGTGATGGTGCTTTGCTGGTGTCACTCAGTGATTTATTTAGAATTCAATGCACACTTAACCAGCATGGCTACCACAGCATTCTGCAGCGATACGCCATCCCATCTGGTTTGCGTTTAGTGGGATTATCATTTGTTTTTCAACAGGACAATGACCCAACACACCTCCAGGCTGTGTAAGGGCTATTTTACCAAGAAGGAGAGTGATGGAGTGCTGCATCAGATGACCTGGCCTCCACAATCACCCGACCTCAACCCAATTGAGATGGTTTGGGATGAGTCGGACCGCAGAGTGAAGGAAAAGCAGCCAACAAGTGCTCAGCATTTGTGGAAACTCCTTCAAGACTGTTGGAAAAGCATTCCAGGTGACTACCTCATGAAGCTGGTTGAGAGAATGCCAATAGTGTGCAAAGCTGTCATCAAGGCAAAGGGTGGTTACTTTGAAGAATCTCAAATATAAAATATATTTGTTTAACACTTTTTTGGTTACTACATGATTCCATATGTGTTATTTCATAGTTTTGATGACTTCAATACTATTCTACAATGTAGAAAATAGTAAAAATAAAGAAAACCGTTGAATGAGCAGGTGTGTCCAAACTTTTGACTGGTACTGTATGTAATGGGGAATTGATATACACTAACAAGCAAAGCAAACAATTCACACAATGAAGTTATGATACAATTCATGTGCATAAATTGGCGGGAGAGAGCGCATTCTGGAGAGAGAAGTTCATTGTGCATCTGGGCGCAGGGTCAATCCGTGTCTGCATTGGCCATGCAGCATTTACGGTGATACGGCCTCAGCACAAGTCAGGGCATTCATACTTCTTGCGCTTCCCGGAGCAGTGCAGAGCTGTTGTCAAGGAAGTTGTCAAGGAAGTGAGTTTGTGTTTACACAGGATGTACCGCCCCCACCTACCGTCAACCAATCATGTCAATGCGGAGCTATACAGAGCCCTCCGCATGGCGATGCAGTACAGAGCTCAATTTGGCCTCCGGAGGGTCCGCATTTGCGTCACACACCTCCAAATGGAGCCTCCGACCACATTTTCGGATCAAGCATGAATTGGCTTTTAGTCTAGGCCTCCGCAATGGATTAGTTCACTGAGATGGGCTCAAATATATACATGTTACTGCCCGACTAAAACAATCTCGGTCGACCAACAGCCTAACGACCCAACAATCGACCAGTCGACTAATTGGGGTCAGCCCTTCAGCCCTAATACACAGTGAGTATTAAACATTACAAACAGCTGCTCCTTCCATGACAGACCCCTCAAACTCAACTCTGGACCTCAAAGCCACTTCCATTGTCTCCCCCCCCCCCCCCCCCCCCCCCATTGTTCCCCTCTAATCAGGGACTGGTTTAGACCTGGGACACCAGGTGGGTGCAATTAATTATCAGGTAGAACAGAAAAACCAGCAGGCTCCGGACCTCGTAGGATCAGAGTTGAATACCCATGACATAGAGTAACTGGGTGAATCCAGGTGTAAGCTATGATCCCTTATTGATGTCACAAGTTAATTCCACTTCAAAATCAGTGTAGATGAAGGGGAGGAGCCAGGTGAAATAACGATTTTTAAGCCTTGAGACATGGATTGTGTATGTGTGCCATTCAGAGGGTTAATGGGCAAGACAAAAGATTGAAGTGCCTTTGAACGGGGTACGGTAGTAGGTGCCAGGCGCACTGGTTTGTGTCAAGAACTGCAACGCTGCTGGGTTTTTCACGCTCAACAGTTTCCCGTGTGTATCAAGAATGGTCCACCACCCAAAGGGCATCCAGCCAACTTGACAACTGTGGTAAGCATTGGAGTCAACATGGGGCCAACGTCCCTGTGGAACCCTTTCGACACCTTGTAGAGTCCATGCCCCGACGAATTGAGGCTGTTCTGAAGGCAAAAGGGAGGGGGGCAACTCAATATTAGGAAGGTGTTCCTAATGTTTTTTACAGGAGAGAGGACAGGGAGGATGAGGGGAAGACAAGACCAGGCAAAGGAGAAAGAGACAAAGTCAGAGATATGATCATCAAGCATAATGTTCACTATCGTAAAAATAAAAAAAAAACTGCCATTCCATCCTATTGTACAAGTATTCTGTTCAAGGTTAGAATGGAATGTCCCACAGTCAATCAGGTTGAGGCTTTGAAGCTTCTCCACTCACCATAGCCATTGAGAGAATTGTTTATTTTCAAATTCAGGAGAGGGATGAGGGTTTCCACCATCATTCCAAAAGAGAAGCAGTCTCGAGAGTGCGCATGCTTATCTGGCAGCGTTTTAAAGCCTTCCACCTGCAAAGAATGATTCTATGAATTAAAAGACTGTAAGCATAATGACCAATAATAAAACAAGGCTAAAAGAACAGTGATGAGCCTGTTATCCTTACCCGCTCCTCCGGAGGAACAGTACTGCTCTCCCTCACATTCTGAATGCTGCTGAGAAACTGAGGTGGACAATAGAAGATACCTTTAAAAACACTTCAAATAACTACAGACTATAGTGATGGAAAATGCTGTTATTAAATCAGTCACACAAACTACAGTGCTATGCTGTGTTCCATTGTTGTGAAGTAGATTAGTTCTTTCTTTCTGTCCAGCTGAACTGTCAGTCACCTCTGGGGTAGCCTCAGAGAACTTGCAGACAGTCTCCATCCCCCCCAGCTTCCAATGGCCGTCTTCACTGACGAACACAGACGACGTGCAGACGTTGTTGTGGCTCGACTTTCCCTGTGAGGAGAAAGAAGACGTGTTATAACAGAAATGAGAACTGTAATACTGAACAGTGCAGAATCATGTGAAAGAGTTTCTTACATGTTAAAAAAACGTTCCCTTCCACCACTTCGGTTTTACGCAACAACAAAAAAAAATAGATGCCTGCAGGGAGTCTTCAATAATAGTGTGTGTCTGTCTGTCTGTCTGTCTTCCTTACCCTCTCGTGCAGGAAGATCAGGGCCTGTAGCAGGTCGTAGATGCCTGCACACAACTCCTCCGGAGTCAGGCTGTCCAGCAGGGGCGCCAGAGGCTGCACACGCTCTGTCACCAGGTGGATACCCCCGTCCTGCACCGAGCATGACAGGAAATGCAGCAGACACGGGTGCCTCAGGGTCTTCAGGTGCTACAGGGAAGTAATACTCATTAGTGGCTCTTCTTTTTCTGTCCAGCAGCTCACTCTTGTGCAAAGTAGGATGAGTGTAAAACGATCATTTCTTCAGGTGCTAAAAAGACAGTACAGGACGGGAGGGGAGGGGAGAGGCAGGAGTGATGTGGATGTAGCCTTATCCCTTTAAATACTGTACTTCCTTGATGGGTTATTTTCACGATACCAATGGGATGTTAGTGATTTCCTTGGTAACGACAGCTACATACATATCAATGCCCTCCAGTAGCCTCACATCATGAGTAGCAGCATGTATGTCACACTTACTGTAAATCACTCCGGGTAAGACTGTCTGCTAAGGCTTAAATACACTGCTCAAAAAAAATAAAGGGAAAACTTAAACAACACAATGTAACTCCAAGTCAATCACACTTCTGAAATCAAACTGTCCACTTAGGAAGCAACACTGATTGACAATACATTTCACATGCTGTTGGGCAAATGGAATAGACAACAGGTGGAAATTATAGGCAATTAGCAAGACACCCCCAATAAAGAAGTGGTTCTGCAGGTGGTGACCACAGACCACATCTCAGTTCCTATGCTTCCTGGCTGATGTTTTGGTCACTTTTGAATGCTGGCGGTGCTTTCACTCTAGTGGTAGCATGAGACGGAGTCTACAACCCACACAAGTGGCTCAGGTAGTGCAGCTCATCCAGGATGGCACATCAATGCGAGCTGTGGCAAGAAGGTTTGCTGTGTCTGTCAGCGTAGTGTCCAGAGCATGGAGGCGCTACCAGGAGACAGGCCAGTACATCAGGAGACGTGGAGGAGGCCGTAGGAGGGCAACAACCCAGCAGCAGGACCGCTACCTCCGCCTTTGTGCAAGGAGGAGCACTGCCAGAGCCCTGCAAAATGACCTCCAGCAGGCCACAAATGTGCATGTGTCTGCTCAAACGGTCAGAAACAGACTCCATGAGGGTGGTATGAGTGCCCGACGTCCACAGGTGGGGGTTGTGCTTACAGCCCAACACCGTGCAGGACGTTTGGCATTTGCCAGAGAACACCAAGATTGGCAAATTTGCCACTGGCGCCCTGTGCTCTTCACAGATGAAAGCAGGTTCACACTGAGCACATGTGACAGAGTCTGGAGACGCCGTGGAGAACGTTCTGCTGCCTGCAACATCCTCCAGCATGACCGGTTTGGCGGTGGGTCAGTCATGGTGTGGGGTGGCATTTCTTTGGGGGGCCGCATGTGCTCGCCAGACGTAACCTGACTGCCATTAGGTACCGAGATGAGATCCTCAGACCCCTTGTGAGAGACCATATGCTGGTGCGGTTGGCCCTGGGTTCCTCCTAATGCAAGACAATGCTAGACCTCATGTGGCTGGAGTGTGTCAGCAGTTCCTGCAAGAGGAAGGCATTGATGCTATGGACTGGGCCGCCCGTTCCCCAGACCTGAATCCAATTGAGCACATCTGGGACATCATGTCTCGCTCCATCCACCAACGCCACGTTGCACTACAGACTGTCCAGGAGTTGGCGGATGCTTTAGTCCAGGTCTGGGAGGAGATCCCTCAGGAGACCATCCGCCACCTCATCAGGAGCATGCCCAGGCGTTGTAGGGAGGTCATACAGGCACGTGGAGGCCACACACACACTACTGAGCCTCATTTTGACTTGTTTTAAGGACATTCCATCAAAGTTGGATCAGCCTGTAGTGTGGTTTTCCACTTTAATTTTGAGGGTGACTCCAAATCCAGACCTCCATGGGTTGATACATTTGATTTCTATTGATAATTTGTGTGATTTTGTTGTCAGCACATTCAACTATGTAAAGAAAAAAGTATTTAATAAGATTATTTCATTCATTCAGATCTAGGATGTGTTGTTTAAGTGTTCCCTTAATTTTTTTGAGCAGTGTATATAACAAGGCTCAACCAAATTAGTGACCATTTTATCATGGTGAGGATATATATATATATTACAGCCATGGCAACAGACAGACGCTGGCGATGCCTTGCCCAAATGTGACTAGCCTGGAGAAATCCAGTCTGTTTGTGCCAACATTCCACTCAACATTCCACTTAGTTGCTTGAATAAGCGAGCGTTGCGCCTTTTCCTTTTCAACGTTCCTCTCCTTGTTGCTTGATGCTGTAAGTAGGCCTTCCTCCTGTGTTGCAGACTTCTTTTTAGGGCATATGGTGCTTAGTGGTTAAGGCGTTGTGCCAGTAACCGAAATGTCGCTGTTCTAATGCCCCGAGCCGACTAGGTGAAAAATCTGTCTGTGCCCTTAATCAAGCACTTAACCCTAATTGCTCCTGAAGTCGCTCTGGATCAGAGCGTCTGCTAATACTAAAAGTAATGTAAATGTTGTCATGCTAAACGGGCATACAAGAAGTGACAAGGAGTGAACGACGCTAACATGACCTGCCCCTGGCGGCAGATAGCTTAGTGTGTAAAGAGGTTGTGCCGTAACCAAAGGTCGCTGGTTGCTAATCCCCAGAGCCGACTAGGTGAAAAATTTCCGATGGTGCCCCTTAAGCAAGGCACTTAACCCTAATTTGCTCCTGTAAGTCGCTCTGGATAAGAGCGTCTGCTAAATGACTAAAATGTAAATGTAAATGTACCCAGGCAACAATGAGACGGCTGTGTCACTCACATGGGTGATGCCATACTCAGTCTGGAATAAATGTTTTATAGATACCATATGTGTTTTACCTTAGCAGCTTTGTTGACTTTGTCTTCGTTGCCCTGCTTGTGAACAAACACGGAAGCCGGCTTGCCATCCTGGAGCACGGCAGAGTACATGGTCAGCCCTGAGGGCAGGGTTAGGAGTGGTTCCTCCAAGACGATGCTCCTCATAGCGCTGCTCTCCGCGCCCATGGTCGCTCACCCCTCGATGCAGTTGTTCGGGACACCGGCCTGACAATCACACTGTACAGGGATTTAAAATAGAATTAGAAAAACGTTATTGTCCCACACATTGTGGAAATGTTTTTTTTCAACTTCACCACATAAAAAACAGACATTGAACACCTTCAGGACAACATCATCAAGATCATTAAATAAACTATACAAAAGTGCAAATGCAGTATCAAGTTCATATACATTACATAATTTGTCTAAACCATAATCATCATCAATAGTTCCTAATTGAAAATACATCAAATGGTCAAATACCTTCTTCTTAATCATCAGATGACAGATAGCTACAATGCCTAGCTACGTCAACAACTGAAGTTGTCTGATAAACTAGTTAGCTAGCTAGTATCTGCATGTTGAGTGATACACATCTGACTAGCTCACATGGTTGATTGATTGAAGTTTATACTAGCTAGGTCACGCTAACCACCTTCCTGGACCTGTGTCCTGCAGAGTAAACATAGCAAAATGGCACTCGGTAAGGGAAGGGTGTCTACACCTGGCTAGCTAGCTACTAGCTAACCTAATCATCTTATTTTTGCTAGCTAGACTCTGGTTGCTTGACAAATGGCTAGGTAGCAAGGAAATAAGGTAGTATAGCCAGTCAATGTCACATCGAAGTTTGTGTTACCTGTTTGGTTGAGTGCCACTTCTATGTATGAACAGCCAGTTAGATGGCTACGCTCGCAAGCTAACCTTGCTAAAAGTAGTCATCGCATTGGTTGTCACTTACTCTTCAGTTATAAGCACTTCAGTTGATACTCATGCCAATAGACACAAAAACTACTATATCATGTAAATTGCCGATAGGTAAGCAATCCCCGTATTTAACAGTGGAGAAGATATTCGTTTTTTTAACTGTTAACGTGGAGCAAATACATCGCTTCCTATGTGCTAACTGTAAACAAGCGGCTCTTCCTGTCAACGATTAGGACGAAACCATTAAATAAAAATCAGTGGCAGCCAGGCCGGGCATTAGACTCAAATATGAATTGGTGTTTGAACAACCACGAATAAGTGACTATAAAATCATTAAAGTGGTTATAAACAATTCGTTCCTTTGCTGTCATGTAGCATTTGTTGATAAAATCCGTATGATATAACAAAATCCAAATAGGTTACCCCCCTCTATCAACAAAAATGGTCAATGCCATAATGGTGCGAGATAACGCAGGTAGAACGCAACATATTATGCAAAGTTACCTAGCTGTAATCATTACCTTTACGGTTGCAATAGGAGCGGGCTATGCATGTTTTTTTTTTTTACATGAGTCATTGCCTACAGTCTATGGCAGAGATGGGCAACTCCAGTCTTCGGGGCCCTGATTGGTGTCACACTTTTGCCCCAGCTAACACACCTGACTCCAATAATCAACTAATCATGATCTTCAGTTTAGAAACCAATTACGCTGAACAAAAATATATACACAACATGTAATGTGTTGGTTCCATGAGGTGAAATAAAAGATCCCAGAAATGTTCCATACACACAAAAAGCTTATTTCTCTCAAATTTTGTGGAGAAATAAGTTTACATCCCTGTTAGTAAGCATTTCTCCTTTGCCAAGATCTGCCATCCACCTGACAGGTGTGGCATATCAAGAAGCTGATTAAACGGCATGGTCATTACACAGGTGCACCTTGAGCTGGGGACAATAAAAGGCCACTAAAAATGTGCAGTTTTGTCACACAATGCAATGCCACAGAGGTCTCATGTTTTGAGGGAGTGTGCAATTGGCATGACGACTACAGGAATGTCCACCAGAGCTGTTGCCAGATAATTGAATGTTAATTTCTCTATCATGTCGTTTTAGAGAATTTGGCAGTACATCCAAACGGCCTCACAACCACAGACCAGGTGTAACCACACCAGCCCAGGACCTCCACATCCGTCTTCTTCACCTGCGGGATAGTCTGAGACCAGCCACCCGGACAGCTGATGAAACTGAGGAGTATTTCTGTCTGTAATAAAGACCTCGCCATTAAATCTAGTTAGGAAGGAAATCGAAGCCTTTGCAGCCTGAATGGAAAATGTTTTAGGTATGAACCGGTCCACAGGGGTATACAAGTGCATTGCCGGCAGCATACAATGCGTTTGGACAGTGAAATGAAACCCTCAATACCAGATGAATATCGCCTTCTGCCGGCCTATTGGCTACCCATCACTGGTCTATGAGCATTGCCAACCATTTTTAGTTAACTTTAACCACAGAGAGCAAATTATTTTGTTCAAAAACAAACATGTCAATAAATAAATGTGATCATTATAGGCCAAATTAACAGCGTAATTAATGGGTTGTTGTCATTGGAGAAGATTTTGCATCACTTATAGCAAAAGTTGTATTGTGGCTTTCATTGATTGAAAAAAAGTACACTGCTCAAAAAAATAAAGGGAACACTTAAACAACATAATGTAACTCCAAGTCAATCACACTTCTGTGAAATCAAACTGTCCACTTAGGAAGCAACACTGATTGACAATAAATTTCACATGCTGTTGTGCAAATGGAATAGACAACAGGTGGAAATTATAGGCAATTAGCAAGACACCCCCAATAAAGGACTGGTTTTGCAGGTGGTGACCACAGACCACTTCTCAGTTCCTATGCTTCCTGGCTGATGTTTTGGTCACTTTTGAATGCTGGCGGTGCTTTCACTCTAGTGGTAGCATGAGACGGAGTCTACAACCCACACAAGTGGCTCAGGTAGTGCAGCTCATCCAGGATGGCACATCAATGCGAGCTGTGGCAAGAAGGTTTGCTGTGTCTGTCAGCGTAGTGTCCAGAGCATGGAGGCGCTACCAGGAGACAGGCCAGTACATCAGGAGACGTGGAGGAGGCCGTAGGAGGGCAACAACCCAGCAGCAGGACTGCTACCTCCGCCTTTGTGCAAGGAGGAGCAGGAGGAGCACTGCCAGAGCTCTGCAATATGACCTCCAGCAGGCCACAAATGTGCATGTGTCTGCTCAAACGGTCAGAAACAGACTCCATGAGGGTGGTATGAGGGCCCGACGTACACAGGTGGGGGATGTGCTTACAGCCCAACACCATGCAGGACGTTTGGCATTTGCCAGAGAACACCAAGATTGGCAAATTCGCCACTGGCGCCCTGTGCTCTTCACAGATGAAAGCAGGTTCACACTGAGCACATGTGACAGACGTGACAGAGTCTGGAGACGCCGTGGAGAACGTTCTGCTGCCTGCAACATCCTCCAGCATGACCAGTTTGGCGGTGGGTCAGTCATGGTGTGGGGTGGCATTTCTTTGGGGGACCGCACAGCCCTCCATGTGCTCGCCAGAGGTAGCCTGACTGCCATTAGGTACCGAGATGAGATCCTCAGACCCCTTGTGAGACCATATGCAAGTGCGGTTGGCCCTGGGTTCCTCCTAATGCAAGACAATGCTAGACCTCATGTGGCTGGAGTGTGTCAGCAGTTCCTGCAAGAGGAAGGCATTGATGCTATGGACTGGCCTGCCCGTTCCCCAGACCTGAATCCAATTGAGCACATCTGGGACATCATGTCTCGCTCCATCCACCAACGCCACGTTGCACCACAGACTGTCCAGGAGTTGGCGGATGCTTTAGTCCAGGTCTGGGAGGAGATCCCTCAGGAGACCATCCGCCACCTCATCAGGAGCATGCCCAGGCGTTGTAGGGAGGTCATACAGGCACGTGGAGGCCACACACACTACTGAGCCTCATTTTGACTTGTTTTAAGGACATTACATCAAAGTTGGATCAGCCTGTAGTGTGGTTTTCTACTTTAATTTTGAGGGTGACTCCAAATCCAGACCTCCATGGGTTGATTCATTTGATTTCCATTGATACTTTTTGTGTGATTTTGTTGTCAGCACATTCAACTATGTAAAGAAAAAAGTATTTAATAAGATTATTTCATTCATTAAGATCTAGGATGTGTTATTTTAGTGTTCCCTTAATTTTTTTGAGCAGTGTATATAACTGTGATAAATGACTACAGTATGCAGTTTGAATACATTTCAGTAACCTGTCAGTTGGACAAAAACATCTGCATTGAATCAGGTAGGCCAAGGATTTTATAATTAGAATAACAGTGATCCAATTTGTCGTTATGACACGTTTTCTTATTGGAAATGGGGTTTGGTGGATATGGGGCTGATAGACTTGCCCCGTCTTTCGAAGACAGTCTCACGGTTAAGTTCACAAAATCACACTTTTATTTGTATATGGTATTAGTAACACTAAGTGACCACAGATATGTGACCAGTCCGACCACACAGGCTAAACCACGACAATAGTCATTATAAAAACAAACGGTCGTGTTATGAAATGCCCAACAGGAGCTCAGTATAAAATGCAAATATGTCTTATCAAACAGAACTTGTCAGTGGTCCACTGTAAACAATGACTGTATGCTGTACTTGGCAGCAACAGAGTGGATTGAAACATGGATAGTGTTCATTTGGAATAGTAAGTATTTTCCCATTTACTAGTATTTAGCCTAGTCAATTAGTCCTTTGCTCTTATGAGCCTTCAAAGTATAGACAGTTTTGCGTACTCATCACTGCATTCTCTAACAGAAAGTTGATTGGCCCTCTGATATCATGTAGGTTGATACATTGCTATGTTTTCATTTATAAAAGCCCTTTTACAAAAACAAATCACGGTACCTAACATCATTACTAAACTTTTGATTATGAGTTACCACGCCTGGTTTCAGGGATGGCTAATTCTGGAAATTCCTTTGGTCTCTACTGAGTTAGGTAAATCAACTTTTAATTTTCTTGCACCTTATTTGCGGAACAATTTTCAAAATGTTCTTCAATTGGATGTTTTGGTGCCTCTAGGGCAATTCAGAAAGCTGACTGAAGACCTTATTACTGAAGAATGTGTTTGTTTTGTGACTGTTTTTTCATATTTTGATGTGTGTATTTTCTGTAATTTCTATAATTCAGGGCTCATCTGTAAAAGAGACCTTGGTCTCAGTTTGGCTCCCTGATAAAATAAAAGGTTAAATAAATATCCCCTGCGGCCAGGCCAGGCAAACCACATAGGCCTCTACTAGTACCACAGGTTTAAAGCCACTGAGTTAGATGTTCATTTGGAGTAGCCCCATCACATGGAGTATATGAGGCCGCAGGCCGTATCTCCATGTCCTGCTTTATTACAGATAATGGGGTTACAGTTGAGAGCATTCCCCACTCCTTCAGCCTCCATTTTCCCCAGGTACTCCTTATCAAGCCTCTGGAAGCCCTCCTTGACGCTGGGCGGCAGAGAGTTGAGCAGCCCCTCCTCTACCAGCAGTCCACTGGGCATCAGGCTGTGGCACTCCTCCAGCTCCGCAGGAAGGCTCTCCAGCTGGTTCCCCCTCAGGTCCAACACCACCAGGTTGGTCAGCTCACTCACCTGCACGGTTGAGGTCAATTCCATTTCACTTCAGTAGCCTTATCCCAGAATTGTTCGTGTTATCGTGTCAACTCCTTTGCACTGGAATGAGTGACAAGGTGTTGACATGGTAGCACAAACAGACTGGCACTAAGGCTATTCAATTCAGGAACGATATGATATGATATGATATGATATGATATGATATGATACGATATTCTTTATTGTCCATGTACAGTACCAGTCAAAAGTTTGGACACACCTACTCATTCAAGGGTTTTTCTTTATTTTTTAAAAACTAATTTTCTACATTGTAGAATAATAGTGAAGACATCAAAACTATGAAATAACACATATTGAATCATGTAGTAACCAAAAGAGTGTTAAACAAATCAAAATAATGGTGTGGCATGAAGCCAATGGGGAATAAGGTTCACAGTCTGGTAAAATACATGTAGCCATCCATGGAGTTCATACGGTTCAGTCTGGTAACATATACACTACCGTTCAAAAGTTTGGGGTCACTTAGAAATGTCCTTGTTTTCTAAAGAAATGCAATTTATTTGTCCATTAAAATAACATCAAATTGATCAGAAATACAGTGCAGACATTGTTAATGTTGTAAATGGCTATTGTAGCTGGAAACTGCTGATTTTTAATGGAATATCTACATAGGCGTACAGAGGCCCATTATCAGCAACCATCAGTCCTGTGTTCCAATGGCACGTTGTGTTTGCTAATCCAAGTTTATCATTTTAAAAGGCTAATTGTTCATTAGAAAACCCTTTTGCAATTATGTTAGCACGGCTGAAAACTGTTGTGCTGATTAAAGAAGCAATAAAACTGGCCTTCTTGAGACTAGTTGAGTATCTGGAGCATCAGCAATTGTGGGTTCGATTACAGGCTCAAAATGGCCAGAAACAAATAACTTTATTCTGAAACTCGTCAGTATATTCTTGTTCTGAGAAATGAAGGCTATTCTATGCAAGAAATTGCCAAGAAACTGAACACCAGTCTCAACGTCAAAAGTGAAGAGGCGACTCCAGGATGCTGACCTTCTAGGCAGAGTTGCAAAGAAAAAGCCATATCTCAGACTGGCCAATAAAAATAAAAGATTAAGATGGGCAGTCTGAGATATGGCTTTTTCTTTGCAACTCTGCCTAGAAGGTCAGCATCCCGGAGTTGCCTCTTCACTGTTGACGTTGAGACTGGTGTTTTGCGGGTACTATTTAATGAAGCTGCCAGTTGAGGACCTGTGAGGCGTCTGTTTCTCCAACTGTTTCTCAAACTACACTAATGTATTTGTCCTCTTGCTCAGTTGTGCACCGGGGCCTCCCACTCCTCTTTCTATTCTGGTTAGCGCCAGTTTGCGCTGTTCTGTGAAGGGAGTAGTACACAGAGTTGTACGAGATCTTCAGTTTCTTGGCAATTTCTCGCATGGAATAGCCTTCATTTCTCAGAACAAGAATAGACTGACGAGTTTCAGAAGAAAGTTATTTGTGTCTGGCCATTTTGAGCCTGTAATCGAACCCACAATTGCTGATGCTCCAGATACTCAACTAGTCTCAAGAAGGCCAGTTTTATTGCTTCTTTAATCAGCACAATAGTTTTCAGCTGTGCTAACATAATTGCAAAAGGGTTTTCTAATGAACAATTAGCCTTTTAAAATGATAAACTTGGATTAGCAAACACAACGTGCCATTGGAACACAGGACTGATGGTTGCTGATAATGGGCCTCTGTATGCCTATGTAGATATTCCATTAAAAATCAGCCGTTTCCAGCTACAATAGCCATTTACAACATTAACAATGTCTACACTGTATTTCTGATCAATTTTATGTTATTTTAATGGACAAAAACATTGCTTTTCTTTCGAAAACAAGGACATTTCTAAGTGACCCCAAACTTTTGAACGGCAGTGTATATTTTAGATTTGAGATTCTTCAAATAGCCACCCTTTGCCTTGATGACAACTTTGCACAAGCTTGGCATTCTCTCAACCAGCTTCACCTGGAATGCTTTTCCAACAGTCTTGAAGGAGTTCCCACATATGCTGAGAACTTGTTGGCTGCTTTTCCTTCACTCTGCGGTCCGACTCATCCCAAACCGTCTCAATTTGGTTGAGGTCGGGGGATTGTGGAGGCCAGGTCATCTGATGCAGCACTCCATCACTCTCCTTCTTGGTAAAATAGCCCTTACACAGCCTGGAGGTGTGTTGGGTCATTGTCCTGTTGAAAAACAAATGATAGTCCCACTAAGCCCAAACCAGATGGGATGGCGTATCGCTGCAGAATGCTGTGGTAGCCATGCTGGTTAAGTGTGCCTTGAATTCTAAATAAATCACAGACAGTGTCACCAGCACAGCACCCCCACACCATAACACCTCCTCCTCCATGCTTTACGGTGGGAAATACACGTGGAGATCATCCGTTCACCCACACTGCGTCTCACAAAGACATGGCGGTTGGAAACAAAAATCTCAAATTAGGACTCCAGACCAAAGGACAAATTTCCACCAGTCTAATGTCCATTGTTCGTGTTTCTTGGCCCAAGCAAGTCTCTTCTTATTATTGGTGTCCTTTAGTAGTGGTTTCTTTGTAGCAATTTGACCATGAAGGCCCTGATCACAGTCTCCTCTGAACAGTTGATGTTGAGATGTAAAATCTGAGGCTGGTAACGCTAATGAACTTATCCTCTGCAGCAGAGGTAACTCTGGGTCTTCCATTCCTGTGGCGGTCCTCATGAGAGACAGTTTCATCATAGCGCTTGATGGTTTTTGCGACTGCACTTGAAGAAACTTTCAAAGTTCTTGAAATGTTCCCTATTGACTGACCTTCATGTCTTAAAGTAATGATGGACTGTCGTTTCTCTTTGCTTATTTGAGCTGTTCTTGCCATATTATGGACTTGGTATTTTACCAAATAGGGCTATCTTCTGTATACCCCCCCCTACCTTTTCACAACACAACTGATTGGCTCAAACGCATTAACAAATTAACTTTTAAGAAGGCACACCTGTTAATTGAAATGCATTCCAGGTGACAACCTCATGAAGCTCGATGAGAGAATGCCAAGAGTGTGCAAAGCTGTTATCAAGGCAAAGGGTGGCTATTTGAAGAATCTCAAATATAAAATATTTTGATTTGTTTAACACTTTTTTGGTTACTACATGATTCCATATGTGTTATTTCATAGTTTTGATGTCTTCACTATTATTCTACAATGTAGAAAATAGTAAAAAATAAAGAAAAACCCTGGAATGAGTAGGTGTGTCCAAACTTTTGACTGGTACTGTACATGGAAATTCATTTTGTGAAATCAGCATACAAATACACAAAAACAATACACTGTAATACACGCAATACGGAAAACACTGGAATTATAATAATTAATGCATACATAATTATTCACAGTGCCAGCAGCCCACTGTCCAACCATGTATCGGGCCTACATCATTCCCATAGAAAACCATTGAGGAAAATTTTGAATTTCAGTTGACTTCCTGAATTGAAATGGAAATTGACCCCCCGCTCACTAACCTGGTGGGGGACCACTGACAGGTTGTTGTGGCCTAGCAGCAGGGACTGCAGGGTCTTACACTGGAACAGGCCTTCTGGGAGATGGTCAATCTAAGGTCAAAGAGAGAAAAACAAATAGATTCTGATTATAAAAGTTGCAATTCAGCCTGTCGTTCTGATGGCTCTCTCTCTTAATAAAAAAAAAAGGTAACTTATATAATACTACATTCTCTCAATACAATGATTTAACGCTCCGTTTTTACACTTGCTTTATAAATCCTTTAGGATTGTGGGTTAGGTTAACACAATAAAATAGCCTACACAATTACAATGATGTCCACATGTCTGTATAAAAAGAAAGTTCCCAAAAACGTGATTAATGAATGAACACATTATTAAATGAGTAATCATAAATCAGATATAATATACGTACATTATTGCTGGACACATTGAGGAGCTGCAGTCTCTTCAGGTCCTGTATTTCAGTGGGAATGGCAGACAGCTTGTTGTGACTGAGGTCTAGCACATAGAGTCTGCTGCACAGAAACAGCTGCGCGGGCACGCGGCTGATGAGGTTATGACCAAGGTGGAGTTGCTCCAGGTTCCCCAGCACTCCGACGTGGACTGGGATGTAAGCGATACTGTTGTACTTCAGCTTCAGGGTAGAGAGCTTGGGAAGGTGCTGGAAACTGATGATCTCCTCAATGGTTTTGAGGTTGTTCCCTTTGAGGTCTATTTCTTGCAGGTTCTTCAGGCTGAAGATATGACTTGGTATCCGCTGGAGATCACAGTTCAGTAGCTCCAAGCAGGTGAGCTGTGACATCGTCTTCAGACTCTGCAGGACTGAGAGTTGGGTGCCTTCATTGTCGACGAAAAGCTTCTGTATCGAGGGTATTGAGTTGGTAATCACTTTCGGCATCGCGGTGATGCTGCACTTGATGAATAACACCTTCAGATTCTTGAGCTTGGGTAGGCCGTTGACGAACGTCGTGTTGTCCTGATTGAACATATTCCCATACAGATAGAGCTCAGTCAGGTTCCGCAAACTGAAAACCCACCAGGGAGCCTGTTCCACCTCTGTGAACTTCATCCTCAGGATCCTCAGGTTCTCAGAGAGAAACCCCAGAGCCATGAGGTCTACAGTGGCAGGAGAATGATCCAGCCAGATCTCTCGCAGGTTCCCAAGCTGCGTAAGCTTCTGCGTGAGCCTAGCGTCCGGGATCATCTGCAGCTTGAGCACCTCCAGCTCCCTGATATCGAACACAGCCTCTGGGATGCCGCTGAGGAGCATGAGATGGAGCTCTATCTGGTCCTGAGCGTTACGCACCACCTTCTGGGTCAGCTTCTCCAAAGGCCACATGTAGTTCAGGTTGAGCTGCCTCAGTTTCTTCTCACTGACCTCCGAGAGGAAGACTGCAAAGCGTTTAGAGAACAGAGGGTTATACTGGTCCAGGAGGTGGAGGATGAAGGCAAAGTCATTCTTGACATCGGGGATGTCGCTGAAGCTGCTCTCCTCCCTCACCGGGTCAAAGGAGTACTCCCTGAGAGAGTTTCTCATCATCCACCAGAAGCTGTAGAAGCAGGTCAAGCTGTACATGACCATCAGTACCGTGTAAACCAAAGAGAGGAGCCAGAAAAAGGTGGCCAACGAGTGAACGCAGCGAAAGGGCTGAAACGGCATCAGCGCTTGGGAATCCACCACACAGTCAACGTCAAACAGGATGTGTGAGGCTGCATAAGGGATATAGGCCAAGGTGAACAGCAGAAACACAATCTTGGTGACTATCTGCCTCATATACAAGTGATAAATGATGTCTTTGTCCTCCACGTGTACTTTCAGTTTCTTCACCTTCTCAAAGATAGCTTTGGCCTGCTCACCTTCCTTTTTGTCTAGAACACTAAGAAACTCTGTGCCCATCAGCCTCCTGCTGCTATAGTCTGATGTTGAAGATGCCTGAGGATCGGGACTACACACGCTCATTGAGGGCTGGGCCCCACCCTGCTCTGCCACCGTCTCTGACAAGGCCCGGGTGGTCCAGGGAGAGTCGCAGCATTTGTGTAGAATGGAGACAAAGTGCATGAGTCTGGAGCTGGTCCTAGGGTACTTGAACCACAAGTTGCTTATAATCACAAGAGCCAGAGTCTCTAACATCACAACGTAGGGGAAGAACTTGGCGAACCAGTGGAGTTGTTGTTCGTAGCACACGGCGTCAACGTAAGCATACTGCTGAAGGTCCAGCTTGTAAAGACTCTTGGGTAGGAGAGGGAAGCTGGCTTCATTAGTGGCATTCCCTGATGTAGTGCCTCTACGGTTAAAACCCCCACAGAAGTCATCTGATGTCATCTGACAGGGGACGCAGACGATCTTGCGGAGGGTGACCTGCAGGCAAAGGGAATTTAAACAGAAGGAAGCATCAGAAACTTCATAACCTGGAACTAAAGCCGTATACACTGGGAGCCAGATGGAATTACATTGAAAGTAATAAAGAGCTTGGGTGAAGAAAATTGCATTAAAACACAAATGAAACATTTTCTGGTAAAATTCCTTGCCTGCAGGGTTCCTCCGAGGGTTCCGATTGAGAACATCATGATGGAGAGATAGTGGCTGAAGACATCCCACCAGGGCTGGAGAACACGGTACAGGGACTGGCCCTGGGCAAAGTCCTTCAGCTCACCTTCAGAGAGCATCTCAGCTGCCTACATGGAAATAGATACAGTTGAGGTCGGACATTTACATACACCTTAGCCAAATACATTTAAACTCAGTTTTTCCACAATTCCTGACATTTAATCCTAGTAAAAATTCCCTGTCTTAGGTCAGTTAGGATCACCACTTTATTTTAAGAATGTGAAATGTCAGAATAATAGTAGAGAGAATGATTTATTTAAGCTTTTATTTCTTTCATCACATTCCCAGTGGGTCAGAAGTTTACATACACTCAATTAGTATTTGGTAGCATTGCCTTTAAGTTGTTTAACTTGCGTCAAACGTTTTGGGTAGCCTTCCTCAAGCTTCCCACAATAAGTTGGGTGGATTTTGGCCCATTCCTCCTGACAGAGCTGGTGTAACTGAGTCAGGTTTGTAGGCCTCCTTGATCGCACACGCTTTTTCAGTTCTGCCCACACATTTTCTATAGGATTGAGGTCAGGGCTTTGTGATGGCCACTCCAATACCTTGACTTTGTTGTCCTTTAGCCATTTTGCCACAACTTTGGAAGTATGCTTGGGGTCATTGTCCATTTGGAAGACCCATTTGCGACCAAGCTTTAACTTCCTGACTGATGTCTTGAGATGTTGCTTCAATATATCCACATAATTTTCCTTCCTCATGATGCCATCTATTTTGTGAAGTGCACCAGTCCCTCCTGCAGCAAAGCACCCCCACAGCATGATGCTGCCACCCCCGTGCTTCACGGTTGGGATGGTGTTCTTCGGCTTGCAAGCAACCCCTTTTTCCTCCAAACATAACGATGGTCATTATGGCCAAACAGTTCTATTTTTGTTTCATCAGACCAGAGGACATTTCTCCAAAAAGTACGATCTTTGTCCCCAGTGCAGTTGCAACCGAGTACCGTCTCTTTACTGTCTGGCTTTTTATGGCGGTATTTGGAGCAGGGTTCGATCCTTGCGGTTTTGCGGCCAGTGGCTTCGGTTAGCGGCTGTCTCAGGTTATGCGATAAGGATCATTTTTACTGTGGATATAGATACTTTTGTACCCGTTTCCTCCAGCATCTTCACAAGGTCCTTTGCGTTGTTCTGGGATTGATTTGCACTTTTCGCACCAAAGTAAGTTCATCTCTAGGAGACAGAACGCGTCTCCTTTCTGAGCGTATGACAGGCTGCGTGGTCCCATGGTGTTTAAAGTTGCGTACTATTGTTTGTACAGATGAACGTGGTACCTTCAGGCTTTGGAATTGCTCCAAGGGAAGACTTTGAAGGACTACAGACTTGCTGGATTTTTTAGATTTTCCATGATGTCAAGCAAAGAGGCACTGAGTTTGAAGGTAGGCCTTGAAATACATCCACAGGTACACCTCCAATTGACTCATGATGTCAATTAGCCTATCAGAAGCTTCTAAAGCCATGACATCATTTTCTGGAATTTTCCAAGCTGTTTAAAGGCACAGTCAACTTAGTGTATGCAAACTTCTGACCCACTGGAATTGTGATACAGTGAATTATAACTGAAATAATCTGTCTGTAAACAATTGTTGGAAAAATTACTTGTGTCATGTACAAAGTAGATGTCCTAACCGACTTGCCAAAACTATAGTTTGTTAACAAGAAATTTGTGGAGTGGTTGAAAAACGAGGTTTAATGACTCCAACCTAAGTGTATGTAAACTTCTGACTCCAACTGTATATACATAAAGAGGATGGAATAATAACAGTATATTAAAAGCAAAAACTATGTTTTAAGTGAGAAGTTAGGCTGGTCTAAAGCCAAAAAATTAAGGAAATTCACATGAACATCAGAAGGCCTAACGTCCCCTATGCTCTACCAGGATTTCGTGCAAATAAAACTAATATGAGTCAAATGGTTACAACAACAATGAGTTTGAAAACCAGTTTTGAGTTTAAACTCTGAAGACAGCAAGCAAGTGCAGGGCAGGCTGCCTGTAAAATTAGACTACTTGTTTGATATTCATGAAAAGGTGAGAGGCGATGTACTGTACTTTTATGTCTTTACTAATCAATCATTGTATTATTAGCATTTTACCAGTAATGTTGTATTATCAAAATATGTTTAGAAGCTAGTTACAGTAGCTGCCTTAATAAGGCCCTTATCTAACGTTCCATGACAGCTAGCTAACCTTAGCTAGTTAGCTTAAGTGTAGCTAGCTAAGGATGTTACGTAAATAATACCGTAGACTAGCTAAATAGTAACCAACAAAACATTGATTTAAAAAAACCTTAGCTACTTCTTTTGGTATTTTGTTTGAAGAACAATACAAACTTCGTGTGAATCTGACGGCACACTGTTACGTTAGTTAGCTAGCTACGCTAGCCTGTGTTGGCTTTGTTGTTTCATGTTCAAGAGAGAAAAAAATTCGGTGTCTGACTGCTGTTTTTTCATGATTATGATCGGAGTATTTTTTGTAATCATCTGTGATGGGGGGGGGGATGCATTTTCGGATGCCAGCGCACATCTTTCAATCAATTTCTACGTGGTCTAACTCAATTGGCTAGTTTGCCTGTCAGGAAAGAGAAGGGCGGGCTGTACGTTGATCCTGCTGCTTTGATTGGATAGAGCGAAGCTGTATTTCTCCGTACACTCGCTTCGCTTCTAAATTTCGCCCGATCACTTCTCCTCGAATATTTCGGTCTGGTCGTTTAGGTTGCTGCTGCCTCCTCCTGTTAGCCTGCTACTATGGCGAGGACGTTTGATACCATAGCAAGCTATCAATGTGCATAATAATATCTAACAAGCGGGGAGAGAGTAGGGAAAAAAAGATTAACTGCCGATGCGCATTCTTGACTAAGTGACAATAAACTGCCCGCTGCAAATTGAGATCTGCAGATTATTTGGTCTATAAACTTGTAGGGAGTATTTTGACAACATCTATTTAGGCATATTAAAACACTTCCGTTTTCCCCCGCTCACGAGTATCATCAGATCCGACTATAAACGGTCAATTACGAATAAGAGTATGGCCAGGTTGGCACACCCCTAGTCTTTACAAAGGCCAGCCACCTCGACCTAGATGACAACCTGGACACAGGGGTAGACGTAATATAGTAAACGTAATCTGACACACTCTGATGTTACGTTTCGTATGGTATGTATCAATTTGAGTATGTCCATCATCCATTTTTTATGATATGTTACGAATTGCAATTCGTACAATGGTACGGATTTGCAAAACATATGCTATTGTTAAGAATTCCAATTTGTTGTGGCTAACGTTAGCTAGGTGGCTAATTCAAAACATTTGCTGGGGTAGGGTTAAATTTAGGGTTAGGAGTTAGGTTAAAGACTTAGGGGAAGGGCAAAAGACAATTTATGCTTGATCGGGAAATGTGGTCGGAGGCTTCATATGGAGGGCGTGACTCAATTGCAGAGCCTCTGGAGGTATGCAGAGGCCTCTCAAATTTTTTAACAATGGTGCTCCATATAGCTCCACATGATTGGTTGACAGTAGGTGAGGGCTGTACGTCCTGTATAAACACAAACTCACTTCCTTGACAACTTCCTTCACAATAGCTCTGCTAAGCTAAGAGCAAGAAGTATGAAAGCCCTGATGTCTGTGGAGGCTGCGTCGCAGTAAATGCTGTACGGCCACTTCAGATGTCGGATTGACCATGCAGAGCCTTTAAGTATTGGGAAAAATGTATATTAGTGTGTGCAATGTCTGACCTTTGCAGGATTAAAGGAGGCAGCATGGTCAAACCGATGTCTGCAGTGGCCCTGCAGCATTTACAGTGATACTTCTTGCGCTTCGCGGAGCAACACAGAGCTGTTGTGAAGGTAGTTGTCAAGGAAGTGAGTTTGTGTTTATACAGGACTTCCGGCCCCCACCTACCGTCAACCAATCATGTCAATGCGGAGCTATACGGTGCCCTCCACATTGTTAAAAAATTTGAGAGGTGCATGTCGGTGGAGCTTAATTTGGCCTCTGCATGCCTCCGGAGGCTCCGCAATTGCATCACACCCTCCGACCACATTTTCGGCTCAATTATAAATTGGCTTTTAGGTCTATTTGTTAGGTTTAGGAGTTTGATTTGTTATTATTAGCTTGTAACTAACACACATTGTTAATGCAAGCTTTTGCATTGCTATTATTAGCCTATGCATTGCTACATGTGTATTTATTGAGTGTTGCCATTGACTGTTATATTAGTAGTGTTGATCACTGATGCAAGGATTTATATAGCATTCCATGCACATAGATCCTATTAAATTCGATTATATGTGTAATTCTATGGTTGCATCACTAGCTCTAGCACATGCCAGTAGCCATGCCTTTAAATAGATAACACAGATATTTGAGGAATATAATTAGATGCCTAATTAATTACAACAGGGGTTCCCAAAATGGTTTGCATTGTAGACCCTTTTTTTATTTCTTTATAGCAAATTCATCAGGGATCCCCTCATAATATCAGAACACAACTCCTTTTAGAGTGTGAAAACAATACTGTACAAACAGTTTTACTATAACTTCTACAGTGCATGGCCAGACTAATCAGACCGTGGGCCCTGGAAATTTTATAGGCTCCACTCTTGGCGTATCAGAGAGAAAAATGTACCGTTTTAAAGATAATTTCCTGCAAATCTACACATTTTGCCATGGGGCAAAGAGAAGGTTTTGCTGTTTTAAAGCTAATTTCTTGCAATTCTACACATTTTGCAATGGGTCAGAATGTGCCATTTGCAATTTTAAAGCTTAGATTACAGTGCATGTATGTTCAAAATAACATTTGGGGGGATTGATGGATTACTGTGGATACCAATATCCCAGAGAGCCTCCCAGGCCCATGTTGTGCATCTAAAGGTTAAGAACATAATGTAATATTGTTCATCCACAATGTATTCTATTGCACACTCTAAAGTTTTTCCACGGATCCCTTGTCCAAAATTCGTTTAGTCTGTTGTTGCTAGCAATATTTAAAATTATTTAAAAAAAAAAAAATACATAATAATCGTCCGCGGACCCGACTTTGGGAACCCCTGTACAGTAGTAGTTACATTTCTTTAGCCCCACCCCTTTATACCTAACCAGTGGCGGGACAGTATTGGTCTGAAACACAATTTGCTGCATGTACCTTTAATCTGGCTGGAGCTGGAGAGAAGTAGCCACGCTAATTTTCCCTTGGAATCAGTGGCGGTTTTACACGGAGGCCGGGGGAGGCCCGTGCCTCCCTGGAAATGTCCCTGGCCACCCCTGTGGCCCCCCCGTGCTGACCAAATAAAAAATTATGAATTTATAACTATTTTACACGCGCGCGCCAAAAGCGGAACTAATGCAACGCTCTACACGGCAACGTTCTACACGGGTAAATTAGAGTGGCGCACCCAAAAACTGTATCCTGCCATCTGCCTGCCTGCCACGTGTGGTGCTGCTTCGGTGAATGAGAGCTCAGCAACTACTATTTGCGAGAGGAGCTACGATTTGCAGGAGTTGAAGGTAAGCACGATTTAATATCATAAGTGACTTGTTGTTCTTGCACATAGCCTACATGTTCCTTTTGTTCCTCACACATAAATCAAATCAAGTTTTTAAATGTCTGGTCTCGATTTGTTTAGAAATGTAATCATATCTAAGCAAACTCATCGAAGCAGAAGCAAATATCCAAATGTTAGTAGGCTATCCTTGCTAGGTCTACACAATGTTGTGATGTTAACCACGTAACTTCATCCGTCTTGGCTGTTGCATCGCGATAACAAATACATTTTTAGTAAAGTAATCAACAGGTTATCTGCCAGTGTTAAGTAGGGAGGGATGGTTAGGTAACAAAATGTAATGCATGCCCCTACGTTTTTTCTTCTTCTAATAGTTATCATGAAACGAGGAAGGGACATAAAGTCATTTTTTGCCCCAGCAAACAAAAAAGTGAGAGAAACAAATCGAGGTTTTGAGAAAGTTGAGGAAGAGGGAGAGCCAGCATGTGATGAAAGTGAGGGGTCTGACAAAGAGAGGGAAATTCCAGAGGGTGAGGAGGATGAAGAAGAGGGTGAGGAGGATGAAGAAGAGGGTGAGGAGAATGAAGAAGAGGGCGAGGAGAATGAAGAAGAGGGTGAGAAGCATGAAGAAGAAAGCATACAGGGACAGAGAGATGAACAGCCAGAGGGACAGCAAGTGGATCCATGTGGATCAAGTACTGCACCATCAGGTTTGTGATGAGGAAGGTTCTTACTATTTGCAAAGCAATGCAATTACAATGTAATGGTAGGCCTGCTGGGTGTCCTTAAAATGCTGCTTTCTGCTGTTAATTATTTTTTGTGTCAATATGGCTCAGTTTTTTTTTTAAAGTAAATACTTTGCCTACATTTTGAAATACATGCAGATATACAGTAAATAAATGTTGTAGTTGTGCCCTATGTTTACTGTCCATCTTCTTCAGATATCAGCAAGTCTAAGTATGACGTACCAGTACAGCCGAACTTGAAGATATTCCCAACCACACTGATGGGGGACAGAAGACGAAGCTTCAGACCAAACTGGTACACTACTCATCCATGGCTTGAGTATTCTGTAATGACGGACTCTACATGTTGCTATGCATGTAGACATTTTAGCACACCAAATGCCCCAGACACCGTTTTTGTTTCAACACCTGGTTTTAAAACTGGAAAAAGGCAACTATGAGAAATGCAGGGTTTTCACTACATGCAAAGTCTGAACGACACAAGTGTGCAATGATCGCATGGAGGGATTATCAAAGAGCTGTTAGAACTGACGCAACACTAACAGATCTCCTTGACAAAGAACACACTAAACAAGTACAAGAAAATCAGGCATACATTAAAACAGTTGGGGAAGTGCTGTTGCTTACAGCTACACAAAACATAGCACAAAGAGGACATGATGAATCTGAAGGGTCCACTAACAAAGGAAACTTTAGGGAAATTCTTAACACAGTTGCTAACCACGACCAACTTGTTAAGAGAAGATTAACTTCCATTCACAATGCAAAGTACACAAGCAAGATCATCCAGAATGAGGTTTTGGGTTGTTTGGCAGAAATGGTTCGGTCTGAAATCATAGAAGAAGTGAAGAAAAGTGAGGTTTTTAGCGTCATGGCAGATGAAACAAAGGATATTTCAAAAAAAGAACAGATGTCCTTCACACTCAGGTACTATTACAATGGGGCCATTAAGGAGAGTTTTCTCCATTTTGAATCTGCAGAGAGGTTAGATGCAGCAGGGCTTACTGGAAAAATAGTACACTTACTGGAACGTTATGGCCTGGACTACAAAAATAACCTCGTAGGCCAAGCGTACGATGGCGCTGCCGTTATGAGCGGTAAGCATTCAGGGGTTCAGGCAAGGATCAAAGAACAGGCTAAATTTGCCTTCTACGTCCATTGTAGTGCTCATTGTCTGAATTTAGTGTTAGTTGATGTAGTCAAAAGTGTCCCAGAAACGGAGGAGTTTTTTTCTTTGTTACAGAGTCTTTATATGTTTACTTCTTCCTCATATGTGCACCCAAAATGGCTGTCTCTCCAAAGAGAAATGTATGGCAGAACCAGAGAGCTGCAACGTTTAAGCGACACACGTTGGTCATGCCGATTTCTAGCCCTACGTAATATCATGGACACTCTACCTGCCCTTAAACGACTACTGCAAGAGATTGCTCAAGAACGTCATGGTGAAAGAACTGTTGAGGCCCGAGGTCTTCTTGCTCAAATTGACCTAGAATTTGTTGTGCATCTTGTTACTCTGCGTAAGTTGTTTGGGGAGACAAAGCTATTGTCTGACATGTTACAGTCACAAACTGTTGATCTGTCAAGTGCTGTTGACTTAGTAAATGCTTTAGTCCTGACATTGAAAGACCACAGGCAGGAGTCTTTCTTTGATGAGTTGTGGGATGAAGCATTGAATATTTGTGAGCAGTGTGATTCTGCAACAAGGTCAGTGGCGAAACGTCAGAAAATGCTGAGCTCTAGACTCAGTGGCTACTGCACGCTAAGCACTGTTGGTCAGAGGGAGGTAGAACGTGACAAAGATATGTTTCTCACATCATTTTTCTATCCTGTAATTGACAGCATGCTCAATGAGTTGAACAGACGTTTCTCCAATACAAACTGTGAGCTCATGAGAAGCATACAGTCTCTCAGTCCCCAGAGTGATACCTTTTTAAAGGAGAGCAATGTTTTTTCATTTGGCCGTTTGTATAATGCAGACATTGATGATTTAGGGCATGAGCTCCATCAATTTAAGAGAGTTTTGGACAGAAAAATACAGAGTGGTGAAGTCAAAAAGCCATGCAGTACAGTTGAGCTGGTTTGTTTTATTGAGCCATACAGGGAAGTTTTCTTTGAGCTTTTTAGACTGTGCAAGATTGCTGTAACCCTTCCTGTAAGCTCAGCCTCTTGCGAACGCAGTTTCTCCACACTGAAACTGATAAAAACCTTCCTGCGGTCCACCACTAGTGATGAGAGACTCAGTGATCTTGGTGTCCTGAGCATAGAGTCCAGAAGGGCCAAGGCTCTGGATCTTGATGTATTTGTGGACCGTTTTGCCAGACAGCACAACCGCCGTATCCTGTTGCTGTAGTGTATCTATATGATATATACGCTAGTAGCGTATGAGTGCCGCTGTGAGGAAAAAGAGATATAATGAACAATAAAACAACAAGCTTGAGCTTCTTAAGACACGGTGGGTTTATCTGTTCTCAATACCACCGGTAAAATGAATGGAGTTAGTCTGGTGTCCACATGAAGTTACGTGTGTAGACAAAGAGTCTGGTGTCCATATGAAGTTACATGTGTAGACAGAGACAGTCTGGTGTCCATATGAAGTTACATGTGTAGACAGAGACAGTCTGGTGCCCATATGAAGTTAAATGTGTAAACAAAGACAGTCTGGTGTCCATATGAAGTTAAATGTGTAGACAGAGACAGTCTGGTGCCCATATGAAGTTAAATGTGTAAACAAAGACAGTCTGGTGTCCATATGAAGTTACATGTGTAGACAGAGACAGTCTGGTGCCCATATGAAGTTAAATGTGTAAACAAAGACAGTCTGGTGTCCATATGAAGTTACATGTGTAGACAGAGACAGTCTGGTGCCCATATGAAGTTAAATGTGTAAACAAAGACAGTCTGGTGTCCATATGAAGTTACATGTGTAGACAGAGACAGTCTGGTGCCCATATGAAGTTACATGTGTAGACAAAGAGTCTGGTGTCCATATGAAGTTACATGTGTAAACAGAGACGGTCTGGGGTCCATATGAAGTTAGATGTGTAGACAAAGACAGTCTGGTGTCCACATGAAGTTACATGTGTCTACTTAGATGAACCCACCGTGTCTTAAGAAGCTGAAGCTTGTTTTATTTTTCATTTTACATCATCTATCTTTTTTTCCTCACAGTACCAGTAGTTCCACACACTACTAGAGTGTATGTATGTTTGTATGTATGTATATATATCCCACCAATCCTCTCTCAAGAGGTTTTCAAAAAGGGGCAAACTCATGTCTCAAGACCTGCTTCTGTTGGTTCCCCTCTCCTGCCTGTAACTTTCCATCCACATCCCCAAAGTTTTGTGGCCCATTATGACATCACTCCATTAAGTGATTGCTGCATGTACTGCTCTAAGGAAACACTTCTCTCTCTCTCTCTCTCTCTCTCTCTCTCTCTCGATAGATAGATAGAGTTTATGATTTTATTCTTTTGAATTATCTCTGCCAAACATCTATGTACTACAAATCTTCAAGCTCCACAGATGTTTTATGGCATCCACTAAACCTCTTTAGATATTTGTAAATTATACAGTGTGATACCTTTCAACAAAAGTTTATTTTATTTTTTACCAACTATGATTTTTCCTTTTGAAAACAAGCAAAGCAAGAAAAAAAAGAAACAAAATCACTCCAATCATTGCACACTTGTGTCGTTCAGACTTTGCAGGTCCAGCTTTGACATGATGATCTAACTAACACTAATATTGTAACTAATATTGTAACTGAAATATGTATGATCCTATGATGAGCGATTGCTTACTTCCCTTTCACTCTTAAAAAATTACTGAAAAAAAATGTGTATAAAAAGGTATATGTAGTAAATGTTTGTTTAGTGAGCATTCATGCTGTCATTTTTTCCTAATGTGAACTATGGTGGAAATGTGCTGTCCTAAATGGACTTGCCCATATATGTTGTAAAGCCTTTTTTTGTACACCTGCTCATCAACTGACAGTGAAGTACACAAAGACACAGACACACACACACACACACAGACACCTGTAATATTCTTGTTTTCATGTTGTTGCTGATATCCATCAGTGTTGTTCATATTGCTACATTGTGTTGACATGATTGTTGCTTTTAAACGAATGTTAACTTAATGTTTATTGTCTGCATCCTATTGGACTACTGGATGTTAATGTGTAACACGTTTCCCTGTTTATGTGCTTTAGCAATACTGTATGTCAATATGGTCATGCTAGTAAAGCCTCTTTGAATTGAATTTCTTTTCTGATTTGGTTTATTTTACCTAAATGGATACAGGGTAGTGTGTTTTGTTTATAAATCACTCAGAAAGTTTTCTTTCTTAAAACAAAATGTGGAATCAACTGTCGACAGTAGTGGGGCTTCCATAAATAGGAAATGGCACATTGTTGTACCCTTTGTTGTATCCTGGAGTTTTGTTCACATTGAATATGAACCCTGTATTTGTACCCTGTACTTTTTAATTTTTATTTATTTATTTATTTTTTCATTTTTATGGCACTATCTCTCTTGCATCTGCACTCTTGTACAAAATACGTGTTATAATAAATGTCATATGATTTTAAAGTAAAATAAAGTTTCTAATCTTTGAATATCATGTGTTGCCAGTTTTTTTATGTGTGCCCCCCTGATTAAACACTGGCCCCTCCTTGGCCCCCCTAGTAAAATGTGTCTAGAACCGCCACTGCTTGGAATCCACCTTTTCCTCTCATGAAATATCGTAGGCCTATTCTTCAATTGTAAGTATGCTTGCAATTTCCTAAAGTCACTTTGAAGTACATGTGCCATTCTATTTTGCTTTGCATGCTTTGGTCCAGAAATAATTTCAATGATGTACAGTGAAGTTTCATGACAAAAATCATACACTGCTATTTGCTGCGGATATTTTAATACATTTGGCGTCCTAATAAATATGGGTTTCTTATTAATGTCGTAAGTTTCTTAATTGAATACTTTGCGATTCAAAACTATTACGTTTTATAAATTTATCAACGTTTTACCTTTAAACATGTATATCAGACTCTGAATCACGAAAGTGTCAATCATTAATGTGTTCAGTTGTATAACTACGATCCATTATATTCACTGATTCGATTGGTCAGAGTTGGGGGTGGGGATATTTTGACGTGTAGAATCTTGCGAAGCAAAACATGAAGTAGTTTTACTAAACGTGCATCTCCTCTGTCTATTTGCAAGTACCGGTAAGTGAATTTGAATTTTCAGGTGCATATTTTATGATCCTTACAATCCGGAATCCTTGGGACGTCCCTACCCCATTTGAATTTGACATTTAAAATGGGAAGGGGTTAATTAAGGTTAGGGTTTAGGGAAGGGACGTCCCAAGACCCCGGATAGCACTGTCCCATGTTTTATCTGCATTGCAAATAGTTTTGAGTCACTGGTACCAAACGGTGTCTATTTGCTTATTTTAATGAATCCGAAATAAAAGTATACTGTGTTATTATAATTTGACCAGTTTCTTTGTAAATAGGCTACCAGAGGGGTATACTAAGAAGCAAGCTATATATCTACTCTACTAACCCTTCCTCAGTTCCATTATATTACACATAAGTCATTGGACGAAGCTCAGTGAGACGAAGTCGTCTTCTGTACAGGGGAGTTTTGTTAAGAGCCCAACAGCTTGGTCTAAACATTAACACGCATTGCTTGCGATACGGTGTTGGAAGTATAAGGACCTTAGCTATCTTTCATTTAATTGATACACACCTTTATAGGGTTCCCACACGCAATATCTCCACGTTACAGCGCGTGTTTACGGTAAACAGACGGAAGACAGTCAACTACCTATGCTAACTATCTATCTGCATCTCCTAACACCTGTGTGGAAACGGAAGATGGACGCCACAAATGTATTGTAACTGAAAAATACTTTGGGGGCTGCAACTGTGTTAAAACCGGTTAAAACAGTAAGTGTATATTTTGAGATTGAAATTATTTTTTAATGTGATATGAAAGTAGAGGGCTTTATGTTTCTAGAACCCTACTACCACAATTGAGAACATTAACGTTTAGATGGAGTATTTGGCTGTTTTGGCTACCAGAGCCAATTCGCCTCTAAACAGAACATGTAAGGTGCACCACGGTTGCCATGACATCAAATATATATATTTCACTGTGACATGCTGCTGCTAACTATCAGGCAGTGAGACAGGCTGTTGCTGAGTGAGCGGTGGGGAGGGCCGGAGGGGTGTGTGTTGAGAGGGCACTGCAGCATGCAGCTTAGTTCACTATTGGCTGAGTCACATGAGTGAGAGAAGACAGAGCAGCACATGCGCACCTCGTGACGACCTTCTACCAGTTGTAGGTAGGCTATTTATGAGCAAGTGGACATTTTAAATGGACGTTATGGAACTCTCTTGCTTGCTTCTGTTATGGGGAAAAGTCCTCAATGAAACTGACATTTAAATGTGGAGAATGATATATTTGCATCTGTTGGCCATCAAGTAGCCTATTAATTTACGCTGAACAAAAATATAAAGGCAACATGTAAAGTGGTGGTCTCATGTTTCATGAGCTGAAATAAAAGATCCCAGAAATTTTCCATATGCACGAAAAGCTTATTTCTCTCAAATTTGATGCACAAATTTGTTTACATCCCTGTTAGTGAGCATTTCTCCTTTGCCAAGATAATCCATCCACTTGACAGGTGTGGCATATCAAGAAGCTGATTAAACAGGATTGTCATTAGACAGGTGCCTCTTGTGCTGGGGACAATAAAAGGTGACTCTAAAATCTGCAGTTTTGTCACACAACACAATGCCACAGATGTCTCCAAGTTTTGAGGGAGTGCGCAATTGGCATGCTGACTGCAGGAATGACCATCAGAGCTGTTGCCAGATAATTGAATGTTAATTTCTCTACCAAAAGCCACCTTCAATGTCGTTTTAGAGAATTTGGCAGTACGTCCAACCGGCCTCACAACTGCAGACCACGTGTATGGCGTTATGTGGGCGAGCGGTTTGCTGATGTCAACGTTGTGAACAGAGTGCCCCATGAAGTCGGTGGGGTTATGGTATGGAAAGGCATATGCTACGGACAACGAACACAATTGCATTTTATCGATGGCAATTTGTATGCAATTTGTATGCCCATTTTTTAAAGGTATCTGTGACCAACAGATGTATATCTGAATTCCCAGTCATGTGAAATCCATAGATTAGGGCCTAATGAATTTATTTCAATTGACTGATTTCCTTATAAGAACTGTAACTCAGGAAAGTATTTGAAATTGTTGCATGTTGCGTTTATATTTTTGCTCAGTCAGTGGCGGTTCTAGACACATTTTACTAGGGGGGCCAAGGAGGGGCCAGTGTTTAATCAGGGGGGCACACATAAAAAAACTGGCAACACATGATATTCAAAGATTATAAACTTTATTTTACTTTAAAATCATATGACATTTATTATAACACGTATTTTGTACAAGAGTGCAGATGCAAGAGAGATAGTGCCATAAAAATGAAAAAATAAATAAATAAAAAAAAATTAAAAAGTACAGGGTACAAATACAGGGTTCATATTCAATGTGAACAAAACTCCAGGATACAACAAAGGGTACAACAATGTGCCATTTCCTATTTATGGAAGCTCCACTACTGTGGACAGTTGATTCCACATTTTGTTTTAAGAAAGAAAACTTTCTGAGTGATTTATAAACAAAACACACTACCCTGTATCCATTTAGGTAAAATAAACCAAATCAGAAAAGAAATTCAATTCAAAGAGGCTTTACTAGCATGACCATATTGACATACAGTATAGCTAAAGCACATAAACAGGGAAACGTGTTACACATTAACATCCAGTAGTCCAATAGGATGCAGACAATAAACATTAAGTTAACATTCGTTTAAAAGCAACAATCATGTCAACACAATGTAGCAATATGAACAACACTGATGGATATCAGCAACAACATGAAAACAAGAATATTACAGGTGTCTGTGTGTGTGTGTCTGTGTCTTTGTGTACTTCACTGTCAGTTGATGAGCAGGTGTACAAAAAAAGGCTTTACAACATATATGGGCAAGTCCATTTAGGACAGCACATTTCCACCATAGTTCACATTAGGAAAAAATGACAGCATGAATGCTCACTAAACAAACATATACTACATATACCTTTTTATACAAAATTTTTTCCAGTAATTTTTTAAGAGTGAAAGGGAAGTAAGCAATCGCTCATCATAGGATCATACATATTTCAGTTACAATATTAGTTACAATATTAGTGTTAGTTAGATCATCATGTCAAAGCTGGACCTGCAAAGTCTGAACGACACAAGTGTGCAATGATTGGAGTGATTTTGTTTCTTTTTTTTCTTGCTTTGCTTGTTTTCAAAAGGAAAAATCATAGTTGGTAAAAAATAAAATAAACTTTCGTTGAAAGGTATCACACTGTATAATTTACAAATATCTAAAGAGGTTTAGTGGATGCCATAAAACATCTGTGGAGCTTGAAGATTTGTAGTACATAGATGTTTGGCAGAGATAATTCAAAAGAATAAAATCATAAACTCTATCTATCTATCGAGAGAGAGAGAGAGAGAGAGAGAGAGAGAGAGAGAAGTGTTTCCTTAGAGCAGTACATGCAGCAATCACTTAATGGAGTGATGCCATAATGGGCCACAAAACTTTGGGGATGTGGATGGAAAGTTACAGGCAGGAGAGGGGAACCAACAGAAGCAGGTCTTGAGACATGAGTTTGCCCCTTTTTGAAAACCTCTTGAGAGAGGATTGGTGGGATATATATACATACATACAAACATACATACACTCTAGTAGTGTGTGGAACTACTGGTACTGTGAGGAAAAAAAGATAGATGATGTAAAATGAAAAATAAAACAAGCTTCAGCTTCTTAAGACACGGTGGGTTCATCTAAGTAGACACATGTAACTTCATGTGGACACCAGACTGTCTTTGTCTACACATCTAACTTCATATGGACCCCAGACCGTCTCTGTTTACACATGTAACTTCATATGGACACCAGACTCTTTGTCTACACATGTAACTTCATATGGGCACCAGACTGTCTCTGTCTACACATGTAACTTCATATGGACACCAGACTGTCTTTGTTTACACATTTAACTTCATATGGGCACCAGACTGTCTCTGTCTACACATGTAACTTCATATGGACACCAGACTGTCTTTGTTTACACATTTAACTTCATATGGGCACCAGACTGTCTCTGTCTACACATGTAACTTCATATGGACACCAGACTGTCTCTGTCTACACATGTCTACACACGTAACTTCATGTGGACACCAGACTAACTCCATTCATTTTACCGGTGGTATTGAGAACAGATAAACCCACCGTGTCTTAAGAAGCTCAAGCTTGTTGTTTTATTGTTCATTATATCTCTTTTTCCTCACAGCGGCACTCATATGCTACTAGCGTATATATCATATAGATACACTACAGCAACAGGATACGGCGGTTGTGCTGTCTGGCAAAACGGTCCACAAATACATCAAGATCCAGAGCCTTGGCCCTTCTGGACTCTATGCTCAGGACACCAAGATCACTGAGTCTCTCATCACTAGTGGTGGACCGCAGGAAGGTTTTTATCAGTTTCAGTGTGGAGAAACTGCGTTCGCAAGAGGCTGAGCTTACAGGAAGGGTTACAGCAATCTTGCACAGTCTAAAGAGCTCAAAGAAAACTTCCCTGTATGGCTCAATAAAACAAACCAGCTCAACTGTACTGCATGGCTTTTTGACTTCACCACTCTGTATTTTTCTGTCCAAAACTCTTAAATTGATGGAGCTCATGCCCTAAATCATCAATGTCTGCATTATACAAACGGCCAAATGAAAAAACATTGCTCTCCTTTAAAAAGGTATCACTCTGGGGACTGAGAGACTGTATGCTTCTCATGAGCTCACAGTTTGTATTGGAGAAACGTCTGTTCAACTCATTGAGCATGCTGTCAATTACAGGATAGAAAAATGATGTGAGAAACATATCTTTGTCACGTTCTACCTCCCTCTGACCAACAGTGCTTAGCGTGCAGTAGCCACTGAGTCTAGAGCTCAGCATTTTCTGACGTTTCGCCACTGACCTTGTTGCAGAATCACACTGCTCACAAATATTCAATGCTTCATCCCACAACTCATCAAAGAAAGACTCCTGCCTGTGGTCTTTCAATGTCAGGACTAAAGCATTTACTAAGTCAACAGCACGTGACAGATCAACAGTTTGTGACTGTAACATGTCAGACAATAGCTTTGTCTCCCCAAACAACTTACGCAGAGTAACAAGATGCACAACAAATTCTAGGTCAATTTGAGCAAGAAGACCTCGGGCCTCAACAGTTCTTTCACCATGACGTTCTTGAGCAATCTCTTGCAGTAGTCGTTTAAGGGCAGGTAGAGTGTCCATGATATTACGTAGGGCTAGAAATCGGCATGACCAACGTGTGTCGCTTAAACGTTGCAGCTCTCTGGTTCTGCCATACATTTCTCTTTGGAGAGACAGCCATTTTGGGTGCACATATGAGGAAGAAGTAAACATATAAAGACTCTGTAACAAAGAAAAAAACTCCTCCGTTTCTGGGACACTTTTGACTACATCAACTAACACTAAATTCAGACAATGAGCACTACAATGGACGTAGAAGGCAAATTTAGCCTGTTCTTTGATCCTTGCCTGAACCCCTGAATGCTTACCGCTCATAACGGCAGCGCCATCGTACGCTTGGCCTACGAGGTTATTTTTGTAGTCCAGGCCATAACGTTCCAGTAAGTGTACTATTTTTCCAGTAAGCCCTGCTGCATCTAACCTCTCTGCAGATTCAAAATGGAGAAAACTCTCCTTAATGGCCCCATTGTAATAGTACCTGAGTGTGAAGGACATCTGTTCTTTTTTTGAAATATCCTTTGTTTCATCTGCCATGACGCTAAAAACCTCACTTTTCTTCACTTCTTCTATGATTTCAGACCGAACCATTTCTGCCAAACAACCCAAAACCTCATTCTGGATGATCTTGCTTGTGTACTTTGCATTGTGATTGGAAGTTAATCTTCTCTTAACAAGTTGGTCGTGGTTAGCAACTGTGTTAAGAATTTCCCTAAAGTTTCCTTTGTTAGTGGACCCTTCAGATTCATCATGTCCTCTTTGTGCTATGTTTTGTGTAGCTGTAAGCAACAGCACTTCCCCAACTGTTTTAATGTATGCCTGATTTTCTTGTACTTGTTTAGTGTGTTCTTTGTCAAGGAGATCTGTTAGTGTTGCGTCAGTTCTAACAGCTCTTTGATAATCCCTCCATGCGATCATTGCACACTTGTGTCGTTCAGACTTTGCATGTAGTGAAAACCCTGCATTTCTCATAGTTGCCTTTTTCCAGTTTGTAAAACCAGGTGTTGAAACAAAAACGGTGTCTGGGGCATTTGGTGTGCTAAAATGTCTACATGCATAGCAACATGTAGAGTCCGTCATTACAGAATACTCAAGCCATGGATGAGTAGTGTACCAGTTTGGTCTGAAGCTTCGTCTTCTGTCCCCCATCAGTGTGGTTGGGAATATCTTCAAGTTCGGCTGTACTGGTACGTCATACTTAGACTTGCTGATATCTGAAGAAGATGGACAGTAAACATAGGGCACAACTACAACATTTATTTACTGTATATCTGCATGTATTTCAAAATGTAGGCAAAGTATTTACTTAAAAAAAAAAACAGAGCCATATTGACACAAAAAAGAATTAACAGCAGAAAGCAGCATTTTAAGGACACCCAGCAGGCCTACCATTACATTGTAATTGCATTGCTTTGCAAATAGTAAGAACCTTCCTCATCACAAACCTGATGGTGCAGTACTTGATCCACATGGATCCACTTGCTGTCCCTCTGGCTGTTCATCTCTCTGTCCCTGTATGCTTTCTTCTTCATGCTTCTCACCCTCTTCTTCATTCTCCTCGCCCTCTTCTTCATCCTCCTCACCCTCTTCTTCATCCTCCTCACCCTCTTCTTCATCCTCCTCACCCTCTGGAATTTCCCTCTCTTTGTCAGACCCCTCACTTTCATCACATGCTGGCTCTCCCTCTTCCTCAACTTTCTCAAAACCTCGATTTGTTTCTCTCACTTTTTTGTTTGCTGGGGCAAAAAATGACTTTATGTCCCTTCCTCGTTTCATGATAACTATTAGAAGAAGAAAAAACGTAGGGGCATGCATTACATTTTGTTACCTAACCATCCCTCCCTACTTAACACTGGCAGATAACCTGTTGATTACTTTACTAAAAATGTATTTGTTATCGCGATGCAACAGCCAAGACGGATGAAGTTACGTGGTTAACATCACAACATTGTGTAGACCTAGCAAGGATAGCCTACTAACATTTGGATATTTGCTTCTGCTTCGATGAGTTTGCTTAGATATGATTACATTTCTAAACAAATCGAGACCAGACATTTAAAAACTTGATTTGATTTATGTGTGAGGAACAAAAGGAACATGTAGGCTATGTGCAAGAACAACAAGTCACTTATGATATTAAATCGTTTCTTACCTTCGACTCCTGCAAATCGTAGCTCCTCTCGCAAATAGTAGTTGCTGAGCTCTCATTCACCGAAGCAGCACCACACGTGGCAGGCAGGCAGATGGCAGGATACAGTTTTTGGGTGCGCCACTCTAATTTACCCGTGTAGAACGTTGCCGTGTAGAGCGTTGCATTAGTTCCGCTTTTGGCGCTCGCGTGTAAAATAGTTATAAATTCATAATTTTTTATTTGGTCAGCACGGGGGGGCCACAGGGGTGGCCAGGGACATTTCCAGGGAGGCACGGGCCTCCCCCGGCCTCCGTGTAAAACCGCCACTGCGCTCAGTATATATGCCATTGTAGACTACTGTAGGCTACCATTTGATACAATAAATATGTTGAAATGACTATATCACTGGAGTCATTGCAAATCAATTTGTGGCACTTGTGTAGCCTACTTGGAGCTGGCAAACGGATGTAATAATTAACTTCAGTGTGTTGTTGTAGGATTGTGTTATTATGCAATTATTAATGGCCATGTTTAGTTAATTAAATTGGAAATTATCAAAGCTGTATCGCAATTGCCGAGCAGTTGTTAGATTGACGGTAACAGTCAGATTAGGTTACAGATAAAAAAATATATAAAAAATGAACACTGGCTGTTGTTGACAAGCATATTAAGTTCATAACATACAGTTGAAGTAGGAAGTTTACATACACCTTAGCCAAATACATTTAAACTCAGTTTTTCACAATTCGTGACATTTAATCCTAGTAAAAGTTTCCTGTCTTAGGTCAGTTAGGATCACCACTTTATTTTAAGAATGTGAAATGTCAGAATAATAGTAGAGAGAATGATTTATTTCAGCTTTTATTTCTTTCATTACATTCCCAGTGGGTCAGAAGTTTACATACACTCAAACGTTTCGGGTAGCCTTCCACAAGCTTCCCACAATAAGTTGGGTGAATTTTGGCCCATTCCTCCTGACAGAGCTGGTGTAACTGAGTTAGGTTTGTAGGCCTCCTTGATCGCACACGCCTTTTCAGTTCTGCCCACACATTTTCTATAGGATTGAGGTCAGGGCTTTGTGATGGCCACTCCAATACCTTGACTTTGTTGTCCTTAAGCCATTTTGGCACAACTTTGGAAGTATGCTTGGGGTCATTGTCCATTTGGAAGACCCATTTGCGACCAAGCTTTAACTTCCTGACTGATGTCTTGAGATGTTGCTTCAATATATCCACATAATTTTCCTTCCTCATGATGCCATCTATTTTGTGAAGTGCACCAGTCCCTCCTGCAAAAAAGCACCCCCACAGCATGATGCTGCCACCCCTGTGCTTCACGGTTGGGATGGTGTTCTTCGGCTTGCAAGCACCTCCTTTTTCCTCCAAACATAACGATGGTCGTTATGGCCAAACAGTTCTATTTTTGTTTCATCAGACCAGAGGACATTTCTCCAAAAAGTACGATCTTTGTCCCCATGTGCAGTTGCAAACCGTAGTCTGGCTTTTTTATGGCGATTTTGGAGCAGTGGCTTCTTCCTTGCTGAGCGGCCTTTCAGGTTATGTCGATATAGGACTCGTTTTACTGTGGATATAGATACTTTGTACCTGTTTCCTCCAGCATCTTCACAAGGTCCTTTGCTGTTGTTCTGGGATTGATTTGCACTTTTCGCACCAAAGTACGTTCATCTCTAGGAGACAGAACGCGTCTCCTTCCTGAGCGGTATGACGGCTGCGTGGTCTTGGCTGATTTCTTTTGATTTTCCCATGATTTCAAGCAAAGAGGCACTGAGTTTGAAGGAAGGCCTTGAAATACATCCACAGGTACACCTCCAATTGACTCAAATTATGTCAATTAGCCTATCAGAAGCTTCTAAAGCCATGACATATTTTTCTGGAATTTTCCAAGCTGTTTAAAGGCACAGTTAACTTAGTGTATGTAAACTTCTGACCCACTAGAATTGTGATACAGTGAATTATAAGTGAAATAATCTGTCTGTAACAATTATTGGAAAAATTACTGTTGTGTCATGCACAATGTAGATGTCCGAATCGACTTGCCAAAACTATAGTTTGTTAACAAGAAATTTGTGGAGTGGTTGAAAAACGGGTTTTAATGACTCCAACCTAAGTGTATGTAAACTTCCGACTTCAACTGTATTATTAATATTTAATTCAGTGATTAAAATTTTTAAAAAAGTCTTTTTTAATTAATATTTTTTTAAATTCGGATTTTTCAGGGGGTGCTTCAGCACCCCTACTTCCTGTAGCTATGCCTACAGCCAGCCCGACTGGTTGTAGCTATGGTAACAGCCAGCCCGACTGGTTGTAGCTATGGTAACAGCCAGCCCGACTGGTTGTAGCTACGTGGTTATTAATGCTGTGCAATCAATCAGTATTAGTGATTGTCATGTGTTGTGGCAGAAATATAGCTGTCATATAGGAAAAAAAAAAAAGAATTCTGCTGTACCTTTGGGATCATCAGTTTTGTATTGCAGTGTTGATCTGTCAATTGAAAAATGCTATTCATCTGCACTGTTTTGCAGATATGAACATTACACATCGAACCTTCAGCTCTGCATGCCGCTTGATTAACATCAACTGTATCAGAAACCTCTCCCACTCACAGGTGAGTGTTATGAAATGTTTATACGTTGTTATAGCCTAATATAATGTTGAACGTAGATGTTCTTGCTTAATGCTGGCATCTCAATTTCTTCGTCTCAGCGCGTTATGGCATCATCAAGGCATACGAACTCCAAAAGGATTGAGGGACTGGACAAGAATGTTTGGTAAGTTCGTTGACAGGTTACCACGACCTGTACGTTGGTCCCACTTCCGAAACCAGGGCAGCACCTGGCGGGAATGAGTCTCAAACTCTGCTAACCACTGCTTTGCGGTGTGCAAGTAAGCCGGTTCATTGGACGGTGTATACCATGTTTATCCCGTACGTACACACGAATAATAAAAACTTGAAAGAAACTTGAAACTCCAATAATGTCCCTCTTGGGGGAGATCGTAACGTGCTTACAAACATTCCTTCATTTCATGAATGAAAGGCGCAGTAACTAACGGTCTGTGTTGGTGTCAGGGTGGCGTTCACCTCGGTGGCAGCAGACCCCACCATAGTGAACCTGGGTCAGGGCTACCCCGACATCCCTCCCCCCGCCTACGTCAAGGAGGGCCTAGCCAACGCTGCTGCAGTGGACAAGCTCAACCAGTACACAAGAGGCTTTGTAAGTCTAATAACAGAGTATCTATCTATTGAAATGTAATATTGTAGGCCTACATTAAGTGCACCAACATATAGTCATTGGCAGTGGCGGGCATATTGAGTGTTTAATAATGTAGCCAGCCAGCCAGCCAGCCTGCAACTGTATAGATTCATGTGTGTGTAAGTTATTGATCATTCTAAGCTAAACTGGTAATAATATAATAAAAATATATAATATGCCATCTAGCAGACGCTTTTATGCTCTACCAGCTGAGCTACAGAGGACCACTGGTAAACTGTAGTCATGTAATGTATAACAGGGTCGTGGTCACTTCACAGAACAGTACAGTACACAGCAAGCTCTGTTAAATAAACATTGGTATTAGATTGCCTCCATCCGTGTATAAGAGTACATGATCCTGAATTGCTTCTCTGACACTAGCACTTTGTTTGATCTCTTACAGGGCCACCCGTCTCTGGTGAAGGCTCTTTCTCAGGTGTATGGGAAAGTGTATGGACACCAGATTGATCCTTTCAAGGAGATACTGGTCACAGTAGGGGGCTATGGATCCTTATTCAGTACCATGCAGGCACTGGTGGAGGTGGGAGATGAGGTGAGGGGTTATTCTTTGTTTAAAACCTACTGACTCATATTTAGCCTGGTACCAGAACTGTTTGTGTTGTATTGCCAACTCCTATGGTCGTAACAAACAGATTTGGGACCAGGCTAGGACATGTTACCCTTTTTTGGACCGTTTTAACATTTTCATAATGTTTCATAAAAGTTACCCTTGTAGTTCCATTCTCTCTCTCTCTCCTCTCTAGGTTATAATTATCGAACCCTTCTTTGATTGCTATGTACCCATGGTTCGAATGGCAGGGGCCACACCGGTCTTGATACCATTACGACTTGTAAGTCTACCACTAGTCAACATATTATAGACAAGAGGTTTTGAGTCATTGTTGGAAACATACATATTCCAGAATGACCGCAGTCTTTGATTTCTCTCTCTCTTGTCTTCCTCACTGACATCTCAGAGGTCTAATAAGACGACCACTAGTATCTCCAGCGCTGACTGGGTCCTGGATCCAGAGGAGCTAGCCAGTAAATTCACCTCGAAGACCAAGGCCATCATTATCAACACTCCCAACAACCCCATCGGGAAGGTAAGTCCTCTGCGGCAGTGCTCATGAGGTAGGCCTCGGACAATTGAGTGATTACTGTCTAGCCATTATGTCAGATAATTTTTTTTCCAGTGTGTTCCACTGTCTGAACTATGCCATCTTGGCGAGGTCTCCCTTGTGAAAGAGGTCTTCTGGCCTAAACGGTTCACCCTGGTTAAATAAAGATAATTAAAAACATCAATACCCTGTCCCTATCACAGTGCCTTGTGAGCTTCTGTTTCTAATCAATTTATTGTCTCATATTCCAGATATTCACCAAGGATGAGCTTCAGACTATCGCTGACCTCTGCATCAAACACGACACTCTGTGCATCAGTGATGAGGTGTATGAATGGCTCATCTACAAGGGACACCAACACATCAAAATAGGTACAGTATTTACATTGTTTTGAGGCTGTGAACATAATACCTCACATCATATAAGGAAAACAACTGCGGTTTGTGTTAAGTTCAATGTAGTTTAGTTGAATAGTTGCTTTTGTCTACCTTGGGTACAGTATACTCACCCCTCTTCTTCGTTTTGCTAGCTACTCTTCCTGGCATGTGGGACAGAACGATCACCATCAGCAGTGCAGGGAAGACCTTTAGTGTGACAGGCTGGAAGGTAAGGGCTGGGATTCCTTTTACCACGGGAAACCTCTGTAATGATGACTTCTACAGAGTAGTGATTCCTTTTACCATGGGAAACCTCTGTAATGACTTCTAGAGTAGTGATTCCTTTTACCATGGGAAACCTCTGTAATGATGACTTCTAAAGAGTAGGGATTCCTTTTACCATGGGAAACCTCTGTCATGATGACTTCTACAGAGTAGTGATTCCTTTTACCATGGGAAACCTCTGTAATGATGACTTCTAAAGAGTAGGGATTCCTTTTACCACGGGAAACCTCTGTCATGATGACTTCTACAGAGTAGTGATTCCTTTTACCATGGGAAACCTCTGTCATGATGACTTCTACAGAGTAGTGATTCCTTTTACCATGGGAAACCTCTGTCTTGACTTCTAGAGTAGTGATTCCTTTTACCATGGGAAACCTCTGTCATGATGACTTCTACAGAGTAGGGATTCCTTTTACCACGGGAAACCTCTGTCATGATGACTTCTAGAGTAGTGATTCCTTTTACCATGGGAAACCTCTGTCTTGACTTCTAGAGTAGTGATTCCTTTTACCATGGGAAACCTCTGTCATGATGACTTCTAGAGTAGTGATTCCTTTTACCATGGGAAACCTCTGTCTTAACTTCTAGAGAGTAGTGATTCCTTTTACCATGGGAAACCTCTGTCTTGACTTCTAGAGTAGTGATTCCTTTTACCACGGGAAACCTCTGTAATGATGACTTCTAGAGTAGTGATTCCTTTTACCATGGGAAACCTCTGTAATGATGACTTCTAGAGTAGTGATTCCTTTTACCATGGGAAACCTCTGTAATGATGACTTCTACAGAGTAGTGATTCCTTTTACCATGGGAAACCTCTGTCATGACTTCTACAGAGTAGTGATTCCTTTTACCATGGGAAACCTCTGTCATGATGACTTCTAGAGTAGTGATTCCTTTTACCATGGGAAACCTCTGTCATGATGACTTCTAGAGTAGTGATTCCTTTTACCATGGGAAACCTCTGTCATGATGACTTCTAGAGTAGGGATTCCTTTTACCATGGGAAACCTCTGTCTTGACTTCTAGAGTAGTGATTCCTTTTACCATGGGAAACCTCTGTAATGACTTCTACAGAGTAGGGATTCCTTTTACCATGGGAAACCTCTGTCATGATGACTTCTACAGAGTAGTGATTCCTTTTACCATGGGAAACCTCTGTCATGATGACTTCTAGAGTAGTGATTCCTTTTACCATGGGAAACCTCTGTAATGATGACTTCTAGAGTAGTGATTCCTTTTACCATGGGAAACCTCTGTAATGATGACTTCTAGAGTAGTGATTCCTTTTACCACGGGAAACCTCTGTAATGATGACTTCTAGAGTAGTGATTCCTTTTACCATGGGAAACCTCTGTAATGATGACTTCTAGAGTAGTGATTCCTTTTACCACGGGAAACCTCTGTAATGATGACTTCTAGAGTAGGGATTCCTTTTACCATGGGAAACCTCTGTAATGACTTCTACAGAGTAGGGATTCCTTTTACCATGGGAAACCTCTGTAATGACTTCTACAGAGTAGGGATTCCTTTTACCATGGGAAACCTCTGTCATGATGACTTCTACAGAGTAGTGATTCCTTTTACCATGGGAAACCTCTTTCATGATGACTTCTAGAGTAGTGATTCCTTTTACCATGGGAAACCTCTGTAATGATGACTTCTAGAGTAGTGATTCCTTTTACCATGGGAAACCTCTGTAATGATGACTTCTAGAGTAGTGATTCCTTTTACCACGGGAAACCTCTGTAATGATGACTTCTAGAGTAGTGATTCCTTTTACCATGGGAAACCTCTGTAATGATGACTTCTAGAGTAGTGATTCCTTTTACCACGGGAAACCTCTGTAATGATGACTTCTAGAGTAGGGATTCCTTTTACCACGGGAAACCTCTGTAATGATGACTTCTAGAGTAGGGATTCCTTTTACCATGGGAAACCTCTGTCATGATGACTTCTAGAGTAGTGATTCCTTTTACCATGGGAAACCTCTGTCATGATGACTTCTAGAGTAGTGATTCCTTTTACCATGGGAAACCTCTGTCTTGACTTCTAGAGTAGTGATTCCTTTTACCATGGGAAACCTCTGTCTTGACTTCTAGAGTAGTGATTCCTTTTACCATGGGAAACCTCTGTCATGATGACTTCTAGAGTAGTGATTCCTTTTACCACGGGAAACCTCTGTCATGATGACTTCTAGAGTAGTGATTCCTTTTACCATGGGAAACCTCTGTAATGACTTCTAGAGTAGGGATTCCTTTTACCATGGGAAACCTCTGTCATGATGACTTCTAGAGTAGTGATTCCTTTTACCATGGGAAACCTCTGTCTTGACTTCTAGAGTAGTGATTCCTTTTACCATGGGAAACCTCTGTCATGATGACTTCTAGAGTAGTGATTCCTTTTACCATGGGAAACCTCTGTCTTGACTTCTAGAGTAGTGATTCCTTTTACCATGGGAAACCTCTGTAATGACTTCTAGAGTAGTGATTCCTTTTACCATGGGAAACCTCTGTCATGATGACTTCTAGAGTAGTGATTCCTTTTACCATGGGAAATCTCTGTCTTAACTTCTAGAGAGTAGTGATTCCTTTTACCATGGGAAACCTCTGTAATGACTTCTAGAGTAGTGATTCCTTTTACCATGGGAAACCTCTGTAATGATGACTTCTAGAGAGTAGTGATTCCTTTTACCATGGGAAACCTCTGTAATGATGACTTCTAGAGTAGTGATTCCTTTTACCATGGGAAACCTCTGTAATGACTTCTAGAGTAGTGATTCCTTTTACCATGGGAAACCTCTGTAATGATGACTTCTAGAGTAGTGATTCCTTTTACCATGGGAAACCTCTGTAATGACTTCTAGAGTAGTGATTCCTTTTACCATGGGAAACCTCTGTAATGACTTCTAGAGTAGTGATTCCTTTTACCATGGGAAACCTCTGTAATGATGACTTCTAGAGTAGTGATTCCTTTTACCATGGGAAACCTCTGTCATGATGACTTCTACAGAGTAGGGATTCCTTTTACCACGGGAAACCTCTGTCATGATGACTTCTACAGAGTAGGGATTCCTTTTACCATGGGAAACCTCTGTCATGATGACTTCTACAGAGTAGGGATTCCTTTTACCATGGGAAACCTCTGTCATGACTTCTACAGAGTAGGGATTCCTTTTACCATGGGAAACCTCTGTAATGATGACTTCTAGAGTAGTGATTCCTTTTACCATGGGAAACCTCTGTAATGATGACTTCTAGAGAGTAGTGATTCCTTTTACCATGGGAAACCTCTGTAATGATGACTTCTAGAGTAGTGATTCCTTTTACCATGGGAAACCTCTGTCATGACTTCTACAGAGTAGTGATTCCTTTTACCACGGGAAACCTCTGTCATGATGACTTCTAGAGAGTAGGGATTCCTTTTACCATGGGAAACCTCTGTCATGATGACTTCTAGAGTAGTGATTCCTTTTACCATGGGAAACCTCTGTAATGACTTCTAAAGAGTAGTGATTCCTTTTACCATGGGAAACCTCTGTAATGATGACTTCTACAGAGTAGTGATTCCTTTTACCACGGGAAACCTCTGTCATGATGACTTCTAGAGAGTAGGGATTCCTTTTACCATGGGAAACCTCTGTAATGATGACTTCTAGAGTAGTGATTCCTTTTACCATGGGAAACCTCTGTAATGACTTCTAAAGAGTAGGGATTCCTTTTACCACGGGAAACCTCTGTAATGACTTCTAGAGTAGTAGACGACAACGTAGACTTACCCCATGCTTATTAAGTGTGTGTCCGATCGTGTGTGTGTGTGTCAGATCGTGTGTCTTTGTGTTTGATCAGGTGAAGTTGAGTTTATTGAAATGGTTGTGTATATTCTGACCAGTAGTCTTTGTTGTGCAGCTTGGCTGGTCTATAGGACCAGAACACCTGATAAGGCACCTTCAGACTGTTATGCAGAACACCTTGTACACCTGTCCAACACCGCTGCAGGTAAGGCCTGCTCATCAATGAAGCAACATTTTATTTACATTGAAGTGTTAAGAAATCAAATCAGTGGGAAATCAATTACGGTTGTCAAAAACCAAAGCCTCATCAAAACAGAACGCATTTTGCCTTGTTGTGAGAGAATGGAAATCTATGTCTGCATCCAAAATGGTACCCTATTCCCTATATAGTGCACTACTTTTGACCAGGGCCCATAGGGCTTTGAATAATGTATGTACACTACTGGTCAAAAGTTTTAGAACACCTATTCATTCCAGGGTTTTTCTTTATTTGTACTATTTTCTACATTGTAGAATAATAGTGAAGACATCAAAACTATGAAATAACACATATGGAATCATGTAGTAACCAAAAAAGTGTTAAACAAATCAAAATATATTTTATATTTGAGATTCTTCAAATAGCCACCCTTTGCCTTGATGATAGTTTTGTGCACACTCTTGGCATTCTCTCAACCAGCTTCATGAGGTTGTCACCTGGAATGCATTTGAATTAACCGGTGTGCCTTCTTAAACCTTTGAGCCAATCAGTTGTGTTATGACAAGGTAGGGGGGTATACAGAAGATAGCCCTATTTGGTAAAAGACCAAGTCCATATTATGGAAAAAAAACTGCTCAAATGAGCAAAGAGTAACGACAGTCCATCATTACTTTAAGACATTAAGGTCAGTCAATCCGGAAAATGTCAAGAACTTTGAAAGTTTCTTCAAGTGCAGTTGCAAAAACCATCAAGCGCCATGATGAAACTGGCTCTCATGAGGACCGCCACAGGAACGGAAGACCCAGAGTTACCTCTGCTGGAGAGGATAAGTTCATTAGAGTTACCAGCCTCAGAAATTGCAGTCCAAATAAAAGCTTCACAGAGTTCAAGTAACAGACACATCTCAACATCAACTGTTCAGAGGAGACTGTGTGAATCAGGCCTTCATGGTCGAATTGCTGCAAAGAAACCACTACTAAAGGACACCAATAAGAAGATGAGACTTGCTTGGGCCAAGAAACACGAGCAATGGACATTAGACCGGTGGAAATCTGTCCTTTGGTCTGGAGTCCTAATTTGAGATCGATGGTTCCAACCGCCGTGTCTTTGTGAGACGCGGTGTGGTTGAACGGATGATCTCTGCATGTGTATTTCCCACCGTAAAACATGGAGGAGGAGGTGTTATGGTGTGGGGGTGCTTTACTGGTGACTGTCTGTGATTTATTTAGAATTCAAGACACACTTAACCAGCGTGGCTCCCACAGCATTCTGCAGCGATACGCCATCCCATCTGGTTTGGGCTTAGTGGGACTATCATTTTGTTTTTCAACAGGACAATGACCCAACACACCTCCAGTCTGTGTAAGGGTATTTTACCAAGAAGGAGAGTGATGGAGTGCTGCATCAGATGACCTGGCCTCCACAATCCCCCGACCTCAACCAAATTGAGATGGTTTGGGATGAGTCGGACCGCAGAGTGAAGGAAAAGCAGCCAACAAGTGCTCAGCATATGTGGGAACTCCTTCAAGACTGTTGGAAAAACATTCCAGGTGAAGCTGGTTGAGAGAATGCCAAGAGTGTGCAAAACTGTCATCAAGGCAAAGCGTGGCTACTTTGAAGAATCTCAAATATAAAATATATTTTGATTTGTTTAACACTTTTTTTGGTTACTACATGATTCCATATGTGTTATTTCATAGTTTTGATGTCTTCACTATTATTCTACAACATAGAAAATAGTAAAAATAAAGTGTTCTAAAACTTTAGACCGGTAGTGTATATTAAGAGATTATTTTCGAGCTATGATCTGTTTCTGCAGGAGGCTGTGGCCCAGGGCCTGCTGAGGGACTATGAGCTGATGGGTCGGCCTGAGTGTTACTTCACCTCTCTGGCTGTGGAGCTGGAGGGGAAGAGGGACCGTATGGCTGCTTTCCTACAGGACGTTGGCATGTCTCCTATAATACCCGAGGGAGGGTACTTCATGTGCGTGGACGTCACACCCCTTAGTAAGATACACTTTTTATGAAAATAGAAAAGGTTTACTTGGTTGTGTAGATGTGATAACAGTGTGGTAAAGATGACATAAGATCTTCCCATTTGCTGTAATGTCCAAGGAAATTAGAAAATAAAGCTAAGCTGGGCCAGGCTACCAAGCAGACTTGGGATGATCAGAAGTAGAGAGGTCCTTTCTCTGCCTTATGTAACAGTAGGTACGAAGAGGATGGACCAAAACAGAACCAGTTCCTACCTGCAGACTGTTTGGCGTAACAACAACAACAACAACAAGGACCCTTCATTATGAACTGGCTGTAGTATTTGACAATACTGTATTTTTCATGGTTGTAGATCAGGACTTGTCTCATATGGGAGACGATGAGCCGTACGACTACAAGTTTGTCAAGTGGATGATTAAGGAGAAGGTAAGAAAAACCAACACCATGATGCCTCATCTCGGCTGCGTTCCAAATGGAACCCTATTCCCTTTATAGTGCACTATATTTGGCCAGTCGAATGTAGTGCACTAGGTAGGGAATAGGGTGCCGTTTGGAACGCACACCTGGTAACAGCAGTTTTAGGGAACATTTTAACATGAAATATCACTTATCACACGGTGAATTGCAGAGTAATTGCTGTACGTTAACGTCGTAGGAGTTTAAAAAAAAAGGCATGTTGAATGTAGAACTAGTTCACATAAGGAGAATTACTAATCAACAAGTTGAACTCTCCAGAGTGTGTTGACGTGTTTTGGTTATTGTCGTGTTTGTTGTAGAAACTGGCAGCCATTCCGGTCACAGCGTTCTGTGGTGATGCTTCCAAGAAGCAGTTTGAGAAATACATCCGCCTATGCTTCATCAAGGTAAACATGGGTTCTCTCATTCAGAAAAACGGTATGATATAATGACGTGAATATTGGGGAACGCATCTCATTACCTGTCTGTGTGTTTCTGTAGCAAGACAGCACTCTGGATGCAGCGGAGGCTATCCTCAAGAACTGGAACAAGTAAAAGACAGTCCTGTTGGATGTAAGGGTTTGTCTCAAGACCCTCTCTTTTTTTACTGTGACACGCCTATAAAACTGGGTACGTTACTTTGTAGGACTGCTATGGGACAGTTTGTAGGACTGCTATGGGACAGTTTGTAGGACTGCTATGGGACAGTTTGTAGGACTGCTATGGAACAGTTTGTAGGACTGCTATGGAACAGTTTGTAGGACTGCTATGGGACAGTTTGTAGGACTGCTATGGAACAGTTTGTAGGACTGCTATGGAACAGTTTGTAGGACTGCTATGGAACAGTTTGTAGGACTGCTATGGAACAGTTTGTAGGACTGCTATGGAACAGTTTGTAGGACTGCTATGGAACAGTTTGTAGGACTGCTATGGAACAGTTTGTAGGACTGCTATGGAACAGTTTGTAGGACTGCTATGGAACAGTTTGTAGGACTGCTATGGAACAGTTTGTAGGACTGCTATGGAACAGTTTGTAGGACTGCTATGGGAACAGTTTGTAGGACTGCTATGGAACAGTTTGTAGGACTGCTATGGAACAGTTTGTAGGACTGCTATGGAACAGTTTGTAGGACTGCTATGGAACAGTTTGTAGGACTGCTATGGAACAGTTTGTAGGACTGCTATGGAACAGTTTGTAGGACTGCTATGGAACAGTTTGTAGGACTGCTATGGAACAGTTTGTAGGACTGCTATGGAACAGTTTGTAGGACTGCTATGGAACAGTTTGTAGGACTGCTATGGGACAGTTTGTAGGACTGCTATGGAACAGTTTGTAGGACTGCTATGGAACAGTTTGTAGGACTGCTATGGGACAGTTTGACCCGTTGTTGATATTTTTTGACCTCTTTGTTATGTTATTCATTTATTGTATTGCCTTTTATTTGAGTTTTATCTCATTTGATTGGATTAGATGTTATATGACACACACAGAATGGATTAACTTCCAGGTTTGAACTTCCTCCTTGTGACATAACTTGCTGAGTAGCACTCGTTATCCTGTCAACATTGTTTTCCTGTACCCTCCATATGATGAGGGAACGGTTTGTTTCCTGTACCCTCCATATGATGAGGGAACGGTTTGTTTCCTGTACCCTCCATATGACGAGGGAACGGTTTGTTTCCTGTACCCTCCATATGATGAGGGAACGGTTTGTTTCCTGTACCCTCCATATGATGAGGGAACGGTTTGTTTCCTGTACCCTCCATATGATGAGGGAACGGTTTGTTTCCTGTACCCTCCATATGACGAGGGAACGGTTTGTTTCCTGTACCCTCCATATGATGAGGGAACGGTTTGTTTTCCTGTACCCTCCATATGATGAGGGAACGGTTTGTTTCCTGTACCCTCCATATGATGAGGGAACGGTTTGTTTTCCTGTACCCTCCATATGACGAGGGAACGGTTTGTTTCCTGTACCCTCCATATGATGAGGGAACGGTTTGTTTCCTGTACCCTCCATATGATATGAGGGAACAGTTTGTTTCCTGTGCCGTCCTCCTGGTTTTATTTCATCTGTGAATAAAAGGCTACAAAAGAGTTTGCTGATATTTACTTTAGGAATTAGCAGTCAGTTATACTCCACATACTGAGCTTTGGAAACTGGCTCAACTAATGGTTTGTTTGTAAAACTGAAACGGAATACGGTTCTGTGTATGAAATAGACTGTTAGTAAAATAACTTGTCATATGGATTTGACTTTTTTGTCACATGAATGTTTTGGTAAAACATTGATAGAGGAGGCTGGTGGGACGAGTTATAGATGCATGATGTGATAGGACACACCTACTTTAGAAGTATTACATACAAAATGGAAATAAGCAGGGAGTATCTACGCCTACGTTGTGTGAACTATGCACTGGCAATCATAGCTTTCAGTAGAACCTTGTCTGCCTGGTGACGTCCGACCAGTGGATTGAGCTGGTTAGTTAGGGGGCACATACAGTATCCTCCCACACCTTTTATAACGGAGGCCATATAATGTTCATACTTCACAGCTAGCTTGGTTTTATAAAAACTGTTCACAGCTTGGCCTCTCTCCTAGCTAGATGTAGGTGTTTCTGTCTGTTTAAACTAGTAAGGTGCATTGGGTAATACCTTGCAGTTCTGTGCGTATGTGGGTGTTTCTGCCACTAGGGGTCAATATATACCTTTAGAAAAACCTTGGACTAATTGTAGCGGGCCCAAATTGCATCATGCTACCGTTTATCATGATTTTTCAGTCATGCAAATATTTACAATACTATTCCTAGTTACAGTGGAACCCAAGCTAAGTTTTGCCATCTTCATATACTCTACTGAAAAATGTATGCAGTCTGATTAGGTAAAATAAGGCATAATGTGAATTATTCAAGTTTGGAATGCATAATAAAAAATGTAAAAGGTCAGTATAGAAATCCAGCTTGATGTGAAGCAACACTTTCTGAATTCAAATGCATATAAGGGCCTTCAACAACACAATAGGTGATGCTTCATATCAAGCAGGATTTCTATTAAAGGACCGCCAGCCAGACTCTTTCCTAAAGGACCGCCAGCCAGACTCTTTCCTAAAGGACCGCCAGCCAGACTCTTTCCTAAAGGACCGCCAGCCAGACTCTTTCCTAAAGGACCGCCAGCCAGACTCTTTCCTAAAGGACCGCCAGCCAGACTCTTTCCTTCATTATCCACCATTACTGGTTAATTTGAACCAATTTTTTTTAAAATCTGTTGATCTGTGTGGACAAGTTTCCGCCGCTGTTTCTCGTCTCTTCCTGCCCCCCCCAGACAGAGGAGGCTTCTCTGGAATGATCCCAAAAGGACCAGCTACAGGACAGAGAGACAGAGACACCCACTGGCTTATTTCATCACTTCCTGTTCCTTTTGGAGCAAGAAAGACATTTCACTGTACTTGTGCATGTGACATTAAAACTTGAAATTGAAACTCTTCCGGTCTACAAATCTGTCCTGCATCCCCAGTTTGGCCTATATTAACATTTCCTTCCTGTCGGTCGATGAGGGACTTGAAGACAAGAACCCACCCAGTCATCACTTTGGCTAAGGACATCCTGTTTGGCCTTGTGATAGATAATACTATAGGTCGACTACCATTTGTTGTATTCTGCTCATAATGTAGGGAGATTTACAGTCCCGTGAAAACGATGTCCAGTTTGGAAGAGAGTGGGGCGAAGCCAAGGTTTTGTTCATTGTGAGGGTCTGATGTGTTTTATCGTGCTTAAGACCGTCAGTAGACAAAACATTCCCATATCTCTTAGGAAAGGGGGCAGGAAAAAGACATTCCCATATCTCTTAGTAAATGGGGCAGGAAAAATACATTCCCATATCTCTTAGTAAAGGGGGCAGGAAAAAGACATTCCCATATCTCTTAGTAAAGGGGGCAGGAAAAAGACATTCCCATATCTCTTAGTAAAGGGGGCAGGAAAAAGACATTCCCATATCTCTTAGGAAAGGGGGCAGGAAAAAGACATTCCCATATCTCTTAGGAAAGGGGGCAGGAAAAAGACTGAGCTTCCTATCAAACCCATTGTTGTAAAATATGCCAGGAAAGATATCGCCACTGCTTTACCTCTACTTGTATGCATTTGATTAAACAGTATGGGAATGTCCCCCTCCTTTATCAGCAGTAGGTTTATACAGTGTCAACACGGCTGGTTATAAATACACCCTGTTTCAGACCAGTCGGGCAGGCTGGGGCGCAGTACAGCCTCTTCCCTCTGCAGCCCTGGACTGTGGGAGAGGGATCCTGTTTCTCTGCAGCCCTGGACTGTGGGAGAGGGATCCTGTTTCTCAGCCTCTTCCCTCTGCAGCCCTGGACTGTGGGAGAGGGATCCTGTTCCTCAGCCTCTTCCCTCTGCAGCCCTGGACTGTGGGAGAGGGATCCTGTTTCTCTGCAGCCCTGGACTGTGGGAGAGGGATCCTGTTTCTCTGCAGCCCTGGACTGTGGGAGAGGGATCCTGTTTCTCTGCAGCCCTGGACTGTGGGAGAGGGATCCTGTTTCTCTGCAGCCCTGGGCTGTGGGAGAGGGATCCTGTTTCTCTGCAGCCCTGGACTGTGGGAGAGGGATCCTGTTTCTCTGGTCAGGCTCGTCTGAGTCAGAGTATACTTGTGCTGTCCTGTGCGCACGTGGTCTGAAACGTCACTTGAGGCTGGTTTGTCAGGTTTCACCAGAGGTACCAGTTTATCTAGGAGTGTTTCAGTTCAGGATGAACTCCACGGTTGGCTACATGCATATGTCACCAGACTGAACCGTATGAACTCCACGGATGGCTACATGCATATGTCACCAGACTGAACCGTATGAACTCCACGGATGGCTACATGCATATGTCACCAGACTGAACCGTATGAACTCCACGGATGGCTACATGCATATGTCACCAGACTGAACCGTATGAACTCCACGGTTGGCTACATGCATATGTCACCAGACTGAACCGTATGAACTCCACCGATGGTTACATGCATGTGGCGGCAGGTAGCTTAGTGGTTAAGAGCGTTGTGCCAGTAATCGAAAGGTCGCTGGTTCTAATCCCCGAGCCGACTAGGTGAAAAAATCTGTCGATGTGCCCTTGAGCAAGGCACTTAACCCTAACTGCTCCTGTAAATCGCTCTGGATAAGAGCGTCTGCTAAATGACTAAAAATCATATGTTACCAGACTGAACCGTATGAACTCCACGGTTGGCTACATGCATATGATACCAGACTGAACCGTATGAACTCCACGGTTGGCTACATGCATATGATACCAGACTGAACCATATGAACTCCACGGTTGGCTACATGCATATGATACCAGACTGGATGTCTACATGTACACTACAGTTCAAAAGTTTGGGGTCACTTAGAAATGTCCTTGTTTTCGAAAGAAAAGCAATTTTTTTGTCCTTTTAAAATAACATCAAATTGATCTAGGCAGAGTTGCAAAGAAAAAGCCATATCTCAGACTGGCCAATAAAAATAAAAGATTAAGATGGGCAGTCTGAGATATGGCTTTTTCTTTGCAACTCTGCCTAGAAGGTCAGCATCCCGGAGTCGCCTCTTCACTGTTGACGTTGAGGTGTTTTGCGGGTACTATTTAATGAAGCTGCCAGTTGAGGACCTGTGAGGTGTCTGTTTCTCAAACTAGACACTCTAATGTATTTGTCCTCTTGCTCAGTTGTGTACCGGGGCCTCCCACTCCTCTTTCTATTCTGGTTAGAGCCAGTTTGCGCTGTTCTGTGAAGGGAGTAGTACGAGATCTTCAGTTTCTTGGCAATTTCTCGCATGGAATATCCTTCATTTCTCAGAACAAGAATAGACTGACGAGTTTCAGAAGAAAGTTCTTTGTTTCTACGCCATTTTGATCCTGTAATCGAACCCACAATTGCTGATGCTCCAGATACTCAACTAGTCTCAAGAAGGCCAGTTTTATTGCTTCTTTAATCAGCACAACAGTTTTCAGCTGTGCTAACATAATTGCAAAAGGGTTTTCTAATTATCAATTAGCCTTTTAAAATGATAAACTTGGATTAGCAAACACAACGTGCCATTGGAACACAGGACTGATGGTTGCTGATAATGGGCCTCTGTATGCCTATGTAGATATTCCATTAATAAGCAACCGTTTCCAGCTACAATAGCCATTTACAACATTAACAATGTCTACACTGTATTTCTGATCAATTTGATGTTATTTTAAATGGACAAAAAAAATGTTTTTCTTTCGAAAACAAGGACATTTCTAAGTGACCCCAAACTTTTGAACGGTAGTGTATATGTTTACCAGACTGAACCGTATGAACTCCATGGATGGCTACATGTATTTTACCAGACTGTGAACCTTAATCCCCTTTGGCCTCATGCCACACCATTATTCCCTCTGTTTGTTTGTTAGAATACAATAAAACAACCTATATCTCCTAATCACTTGAAGAGGAATAGCCAGAGACTTTGCTTCCATTATATGAAGAATGTATTTAATTACTTGTGATATGGTGGTCCATTTTTTTTCTTGACATAAGCTAGCCACAGAAAAATAGTTGTATAAATTACTGATAAAGCATGGTCCAATCAGCAGACATTCTGATTCAGCTAACAGACTAAAAAATGGCCATCGAGCCCCCAGAACATTTAAAACAAATCTAAAATTGAGATCAACATACTGAATAGCTGGGGTTTTCACACCATCATGAACCATTCCTCACATTAACAAACATAACACCAGACTAGGACTGTCTTTTTCAAATGACTACTAAAAATTATTCTTGTTTTGGCATGATGTCACACGCCAACAATGACACTTTTGTTATTATGAATATACATTTCTACGTTCCATTTGAAATTAGCTCAGTCTCTCACGAGCTGCCTGTCTGGCCTCTCCATTTTCATATAGCTGTATCCAAACATCCTATAAAACATGTTTATACTATACACCAGTGTTCTTTCTTATAAAACAGTATAAAACTAACTTAGATTCTTTTTTTCAATATCACAATACATGTGATGTATGGGGATTGTTTGTGTTTGGGGAGAGGAAAAATGTAAAACCCATCAAAGAGTAAACATCGATTGGAGTTAAACTGCTTTACAACAAGGTTCAAGCGCTCCAATCAGTCTCTACTCTTGGCCAAGGTCTCTTCTGTCAGATGCAGATAGTTTGAGAAGAGTGCATTTTTGGCAGCTGGCTTTGGTAGGTTTTCAGTACCTGATGATAGTTACTGATTGGAAGCCCTTAACTTGTGTTACATCAAAGTGTTTAAGGCAATTTAAAACTAAATACAACAACATCCTGCTAGATCAGTCAGAATGATCATATGTTAATGCCTTTCATACATGTCTTGTTATTGGGCCATAATTCAGTTTCTACACGCCACAGTTACACCTCATAAGCTATTAACTTGAATTTCCTTCAGAAAAAGATCTAAAAGAGCTGAAGATTATCTGAGAAGGTGATTATGTGGAATGACCCAGTGATCTGAGAAGGTGATTATGTGGAATGACCCAGTGATCTGAGAAGGTGATTATGTGGAATGACCCAGTGATCTGAGAAGGTGATTATGTGGAATGACCCAGTGATCTGACAAGACTAAATGAGAACAGCTGTTAGCGGTCTCAAATTGACAGTTAAAAATACAAATAGGAATAATAAAAAAAAAGTTGAGTAAAACTTCATAAAATTGTCAATCCCTTACATGGCACAGACAGCAAGGAACAGAGTGCAGCAAAATGTTTATGATATCCTTAGGGAGAGAGTGTTGTTATTGCGGTTGGCCTCTGTTGCAGACAGTTCACAGTGTTAGGAGGGTGTCGTAGTGTTGAGGAGGAGAACCAGTCTGCGGGAGACTGGCTAACACCAGTCTGCGATGTAGTCAAAGTCACCAAACATTTCCTGGTCCTCGGCTGTCAGAACCCTGGGCTCCCGTGGCGGAGTCAGGATCGGTGCTTCTGAGGTGAACTCGTCGTCAAAGTTACTGACGTCCTCTCTACCCTTGATGGTGGGAATGAACTCTGGCCGCACCTTCTTAGCCAGTAGACCATCCCAGTCCACACTCTGAGGGAATACAGGAGACGAGAGACCGTCAAGGGAGATATAAATGCATTATGAAGAGTATTATTCATAGGAAGTGTTGATAAACGTTTCACACGTACAGATTGGGACCATAAACCAATACTGGGAACCTACCCTAAAGAATGGATGCTTCTTAACTTCCTCTGCATCTTTCTCACCAGCCCCAAGACGTCTCTCTGGGTTTCTCCTCAACAGCTGGGGATAGGAAGAGTTGAGTTAGTTACAAAGAACATGCATTTACAGTGCATTTGGAAAGTATTCAGACCCCTTGACTTTTTCCACATTTTGTTATGTTACAGACTTATTCTAAAATGGATTTCAAAAATAATAATCCTCATCAATCTACACACAATACCCCATAATGACAAAGAGAAAACAGGTTAAGAAATGTTTGCAAATTTATTAAAAATAAAAAACGGAAATACCTTATTTACATAAGTATTCAGACCCTTTGCGATGAGACTTGATATTGAGCTCAGGTGCATCTTGTGTCCATTGATCATCCTTGAGATGTTTCTACAACTTGATTGGAGTCCACCAGTGGTAAATTCAATTGATTGGACATGATTTGGAAAGGCACACACCTGTCTATACAAGGTCCCACAGTTGACAGTGCATGTCAAAGCAAAAACCAAGCCATGAGGTCGAAGGAATTGTCCGTAGAGCTCCGAGACAGCATTGTGTCGAGGCACAGATCTGGGGAAGGGTACCAAAAAATGTCTGCAGCATTGAAGGTCCCCAAGAACACAGTGACCTCCATCATTCTTAAATGGAAGAAGTTTGGAACCACCAAGACTCTTCCTAGAGCTGGCCGCCCGGCCAAACTGAGAAATCAGGTGGAGAAGGGCCTTGGTCAGGGAGGTGACCAAGAACCTGATGGTCACTCTGACAGAGCTCCAGAGTTCCTCTGTGGAGATGGGAGAACCTTCCAGAAGGACAAGCATCTCTGCAGCACTCCACCAATCAGGCCTTTATGGTAGAATGGCCAGACGGAAGCCACTCTTCAGTAAAAGGAACATGACAGCCCGCTTGGAGTTTGCCAAAAGGCACCTAAAGGACTCTCAGACCATGAGAAACAAGATTCTCTGGTCTGATGAAACCAAGATAACTCTTTGGCCTGAATGCCAAGCGTCTGGAGGAAACCTGGCACCATCCTTACGGTGAAGCATGGTGGTGGCAGCATCATGCTATGGGGATGTTTTTCAGCGGCAGGGACTGGGAGACGAGTCTGGATCGAGGGAAAGATGAACGGAGCAAAATACAGAGAGATCCTTGATGAAGTCCTGAGTGCTCTGGAGCAGGTTCTCAGACTGGGGCGAAGGTTCTCCTTCCAACAGGACAATGACCCTAAGCAGACAGCCAAGACAACGCAGGTGTGGCTTCGGGACAAGTCTCTGAATGTCCTTGAGTGGCCCAGCCAGAGCCCGGACTTGAAAATAGCTGTGCAGCGACGCTCCCCATGCAACCTGACAGAGCTTGAGAGGATCTGCAGAGAAGAATGGGAGAAACTCCCCAAATACAGGTGTGCCAAGTTTGTAGCGTCATACCCAAGAAGACAAGGCTGTAATCGCTGCCAAAGGTGCTTCAACAAAGTACTTAGTAAAGGGTCTGAATACTTATGTAAATGTGATATTTCAGTTTTATATTTTTAATACATTTGCTAAAATTTCTAAAAACCTGTTTTTGCTTTGTCATTATGGGGTGTTGTGTGTAGATTGATGAGTGGGAAAAAACTATTTAATCCATTTTAGAATAAGGCTGTAACGTAACAATGTGGGAAAAGTCAAGGGGTCTGAATACTTTCCGAATGCACTATACCTTATACTCCATAAATTGGTGAACATAGTCCAATAAACATGACTGTATCCTCAGTGTACGTTGAATGATTTTACATGCTGATCTAAATAACATTCTGGAGATACATTAGTAAGCAAACCATACCCTTCTCATGATGGAGATGGCTTCGGTAGAGAGGAATCGTGGGTAGCGGACTTCATCGTTTACGATGCTGTCAAACACCTCCTCTTCATCGTCACCAGGGAATGGGGACTCCCCCACCAGCATCTCAAAGATGAGCACCCCCAGGCCCCACCAGTCCACGGCCCGCGTGTACGATGTCTCCGTCAGCACCTCAGGGGCCAGGAACTCAGGAGTACCACAGAACGTACTGGTGCGGTCCTGATAGCCCATCCCTACAGGAACAGCAGACGGAGAGATGATCAATGAAGCCAACCATAACAAAGCAATACCAAAAGGGCAAATTATTCAAGACTGAGGGAGATGGACTTGTCTTGCATTAAACCCCTAGGGCCGGTTTCCCGGACTAATAATAATAATATAAATAATATGCCATTTAGCAGACGCTTTTATCCAAAGCGACTTACAGTCATGCGTGCATACATTTTTTGTTTTGTGTATGGGTGGTCCCGGGGATCGAACCCACTACCTTGGCGTTACAAGCGCCGTGCTCTACCAGCTGAGCTACAGAGGACCACGATCACCTCATGTTTCAGCATGATAATGTACGGCCCCATTAGACACTAAAAAGCTGATGGTGTCTAATGTTCTCCACCCACCTTCTTTACAGAGGCCAAAGTCAGCGATCTTCACGTATCCCTCTGTGTCCAGCAACAAGTTGTCCAGCTTCAGGTCTCTGATATGCAAGAGGGGCAATCATCAACTATTGTAGTACCAAATGATAATATGTGGTGTTAGCAATTCCATGTACAGTACTGTACTATATACAGCTGTATGTGAACAGTGTGTGGGGCATACCTGTATACAATCTTATGGTCATGAAGATACTGCAATCCCAAGACAACACAAGCAGCATAGAACCTTTCATGGAGACAGGAAATAAAGCGGTTAAGATATACACAGCATGAAAATCGACATATTTTACCAGACAATCACACATCTACCCAACTGAGAATAAACAAAGCCTCAATTTCATTAGGACTCAATTGAGATCATTCATTACTCCACCATGAAATTACACTGAACAAAAAATATAAAAACGCAACATGCAACAATTTCAAAGATTTTACAGTTCATATTAGGAAATCAGTCAATTGAAATAAATTCATTAGGCCCTAATCTATGGATTTCACATGACTGGGAATATACAGATATGCATCTGTTGGTCACAGATACCTTTAAAATGAAGGTAGGGGCGTGAATCAGAAAACCAGTCAGTATCTGGTGTGACCAGCATTTGCCTCATGCAGCGCGACACATCTCCTACGCATAGAGTTGATCAGGTTGTTGATTGTGGCCTGTGGAATGTTGTCCCACTCCTCTTCAATGGCTGTGCGAAGTTGCTGGATATTGGCGGGAACTAGAACACGTCGATCCAGAGCGTCCCAAACATGATCAATGGGTGACATGTCTGGTGAGTATGTAGGCCATGGAAGACCTGGGACATTTTCAGCTTCCAGGAATTGTGTACAGATCCTTACAACATGGGGCCGTACATTATCATGCTGAAACATGAGGTGATGGCGGCGGATGAATGGCACGACAATGGGCCTCAGGATCTCGTCACGGTATCTCTGTGCATTCAAATTGCCATCAATAAAATGCAATTTTGTTCGTTGTCCGTAGCTTATGCCTGCCCATACCATAACCCCACCGTCACCATGGGGCACTCTGTTCACAACGTTGTCATCAGCATACCGCTCGCCCACACAATGTCATACACACTTGTCGGCCATCTGACCGGTACAGTTGAAACCGGAATTGATCTGTGAAGAGCACACTTCTCCAATGTGCCAGTGGCCATCAAAGGTGAGCATTTGCCCACTGAAGTTGGTTACGACGTCGAACTGCAGTCAGGTCAAGACCCTGGTGAGGATGACGAGCACGCAGATGAGCTTCCCTGAGACGGTTTCTGACCATTTGTGCAGAAATTCTTCAGTTGTGCAAACCCACATTTTCACCAGCTATCGGGTGGCTGTCTCAAACGATCCCGCAGGTGAAGAAGCCGGATGTGGAGGTCATGGGCTGGCATGGTTACACATGGTCTGTGGTTGTGAGGTCGGTTGGACGTACTGCCAAATTCTCCAAAACGAGGCGGCTTATGGTAGAGAAATTAACATTCAATTCTCTGGCAACAGCTCTGGTGGACATTCCTGCAGTCAGCATGCCAATTGCACGCTCCCTCAAAACTTGAGACATCTCTGGCATTGTGTTGTGTGGCAAAAACTGCACATTTTAGAGTGGCCTTTTATTGTCCCCAGCACAAGGTGCACCTGTGTAATGATCATGCTGTTTTTTTTATTTACTTTTTATTTCACCTTTATTTAACCAGGTAAGTCAGTTGAGAACAAGTTCTCATTTACAACTGCTACCTGGCCAAGATAAAGCAAAGCAGTGCGATAAAAACAACAACACAGAGTTACATATGGAATAAACAAAACATACAGTCAAAAATACAACATAAAAAATATATACAGTGTGTGCGAATGTAGTAAGTTATGGAGGTAAGGCAATAAATAGGCCATAGTGCAAAATAGTTACAATTTCGTATTAACACTGGAATGATAGATGTGCATAAGATGATGTGCAAATAGAGATACTGGGGTGCAAATTAGCAAAATAAATAACAATATGGGGATGAGGTAGTTGGGTGGGCTAATTTCAGAAAAGCTGTGTACAGATGCAGTGATCGGTAAGCTGCTCTGACAACTGACGCTTAAAGTTAGTGAAGGAGATAAGAGTCTCCAGCTTCAGAGATTTTTGCAGTTCGTTCCAGTCATTGGCAGCAGAGAACTGGAAGGAATGGTGGCCAAAGGAGGTGTTGGCTTTGGGGATGACCAGTGAGATATACCTGCTGGAGCGCAGACTACGGGTAGGTGTTGCTATGGTGACCAGTGAGCTAAGATAAGAGGGGGATTTGCCTAGCAGTGATTTATAGATGACCTGGAGCCAGTGGGTTTGGCGACGAATATGTAGTGAGGGCCAGCCAACAAGAGCGTACAGGTCACACAATGGTGGGTAGTATATGGGGCTTTGGTGACAAAACGGATGGCACTGTGATAGACTACATCCAATTTGCTGAGTAGAGTGTTGGAGGCTATTTTGTAAATGACATCGCCGAAGTCAAGGATCGGTAGGATAGTCAGTTTTACGAGGGCATGTTTGGCAGCATGAGTGAAGGAGGCTTTGTTGCGAAATAGGAAGCTGAGTCTACATTAGTTCTAGTTTAATCAGCTTCTTGATATGCCACACCTGTCAGGTGGATATATTATCTTGGCAAAGGAGAAATGCTCACTAACAGGGATGTAAACACATTTGTGCACAACATTTGAGATAAATAAGCTTTTTGTGCATATGGAACATTTCAGGGATCTTTTATTTCAGCTCATGAAACATGGGACCAACACTTTACATGTTGCCATTATATTTTTGTTCAGTGTAGTATGGAATCAGGAAAAGGAGTGGTTACTCACACAGCCCGGGGTTCTTGGAACACGTCCGTGTGTATGTGCATCATGAGGTCACCACCAGCCGCATACTCCATGACAAAGCACACGTGTTCCTTGGTCTGGAAGCACGCAAACAGGTTGACCAGGAAAGGATGTCTGACGCTGTTCACGGTCTCAAAGATACGCTTCTCACACATCAGGCTGAGGATAGGTCAGAGGTCAGTTATTTTACCACAGATCATTCTTCATTTCTAAGGATTTTTTTCATTGTATCAGAGACAAAATAAATCAATATAGATGCGTCTCTATTGTCTAAGGTCAAATTTACATTGAGTGTACAAAACATTATGAACACCTGCTCTTTCCATGACAGACTGACCAGGTGAAAGCTATGATCCTTTATTGATGTCAACTGTTAAATCCACTTCAAATCAGTGTAGATGAAGGGGAGGAGACAGGTTAAATAAGGATTTTTAAGCCTTCAGACAATTGAGATATGGATTGTGTATGTGTGCCATTCAGAGGGTTAATGGGCAAGACAAAATATTTAAGTGCCTTTGAACTGGGTATGGTAGTAGGTGCCAGGCGCACTGGTTTGTGACAGGAAGTGCAACGCTTCTGGGTTTTTCACGCTCAACAGTTTCCTGTGTGTATCAAGAATGGTCCACCACCCAAAGGACATCCAGCCAACTTGACACAACTGTAGTAAGCATTGTAGTCAACATGGGGCCAGCATCCATGTGGAATGCTTTCGACACCTTGTAGAGTCCCATGCCCCGACGAATTGAGGCGGTTCTGAGGGCAAAAGGGTGGATGCAACTCAATATTAGGAAGGTGTTCCTAATGTTTTGTACACTCAAGTGTATATTGTCATTAGGTTGTCGGTGTTATGTTCTACCTGTCTACTTCATCACGTGATACAATGTCTCCTTTCTTCAGGGCCTTGATAGCAAACATCTCCCCTGTACTTTCATACTCAGCCAGGAGCACCTGTTGAATAACAGAGAGCGGTTAGATCTTGTGAAGGGGGAAGAGGCCACGAGCGTCTGACATCACTACTGCCTTGCTGAGAACTGAAGATCACGCGTGGCCTCACCTTTCCAAAGTGTCCTCTGCCCAGGACTGCCACACACTTAAAGTCTACGAGACTGAACTGGAAGTCTTCCTCCTCCCTGGTATCTGTGGTGTGTTGGACGGGTGACGTCTCATCTGGCTGCTCTACCGCCACACTGTCGTCTAGTTTACTGTTCAACACACTGTTCCTGCTGTCATTCAGGAAGTCAAATGTAGACAGGGCATTCTGGGAAACAAAATACAACAAATCGCAATCACGGTTAGGTCAAAATACACCAATCACAGTTACATAAAACCAACTTTAACAGTTACAGAACTGTCACAGCATTACATTACAGACCATGTTCTCTAGAGCAACTTACAAGGGCAATCAAATAACATGGCTGAAGAACAGCAGCATGAACCGAGTCAGAAAAACTCTCATTAAATGGTCATCTCTTTACTAAAATAACCAACAGCAACATGAATCCTTCAGAGTTGGTGAATTGATACATTGTGTTCGGAGCTACCTGTACTCTCTCTCTGTCTGTAGTTCTGCTCTCCAGAATGGGCTCTCCAGTAGAAGGAAGAAGCTTCGGGGGAAGTGTGGGCTCTTTGCCAAACTCCAGTTTGGTCACTGTCAGGTCACTGAGGAGAGAGAGAGAGAGAGAGAGAGAGGTCCTTTCAGAAGAGTTTCCATTTCTGTTCACTTCAACAATCTGTCAGGTGTGGACCAATAGGTCACCAATGTGAGAGGTGTGTGTGTGTGCGTGTAGCTGTGTGTTTACCTGGGGGACTGGTGCAGGATGGACTGGGACTCAGGACCTAGCTCTGTCCCCATGTCAGGCAGCTGAGCAGGACTGAAGGAGTTGTTGACAGAGGGGATGGCTCTCCTCACCAGACGACCCCACGTAGCAATGTTGATGTTCATCTGAGGGGCACGCAGGAACGTCTTGCCTGGGACAGAACAGAGCAGAGGGTCACAACCGTAGCGTAATGAATCCAATCAATAAATCAACCAACATTTCTTTATTTAGACCTTTATCCAACAAAAAGGTGTTACAAGGTGCTTTAAATAACATTTTTTTTTTTGTCATTTAGCAGACGCTCTTATCCAGAGCGACTTACAGTTAGTGAATACATATATATATATATATATTTTTTTTATACTGGCCCCCCGTGGGAATCGAACCCACAACCCTGGCGTTGCAAACGCCATGCTCTATCAACTGAGCTACATCCCTGCCGGCCATTCCCTCCCCTACCCTGGACGACGCTGGGCCAATTGTGCGCCGCCCATGAGTCTCCCGGTCGCGGCCGGCTGCGACAGAGCCTGGATTCGAACCAGGATCTCTAGTGGCACAGTTAGCACTGCGATGCAGTGCCTTAGACCACTGCGCCACTCAGGAGTACACCAATAACGTTAAAGCTTGGACTTTACACAATCTGCAGAAGCAAAATAATCTGTACAGACCTTGTTGTTTGGAGAAGATCTTCTTTTGCCTTTGAAGTTTTGGCCTCCGCTCAATAACTGGGTTGAAAAATGTAACCTGAGGGAAAACACATAAGTTATGAGTAATTCTGTAAATATTAGGAATAAATCGTATTTAGCAGGAATGCTAAATGTGGGTGTTTGTTGGGGAAGTGGATAATTGAATAGTACCTCAGCAAACAATTTGCCCTGAGGCTCCAGGTAGAGGCACATGCCATGGCGCTGGTTGTCCAGGAAGTCTTCCAGGCGTAGGAACTTGATGGCACACAGCGATCTCCAGTCCCTCCAGTAGACAGAGATCTCCAGCTCACGAGACTGTGGAACACACATACTGTAAGATCTCCCCACCAGGCCTTTAACACTAGTCATCAGATCTCCCCACCAGGCCTTTAACACTAGTCATCAGATCTCCCCATCAGGTCTCCTTTAACACTAGTCATCAGATCTCCCCATCAGGTCTCCTTTAACACTAGTCATCAGATCTCCCCATCAGGTCTCCTTTAACACTAGTCATCAGATCTCCCCATCAGGTCTCCTATAACACTAGTCATCAGATCTCCCCATCAGGTCTCCTATACCACTAGTCACCAGATCTCCCCATCAGGTCTCCTATACCACTAGTCATCAGATCTCCCCATCAGGTCTCCTATACCACTAGTCATCAGATCTCCCCATCAGGTCTCCTATAACACTAGTCATCAGATCTCCCCATCAGGTCTCCTATAACACTAGTCATCAGATCTCCCCATCAGGTCTCCTATAACACTAGTCATCAGATCTCCCCATCAGGTCTCCTTTAACACTAGTCATCAGATCTCCCCATCAGGTCTCCTATACCACTAGTCATCAGATCTCCCCATCAGGTCTCCTATAACACTAGTCATCAGATCTCCCCATCAGGTCTCCTATAACACTAGTCATCAGATCTCCCCATCAGGTCTCCTATACCACTAGTCATCAGATCTCCCCATCAGGTCTCCTATAACACTAGTCATCAGATCTCCCCATCAGGTCTCCTATACCACTAGTCATCAGATCTCCCCATCAGGTCTCCTATAACACTAGTCATCAGATCTCCCCATCAGGTCTCCTATAACACTAGTCATCAGATCTCCCCATCAGGTCTCCTATACCACTAGTCATCAGATCTCCCCATCAGGTCTCCTATACCACTAGTCATCAGATCTCCCCATCAGGTCTCCTATAACACTAGTCATCAGATCTCCCCATCAGGTCTCCTATAACACTAGTCATCAGATCTCCCCATCAGGCCTTTAACACTAGTCATTAGATCTCCCCATCAGGTCTCCTTTAACACTAGTCATCAGATCTCCCCATCAGGTCTCCTATACCACTAGTCATTAGACAGTCCCACTAAAAGCCTGACTTTTGGAAGCTGCAGGGGAAACTAATAGACGCCTACAGACTTAGTCACAGCCATCCCTGCCATTCAGAGTTATAGTTGCACAACTCCAGATTAGAGAGCGGCTCTCACCTTTCCTGCCTGGTTTCGACGTGCTAATAAATCAGTGGGATTTGCTGAAGGTTGTGAAATAGAAACAATAAACCAAATACAAACAGAAATCCGGATTAAAAAATGTCGTTTGAGGCGATTTCAGACACTGATAGCATTGTATGGGAAAGGGAAAACCTTCCCAGAGTGATTGAGGTAAAGCGGTTTAGATCACCCTGTCCAGCTCCACAGTGTGTATATATAGTGAAGTAGTGTGTGTGTGTGTGTGTGTGTGTGTGTGTGTGTGTGTGTGTTCGGTTTAATTTACCCTGTCTAGTTCCAATGTAAACTTCTGGTCCCAGGACTGGTTGCTGACTGGTTTCCAGCTGGTCTGTCCCACTTCAGTGTTGTCCAACTTCAGCACAGCACTGATCTCATCTGGAGAGAGCGAGAGAATACATTTCTACAATCTGAACCTGAACCTGGGTAATGTTCAGCAGGCACCAAATGGACTGAAACTGGGAGTACTTGTCCAATTGTCCGTACTTGTGCTTTAAGAAACGCTTGTTTAGCTTTTCTGTGCAAAACATTTGAACACGACCCTGATTTCGCCACTCTGTTCAAAACAGCGGGCGGACACTGTTCAAAACAGCGGGCGGACAACTGTTCAAAACAGCGGGCGGACAACTGTTCAAAACAGCGGGCGGACAACTGTTCAAAACAGCGGGCGGACAACTGTTCAAAACAGCGGGCGGACAACTGTTCAAAACAGCGGGCGGACAACTGTTCAAAACAGCGGGCGGACAACTGTTCAAAACAGCGGGCGGACAACTGTTCAAAACAGCGGGCGGACAACTGTTCAAAACAGCGGGCGGACAACTGTTCAAAACAGCGGGCGGACAACTGAGCAATATTTCACAGCTAGATGTAAGGCGTTAGCCTGAGCAGCTTCAAAACATCCGACAGAGACACATTTGGGGGTCAACACTCAACTGGACAGGTCGTCGGTCTTGGAGAGGCTGCGTGAGCCGGTTCCTTTGCTCTTGTTGCTTCTGGACATGAAGGAGGAGCGCTGTTCACTTGGGCTCCAGCCGGGGAGGGAGGCCGAGGGTATCTTACAGCGGCCTGGGACCTCCTCCAGCAGGTCCTGACAACCCATCAGACGCACCTCCAACGTTCCTGGAAGGAAAAACAGGTCACACACACGCACCGGACAGAAAGAGGAATGCCGGGGAGGGGGGCCCTATGTATCAATCGTCTCAGAGTACGGGTGCTGATGTCATCTTATTTCATTGTGATCTAAAAGGCTAAAGTAATCTTAAAATCAGCACTCCTGAGACTCCTGATGCATACTGCCACCGCACTATGGACTTACAAGTTGTTATTGTAACGTAGAATGTTGCTCAAGTTTAACCCGAGCGGGTGAGGCATTACATACTGACTCGATCGGAAGTTTATCGTCTAACAGCTGTTAGCTGTGTATGTGTACATCCACATGTGTGTTTGGGATGAGGGTGGGGGTTGGCTCCGTTTACCTTAAGGAACGCTTCAGAGCTTTGAACTCGAAGAGAGGCTGCTGTGTTTTTTTTTTTAAATCTAGGGTATAACCCCGTAAGGATAAGGACAACATTGTGTGGTTGGTTCTAAAAGGAGTGTCTTACCTGTGAGTGCAGCAGGCTTGGTGACCGTGCTGTACTGGTTGTATGTAGACATAATGCTCTGGCGTGGGCTGAGTGGAGAGGACACCACCATGGCTAGTTCCTCCAGGATGAGAAGGCTCTTAGGATGGTCCTTAGGCAGTTCACTCAGCCGCTGCTCCAGAGATAACTGCAGCAGGTCCAACTTCTGATTGGACTCATTGAACCGGGCTTGAGCCTGGAAAAGAGACCAGTGTTAATGTTTAAACATACTAGGACATACACAGGACCATAGACTGGATATATATATATATATCTGAGAACTTCAGTTTAGTGCAAGCATTCACAACATATTCAGAGGTCAACTCTATGGAACACCTGGATGAGGAACGGTATGTTGAGGAACGGTATGTTGTGGAATGTTTCTTTTCACATTCCACACTGATGTGTGATGTGCCCTGTCTAGACTCTGGAAGACTTTACATGTACCTTTATTCACAAAATTTCCACCATCTGAGAAGAAATTGAAAGATCCAAGTCTTCTTCACACTCCTTCATCCTGGTGTTACATTCTTGACACTGTATGGAGTTGACCGCTGACATACTTTCTATTATGGGCTTGGGACCGTTGTGTACAGGTAGAAATTGGGTTGCAAAACTCGGGTAACTTTCTCAAATTTTCCAGGTTTCCAGAAAACCTGCTTATTCCCTACTTTTTTCTGGGACTCTTCCAACCAGGATATGTCTGGAAAAACCTGGGTAATTTTAGGAAAGTTAAAAGAATTTTGCAACCCTGGGTATAAAGCCATCCTCTCACCTCAGAGTGGGCCTTCTTCTCTGTAACCTTCCCAGAAGAGCCCAGTAGGATCATTACGTTCTTGGCCCCCTCTGCTACAGCATGCTCTATCCTGGAATGATGTCTCAGCTCTTCTAGTCTCAGGTCCAGAGGACTGATTATGGGCTTGGACACTGAGACTGGGGATCAGAAATATCATCATCATCATCATCACTGAGACTGGGGATCAGAAATATCCTCATTATCACTGAGACTGGGGATCAGAAATATCGTCATTATCACTGAGACTGGGGACCAGAAATATCCTCATTATCACTGAGACTGGGGACCAGAAATATCCTCATTATCACTGAGACTGGGGTAGGGATCAGAAATATCATAACTATCACCTTTTCATAACCCAGAAAATATTTGAACATATCTGTACAGTGAGTTTTAAAATGTTTGTTGTGCGTAAAACAAAATCATACAAAATTAGGCTGGATTTTAAAAGGTTACAAAGTCTAAAAATACTAATTCCCCACATATACTTTATATAGGAGTGGGAAAAGCCCCCCAAACAGACAAATGCATGCTCTTGGTGAGAGGTGTGTTCATAAGGTCATAATGGGTTCCATACCATGGTTATTGCTGTAGTTGGTCTCGCCAGTCTGGCTGGCTTTGAGGATCTGCATCCTGATAAACTCGATCTTGGTCTTGCTGTCCTGCAGCATCTGCTGAGCAGTGGCAAGCAGCTTCTTATCCTATTGAAGTTAGGAGAAAACATACATGTAAATATATAAGCAGCTTCTTATCCTATTGAAGTTAGGAGAAAACATACATGTAAATATATAAGCAGCTTCTTATCCTATTGAAGTTAGGAGAAAACATACATGTAAATATATAAGCATTTTAAAACTGGCTATTTCTTTGGCCCAGTGTTTTACCATTTTGTTTTCGCCATCTGTTTTGATTTCTTTTGAAAACAACTTACTAATTCTCTCTTAAAAGATCAAAATAAAAATTATTAGCATTTCAACTAGAGTAAAGTATTCAACAATATTGACTTTGTATGGCTGTGTATATGGTCTTTCAAATGGGGTTAAAAGCATTGGAGACATTCCAGCTCAACTCTAATAGCTTGAGGATAGCCATACATCCCCCCCCCCCCCCGCTACCTTGGAGGATCCGTTGGAATACATCTGGATCATATTCTCAGCTCCTTGTTTGCATTTGAGCTCAATGTCGTTTTGCTTCTTCAGAGCAGCCAGTCTGCTACTGCACATTCTGCTGGAATCACTGCTTGGGGTGTCTGGTGTCAGAGGGCAGCCAGAAACTACAATAAAACAGAACAGGCATGAGAGGGCAGTCTGAAACTACAATAAAACAGAACAGGCATGAGAGGGCAGTCTGAAACTACAATAAAACAGAACAGGCATGAGAGGGCAGTCTGAAACTACAATAAACAGAACAGGCATGAGAGGGCAGTCTGAAACTACAATAAAACAGAACAGGCATGAGAGGGCAGCCAGAAACTACAATAAACAGAACAGGCATGAGAGGGCAGTCTGAAACTACAATAAACAGAACAGGCATGAGAGGGCAGTCTGAAACTACAATAAACAGAACAGGCATGAGAGGGCAGTCTGAAACTACAATAAACAGAACAGGCATGAGAGGGCAGTCTGAAACTACAATAAACAGAACAGGCATGAGAGGGCAGTCTGAAACTACAATAAACAGAACAGGCATGAGAGGGCAGTCTGAAACTACAATAAACAGAACAGGCATGAGAGGGCAGCCAGAAACTACAATAAAACAGAACAGGCATGAGAGGGCAGTCTGAAACTACAACACAAAAACAGGGATTAAATTAGACTTAAATGCAAGAGGAAGCGTAGCATCTTGATAGCTCACTGACCATTACATTGGCTTATATTAAAATGTACTGAATTGTACCATGAGTAGGCCATGTTGTTACTGTAAATACGGTAACTATAATCACATAGTAATATAGGCCTAAATTAAAATGGAGTAATCAAATTGTGCTGTTTTTTGGTAAAGAAAGGATTTTTCCCCAGACATCTTTTTCTATTTAGAGTCTGTTGAGCAATATTGGTAGCTGTCAAGATTGATACAACGTAACATGGTCAAGGCTTGTACAGACAAGCTGAGTTTCACTGACAGACAGAGAGAACAGGTTTCAGTGAGACGGACTCCCAGGTGACAGACAGAGAGAACAGGTTTCAGTGAGACGGACTCCCAGGTGACAGCCAGAGAGAACAGGTTTCAGTGAGACGGACTCCCAGGTGACAGCCAGAGAGAACAGGTTTCAGTGAGACGGACTCCCAGGTGACAGACAGAGATAACAGGTTTCAGGTGAGACGGACTCCCAGGTGAAATGCACCACACCACAACACAACGGCATGTAGTGTACACAGCCAGGCCATGAAACAGAATGCACCCTGGGTAACATGGAGAAACACTTTCCCTTTGGATCCTCAAGTGACCTCCAAGTCATATTGGACAAAAATCAGACAATTATCACCGTGTTCCATGTAGCCGTATATCCCCCAGTGGCATGCCGAATCAAAGTCGTTTATTTCCCACAATAAAAAGCCCCTATGAAAAGCCCCTATGAAAAGCCCCTATGAAAAGCCCCTATGACGTCTAGGAAAATCCCTCCTGATGTCAACGTAAAGGGTAGGCCGTCATTGTAAATAAGAATTTGTTCTTAACTGACTTGCCTAGTTAAATAAAGGTTAAATCAAAAAATTATATACATGTACAGGAGAAGGGAAGAAGGAAGTTACATTACTTCATCACTGTTTAGGTATTTCCCCTTGGGTTACACCATCAAATCACAAAGAGCACTCCTGTACTGTCCTCATGGCTTTCCAGACTGCAGGAATTCATACAGGTCGTACAGGAGACCGGAGGCAACTTTCTATCATGATTTCTTTGAAGAGGGTAATTCATGATCTACTGCTCCTGTCTATTTAACTCAACATATAGGCCCACTGTACCTTTCACAGGGAATTACAAGAATACAATGTTTGTACAATACTCTCCATGTCTTAGGAAGAGAGTCTACTTGTACCATCAGTCAGCTTATCATAACTAAGCTAGACATGTAACCATTTTCCACATCTTCAAAAGACCTCCCTGAAATCTAAACACTTCCAACTTCCTGTGTAGGGGGACAGCAGCTCATAAAGATGGAGGACAAGACAGAATATTATGCTTGTACCTAAAGGTAACTGCCAAAACACCAACATAAAGCGTCTTAATAGGGTGTTGGGCCGCCAGAACAGCTTCAGTGAGCCTTGGCATAGATTCTAGAAGAGTCTGGAACTCTATTGGAGGGATGCGAGCGACACCATTCTTCCACGAGAAATTCCACAATTTGGTGTTTTGTTGATGGTGGTGGAAAACGCTGTCGAGAATCTCCCATCCCACTGGGCAAAAACTGGTTCAACCAATGTTGTTTCTACGTCATTTCAACCCAAAAATTCAAAATGTGATGACATTGAATCAACATGGAAAACTGATTTTGATTTGCAAATAGTCAACGTAAAAAGGGAATTTCTTATTTTTTTCACCCAACTTTGAACTTAAATCCAATGACAGGGTGACATTTTTGGTTGATTTCACATTGAATTCACATTAGTTCACAACTTAACGAAACGTAAATCAAAACTAGACGTTGAACTGGCGTCTGAGCCCAATGGGATAGGTGTTGAATTGGGTTGAGATCTGGTGATTGAGACACACATCCTTTAAACCCCCTGTGCTCCTTTGAGACCCCTCTTTCAAAGTCACTGAGATCTCTTCTTCTAGCCATGGTAGCCAATATAAAACGGGCAACTGGGAATTTTTATACCCTAAGCATGATGGGATGTTAATTGCTTAATTAACTCAGGAACCACACCTGTGTGGAAGCACCTGCTTTCAATATACTTTGTATCCCTCATTGTTTCTATAATCTTGGCAATTACCTGTACTACTGTGCTTGATCATCAACAGCATTGAGATGTTTGCTTGGCGGGGTCCAGGTTCAATACAGTACCATCTAGTGTACATGTAAGCCTACATAGATGAGTGAGTTTTGATAAGACATCATCAATTGTATAAAAGGGCTCATAGAAAACAAATGTGTAAGCATTAAAGTTCAAGAAGAAAAACAATATTGCTCTTGCAAGAGAGTTCCCTGTAAAATCCTATTGCATGACCCCATGAGACTGCTGCAAAATCCAAGATAGTGCAAAGGTAAATAGATTTACAACTAGTAGCTAGGCTTGCCAGAGTTCACGTCCCACATGGCACCCGATTCCCGTATTTGAACAGAGCTCTATGGGCCCTGGTCAAAAGTAGTGCACTATATAGGAAATAGGGTGCTATTTGGAACTCAATATAGGAAATAGGGTGCTATTTGGGACTCATATATAGGAAATAGGGTGCTATTTGGGACTCATATATAGGAAATAGGGTGCCATTTGGAACTCAATATAGGAAATAGGGTGCTATTTGGGACTCATATATAGGAAATAGGGTGCTATTTGGGACTCATATATAGGAAATAGGGTGCCATTTGGGACTCGTATATATATATATATATATATATATATATATATATATATATATATATATATATATATATATATAGGACATAGGGTGCTATTTGGGACTCATATATAGGACATAGGCTGCTATTTGGGACTCACACAGAGGCTGTGTGAAGGGCAGTCTGTCTCGTGAACAGAGGCGACACACTGCAGCTTTAATGGCTCATGGAACTTAAAAGAAGGGTTTCCAGACACATCTAGTTCCCTAGCAAGCATGTTGAAACAAGGCTAAATAGTCTAGGCCTACTTGAGACCCTTCTTCATGTCCGAATGCCCCTTCACTCTGGAAAAGTGTTTTCCCCTGTTCATGCTACACTAGCAGAATGGCTGCTCTTTCATTATTTCTTATTTTTATTAGTTATCTATTTCTTTACTTAACACTTATTTTTCTTCAAACTGCATTGTTGGCTAAGGGCTTGTAAGTAAGCATTTCACTGTAAGGTCTACCTACGCCTGTTGTTTTCGGCGCATGTGACAAATACAATTTGGATTTGATTTATAGTCTGGTGGACACTTGACTACTTGACTTGAGACCCTTCTTCCTGTCCTAAATAACCTTGTTCTCTGGAAATAGAAATGGCCCCATAGCTCATGCTTCCTGATGTACTACTCAGACACGTGCACTTCCAATTAAGGCTACAGCCCTTCCTCTAAAACACACAGAGCTCATGTGCACTCACTCATACAGATCGTTTGTATGTATGTATTGATATTTAGGCTACGTCTGCCTTTTTTATTGTATTTCTGTCCTTGAGCTGTTCTTGTCTATTAAATGTTCTGTATTATGTCATGTTTCATGTTTTGTGTGGACCCCAGGAAGAGTAACTGCCGCTTTTGCAACAGCTAATGGGGATCCTAATAAAATACCAAATAGGCTGTCATTGAGTCGTTAATGACCAGTGGATGCAAAAATACACAACGGTCTACAGTAACCTTGCAGCAAACAAACCCACGCAGACAAGCAGAGGGCAGAACAATGCATCTCTTCTCTGTCTGGTAATCCCAGAGCAGCACGATGACCCAGCAGAAGGCCTCAGCCCCTTCCTTCCTTCATTAGCACTAGCTGTTGAATATGAATGTAAAGGACTGGCTGTATTCATCATGGCTGCTATGTGAATAAAACAATGCCTGGGTTCCTGTCTGTTGCTGCATGCTAATCATAGGACTGAGAGACACTGGGCTGAGAGAGAGAGAGAGACACGGGACTGAGAGAGAGAGAGAGAGACACAGGACTGAAAGAGAAACAGGGCTGAGAGAGAGAGAGACACGGGACTGAGAGAGAGAGAGAGAGACACGGGGCTGAGAGAGAGAGAGACACGGGGCTGAGAGAGAGAGAGACACGGGGCTGAGAGAGAAACAGGGCTGAGAGAGAGAGACACACGGGACTGAGAGAGAGCGACACAGGGCTGAGAGAGAGAGAGAGAGAGACACGGGACTGAGAGCGAGAGAGACACGGGTCTGAGAGAGAGAGAGAGACACGGGACAGAGAGAGAGAGAGACACGGGGCTGAGAGTGAGAGAGACACAGGGCTGAGAGAAAGAGAGAGAGACACGGGGCTGAGAGAAAGAGAGAGAGACACGGGGCTGAGAGAGAGAGAGAGACACGGGGCTGAGAGAGAGAGAGAGAGACACAGGCTGAAAGAGAAACAGGGCTGAGAGAGAGAGACAGGGCTGAGAGAGAGAGACGGGACTGAGAGAGAGAGACACGGGGCTGAGAGAGAGAGAGAGACGGGACAGAGAGAGAGAGACACGGGACTGAGAGAGGAGAGAGAGCGAGACGGGGCTGAGAGAAGGAGAGAGACACTAAGGGCTGAGAGAGAGAGAGAGAGAGAGAGACACTAAGGGCTGAGAGAGAGAGAGAGACACGGGGCTGAGAGAGAGAGAGACAGGGCTGAAAGAGAGACAGGGCTGAGAGAGAGAAAGAGACAGGGCTGAAAGAGAAACAGGGCTGAGAGCGAGAGAGAGAGACACGGGACTGAGAGAGAGAGAGAGAGAGAGACAGGGCTGAGAGAGAGAGAGACACGGGACTGAGAGAAAGAGAGAGAGAGACATGGGGCTGAGAGAGAGAGAGAGACACGGGCTGAAAGTGAAACAGGGCTGAGAGAGAGAGAGACAGGGCTGAGAGAGAGAGACGGGACTGAGAGAGAGAGACACAGGACTGAGAGAGAGAGACACGGGGCTGAGAGAGAGAGAGAGAGAGAGACGGGACAGAGAGAGAGACATGGGACTGAGAGAGAGAGACACTAAGGGCTGAGAGAGAGAGAGAGACACGGGGCTGAGAGAGAGAGAGACACGGGGCTGAGAGAGAGAGAGACAGGGCTGAAAGAGAGAGAGACAGGGCTGAAAGAGAGAGAGACAGGGCTGAGAGAGAGAGAGAGAGACACAGGCTGAAAGAGAAACAGGGCTGAGAGAGCGGACAGGGGACTGAGAGGAGGAGACAGTGCTGAGAGAGGACGGGACTGAGAGAGAGAGACACGGGGGGGCTGAGAGAGAGAGATGAGAGAACGGGACAGAGAGAGAGAGACACGGGGGGCTGAAGCGGGAGAGAGAGAGAAGAGAGACACGGGGCTGGAGATGAGAGAGAGAGAGAGACACTAAGGGCTGAGGAGAGAGAGACACTAAGGGTGAGAGAGAGAGAGAGACACAGGGCTGAGAGAGAGAGAGACATGGCTGAAAGAGAGACAGGGCTGAGAGAGAGAGATAGACACAGGCTGAAAGAGAAACAGGGCTGAGAGAGAGAGAGACAGGGCTGAGAGAGAGAGACGGGACTGAGAGAGAGAAGGACACGGGGCGAGAGCAGGCGAGAAGTAGAGAGAACGGGACAGAGAGAGAGAGACACGGGGCTGAGAGAGGAGAGAGAGAGAGAGACACGGGGCTGAGAGAGAGAGAGACAGGGCTGAAAGAGAGACAGGGCTGAGAGAGAGAGAGACAGGGCTGAAAGAGAAACAGGGCTGAGAGCGAGAGAGAGAGACACAGGGCTGAGAGAGAGACAGGGCTGAGAGAGAGAGACACGGGACTGAGAGAGACACAGGGCTGAGAGAGAGAGAGAGAGAGAGAGAGAGACACAGGGCTGAGAGAGAAACAGGGCTGAGAGCGAGAGAGAGACAGGGCTGGAAGAGAAACAGGGCTGAGAGCGAGAGAGAGAGACACGGGACAGAGAGAGAGAGAGAGACACAGGGCTGAGAGAGAGAGACACAGGGCTGAGAGAGAGAGAGAGAGAGACACTGGGCTGAAAGAGAAACAGGGCTGAGAGAAAGACAGGGCCGAGAGAGAGAGTGACACGGGACTGAGAGAGAGAGACACGGGACAGAGAGAGACACGGGACTGAGAGAGAGAGAGACACGGGACTGAGAGAGTGAGAGAGACACGGGACTGAGAGAGTGAGAGAGACACGGGACTGAGAGAGTGAGAGAGACACGGGGCTGAGAGAGAGAGAGAGAGAGAGAGACAGGACTGAGAGAGAGACACAGGGCTGAGAGAGTGAGAGAGACACGGGGCTGAGAGAGTGAGAGAGACACGGGGCTGAGAGAGATGGGGCTGAGAGAGAGAGACGGGACAGAGAGAGACACAGGACAGAGAGAGAGAGAGAGAGACACAGGACTGAGAGAGAGAGACACGGGGCTGAGAGAGAGAGAGACACGGGGCGGAGAGAGAGAGACACGGGACTGAGAGATCAGTGAGTCTCTGCTGGTGAGTCCATAGTGTTCTATATCTATCAGTGAGTCTCTGCTGGTGAGTCCATAGTGTTCTATATCTATCAGTGAGTCTCTGCTGGTGAGTCCATAGTGTTCTATATCTATCAGTGAGTCTCTGCTGGTGAGTCCATAGTGTTCTATATCTATCAGTGAGTCTCTGCTGGTGAGTCCATAGTGTTCTATATCTATCAGTGAGTCTCTGCTGGTGAGTCCATAGTGTTCAATATCTATCAGTGAATCTCTGTTGTGCGGCACACGAGGTGATGAAGTTTGACTTGTATGCAATTTACTGCTAAATGCTTGCCATCAGATATCTTCTAACTGTCTAAGATGTGCTATACTCTCCAGCTGTGTATTTGGTTACTTGTTCGTTAGCTAAGTAAGTGTCTGAATTAATAAGGAGACAGAGTGTTAGCTTTCTGATGAGTTTGAGAAGTCCAAGAGCTCCGGATGAGTTCTGTACAGTTGCCATTTTCCCCCTGTGCTTCCTATTAGTGTTTTCCCCCCTCCTCTCGGTTCTTCTCCCCTCTGCTCCGTGTTCACATGCTGCTCTTCCTTCAGAAAAACATGCATCACAACTTTGTTCATTTCCACAATTTCTCTCGTTCACTTTCGCATGTAAAATGGCTACTAGATATACTTGTATCACTTCATGAACTGGATTTGCCTGTCTTTGCAATTAGTTTGTTTGTTTGCGCGTCCATGAGAATTCGCTATTACCTGTGCTAATTCTGTTAGCATTCTGGTAATAGACACCCCAAAGTTTTTTTAAGGTGTTTTTAGCGTCCCCTTGTGTGCTATGCTGATAATACTGTAAATCCTGGTATGGCGGAAGAACGGTATGACGATAGGAAAATCTGGATCCCTCCCAAGCTTAATGCTTATTAGTCCAGGACTTGGCTTAATCTATATCCGGGAGACTTGGCCCTTAAACTCTCACCTCATCCACTTTACCAAACATTGGGTATAACAGTTATGTGTTAATTTCACCATAACTAATAGTACCTCTAGGTTAGGGGTAAGGGTACTATACCTAGTTGTTAGGGGTAAGGGTACTATACCTAGTTGTTAGGGGTAAGGGTACTATACCTAGTTGTTAGGGGTAAGGGTACTATACCTAGTTGTTAGGGGTAAGGGTACTATACCTAGTTGTTAGGGGTAAGGGTACTATACCTAGTTGTTAGGGGTAACGGTACTATACCTAGTTGGATCTCGGGGTCCTTGACCACGATGTGGGCGTTGAGCTCCTGGAGCTCCTGGTGGAGCTCCTCCAGCTTCTTGTTGCTCTTCTTCAGCTGGTTGTCAACGTAGGCCAGGCTCTTCTTGTCCGTGGTGACCTTCTTCAGGTTCTCAGCCCCTTCCTTGATCTTCAACTCCTTCCTGATCTCCCTCTTGATATGGTCCTTGATCTCCTCTAACTTCTGCTGCACCATGGTGTCTGACAGGTCCAGGTTCTCACCCAGACCCAGCACGTGGTCCCTGGCGTCTCCCTGGAACAATACAAATCAATAAAAATAAATCAGAGTGACGCTTCAAAGACCAAACGTACATTTTAGTCAGATTAATTCCTGATTCCTAAAATGGACTGAATTTAAATGGGATTGGCATTGACCCCAATGGCGCTGCAGTGGATGGAAACCACATTATGGGCTCCTGACCAACTCTGCTATTTTGTGTGTTTCTACACGCTGAATGTCTCCGCCATCCTTTCCTATGTCCGAAAACAGCTTCCGGACATTAGAACAGTGATAACTAACCTAGATTTGGATGACAATTTCTACTTCATCGAGTCAGCAGCTCTGGACGTTCTGCTTACTCCTGACCAGGCCCTAATCCCCGGGACTCAAAACAGGAAGCGACGGCGCATGAGGCAAACGAGCCGGCATCCTGACGAGACTACGTTGGCGAACAAATGAACTGCCTCTACCCTCCGTTCTATTGGCCAACATACAATCACTACAGAACTAACTGGATGAGCTCCGTTGGAGACTATCCTATCAACGGGACCTGAACTACTGTAAAATTCTATGTTTCATGGAGTCGTGGCTGAACAAGGACATGTATAATATACAGTACATCTCTCTGGCTATTTCATGCATCGTCAAGACCGGTCGGCAGCCTTGGTTAAGATGAAGGGGGAGGGGTGCGTCTCTTTGTTAACAACAGCTGTTGTGCGAACTCTAATGTTAAGGAAGTCTCAAGTTTTTTGCTCGCCTGAGTTAGAATACCTAATGATAAGGGCCATAAGCAAACAATAAAATGCACATCCAGAGGCGGCGCTTCTCGTGGCCGGTGATTTTAATGCAGGGAAACTGAAATCCATTTTACTTCATTTTTACCAGCATGTCACCTGTGCAACTAGAGGTGACAAAACTCTTGATTGCCTTTACTCCAAAACACAGAAACGCATACAAGGCTGACCATAACTCTACCCTCCTGATTCCTGCTTACAAGCAAACTCAAATAGGAAGTACCAGTGACGCGCTCAATACGGAAGTGGTCCGATGAAGCGGATGCTAAGCTACAGGAATGTTTTGCTAGCACAGACTGGACTATGTTCTGGGATTCATGCGATAACTATGAGGAGTTTACCACATCAGTCACCGGCTTCATTAATAAGTGCATCGATGACGTCGTCCACACAGTGACCATACGTACATATCCCAACCAGAAGCCATTGATTACAGGCAACATCTGCACTGAGCTAAAGCTGCTGCTTTAAAGGAGTGGGACACTAATCCGGTTGCTTATAAGAAATCCTGCTACGACCTCCGAAGAGACATCAAAACAGGTAAAACGTCAATACAGGACTAAGATCGAATTCTACTATGCCGGCTCCGACGCTCGTCGGATGTGCCAGGGCTTGCAAACTATCACGGATTACAAGAGGCAAACCCAGCCGCGAGCTGCCCAGTGATGCAAGCCTACCAGACGAGCTAAATGCCTTCTATGCTCGCTTCGAGGCAAGCAACACTGAACCATGCATGAGAGCACCAGCTGTTCCGGACGACTGTGATCACGCTCTCCGTAGCCAATATGAGTAAGCCCTTTAAACAGGTTAACATTCACAAGGCCAGACTGACTACCAGGACGCCAACTCGGAGCATGCACTGACCAGCTGGCAAGTGTCTTCACTGACATTTTCAACCTTTACCTAACTCAGTCTGTAATACCTACATGTTTCAAGCAGACCACCATAGTCCCTGTGCCCAAGAAGGCGAAGGTAACCTGTCTAAATGACAATTGCCTGTAGCACTCACATCTGTAGCCATGAAATGCTTTGAAAGGCTGGTCATGACTCACATCAACACCATCATCTCAGACACCCTGGACCCCACTCCAATTTGCATACCGCCCCAACAGATCCACAGATGATGCAATCTCTATGGCACTCCACACTGCCCTCTCCCACCTGCACAAGAGGAACACCTATGTGAGAATGCTGTTCATTGACTACAGCTCAGCGTTCAACACCATAGTTCCCTCCAAGGTCATCACTAAGCTCAGGACCCTGGGACTGAACACCTCCCTCTGCAACTGGATTCTGGACTTCCTGACGGCCCGCCCCCAGGTGGTGAGGGTAGGCAATAGCACATCCGCCACGCTTATCCACAACACAGGGGGCCCCTCAGGGGTGTGTGCTTAGTCCCTGTTCACCCACGACTGCATGGGCGCGCACGACTCCAACACCATCATTAAGTTTGTTGACGACCAGACTGTGGTAGGCCTGATCACAGACGACAATGAGACAGCCTATAGGCAGGAGAACAGTGACCTGACAGTGTGGTGCCAGGACAACAACCTCTCTCTCAACGTCAGCAAGAGCTGATTGTGGACTACAGGAAACGGAGGGCCGAGCACGCCCCCATCCACATCGACAGGCCTCTAGTGTGGGTAGAGTGTGTTGAGACCTTCAAGTTCCTCTGTGTCCACATCACTAAGGAATTAACATGGTCCACACACACCAACACAGTCGTGAAGAGGGCACAACAATTCCTCTTCCCCCTCAGGAGGCTGAAAAGATTTGTCATGGGCCCTCAGATCCTCAAAAAGTTATACAGCTGCACCACTGAGAGCATCTTGACTGGCTGCATCACCGCTTGGTATAGCAACTGCTTGGCATCCAACCGCAAGGCGCTACAGAGGGCAATGCGTATGGCCCAGTACATCACTGGGACCGAGCTCCCTGCCATCCAGGACCTCTATTCCAGGCGGTGTCAGAAGAAGGCCCTAAAAATTGCCAAAGCCTCCAGCCACCCAAGTCATAGACTGTTCTCCCTGCTACCGCACAGGAAGTGGTATCGATGCACCAAGTCTGGAACCAACAGGACCCAGAACATCTTCTACCCCCAAGTCATAAGTCTGCTAAAAATAGTTAACCAAATAGCTACCCGGACTATCTGCATTGACCCCCTTTGCACTCTTTTGACTCATCACATACGCTGCGGTCTACTGCTTATTGTCTATCCCGTTGCCTAGTCACTTTATCCCTACCTATATGTACATATCTACTTCAATTACCTCGTACCCCTGCACTTCGACTTGGTACTGGTTCCCTGTATACTGTATATAGCAAAGTTATCATCATTGAGTTTTTATTCCTTGTGTTATTATTTTTACATTTCTCTCTCTGCATTGTTGGGAAAGGCCCGTAAGTAAGATTTTTTAATTTTAATTTTTTTTACATCTGTTGTTTACGAAGCATGTGACAAATACCATTTTATTTGAGTCCTGTTGGTCTGTAATCTAGCAGTACAGTTACTTGGCTGGCCGTCATTGACGGCTCTGTGACCGTTATGTAACGGACTAAAGAGAAAGCAGCTAATCTGTGGCTGGTCAGGCGTCAGGCTGGTCAATACTGAGGCACGGGGCCTCTCAGTGGTGCTGCTAGTCCGTGTGTCCCAAATGGCACCCTATTTCCTATATAGTGCACTTCTTTTGACCAGAGCTCTATAGGCTCTGGTCAAATGTAGTGCACTATAAAGGGAATAGGGGTGCTATTTGGGACACATCCTCTACACCGACCAAACACACTAGACCTTACCAGCTGACCTTAACAAAAGTCCTCTGGCTTGCTGGTCACACAATGACAGGGAATGCAGAGGAAACACATCACTGCAACAGGATAGACAGAGAGGGCCTCCCTCACAGACCAAGTACACTGTTGTAGGTTACAGAGCAGACCAAGTACACTGTTGTAGGTTAAATAGCAGACCAAGTACACTGTTGTAGGTTAAATAGCAGACCAAGTACACTGTTGTAGGTTAAATAGCAGACCAAGTACACTGTTGTAGGTTACATAGCCTGCTGTATTGTTCACGTCAATTTAAAAGGATAAGCGACAAGCATTTCCTGGACTGACCTGAAGTCAAATGTAATTGTGGCCTAACTCCGGTTACTGGGCATAGCTCTGTGAAACATCTATTCACGGGTTGTAAACAGGTGACTGCTAATGTTATTTGGTACGGGAGCAAACCCTGGATTTGGATTTAATAAACTGCCCACCACATTCTTCTTTGATTTTTCAACTCTGAGTCACTATTGAAGAGCGGGCATAGCTCTGGAACCGGCCTTCGTTTTTTGGCCCAAACATAGCGACCATGATTGGTTTAGATTTGGTCCCCAATCATAGACGTCTATGTTTTACAAGTTTGGACAGTAGAGTAAAGTAGAGTATAGTTCAGTACACAGTAGAGCAGTAGCGGTGCGTGGGTAAAAATCACCGGGGAAGCCAAGCCCGCTCAGTTTAGCTCAACGAGCCAAGCCCGCTCAGTTTAGCTCAACGAGCCAAGCCCGCTCAGTTTAGCTCAACGAGCCAAGCCCGCTCAGTTTAGCTCAACGAGCCAAGCCCGCTCAGTTTAGCTCAACGAGCCAAGCCCGTTCAGTTTAGCTCAACGAGCCAAGCCCGCTCAGTTTAGCTCAACGAGCCAAGCCCGCTCAGTTTAGCTCAACGAGCCAAGCCCGCTCAGTTTAGCTCAACGAGCCAAGCCCGCTCAGTTTAGCTCAACGAAGATTGGCTCATTTTTTTTAAATACTTTTTTTTTTTTTTGTCAAGGGTGGCCAGATGCTCGCTGGCTTCCCTTGCCTTCAACGCTACGGGCAGGCAACAATGTCATACTTGTTTTGACCAGACAGCATTAAGATAGATGGCCTACACATAGAGAGACAGAGGGGCGCTGTTTCGCTCGCTCGGAAGCTTTCTCCTGTGAGATACATCCAGCCTCTCGCGAACTGAAGGAAAATTATGAAACACATCATGAATACATTTACATTTACATTTTAGTCATTTAGCAGACGCTCTTATCCAGAGCGACTTACAGTTAGTGAATAATTTTTTTTTTTTTTATACTGGCCCCCCGTGGGAATTGAACCCACAACCCTGGCGTTGCAAACGCCATGCTCTATCAACTGAGCTACATCCCTGCCGGCCATTCCCTCCCCTACCCTGGACGACGCTGGGCCAATTGTGCGCCGCCCATGAGTCTCCCGGTCGCGGCCGGCTGCGACAGAGCCTGGATTCGAACCAGGATCTCTAGTGGCACAGTTAGCACTGCGATGCAGTGCCTTATACCACTGCGCCACTCAGGAGTCTGAATACACACCACTGCACTAGATTAGAGTACCCTCTACTGTTCTCCACTGAGCTCTACTGTGCTCTACTTTGATGTCCAAACTCGTTAAACATAGATGTCGATGATTTGTTCAGATTTGGTCCGGTCCTAGCAAATCTGGTCTTGTTTTGTGGCGGAGCTCATTAAAATAATAGCCAATGTGTAGAATAATACGAAAATATGCGAAAGGAGGATATCGCATATTTCTACCTTTGCGTACCTATTTAGGATACGTCACCATGAAGAGAATGGCATTCATATCAGGGTTTTCCCGCAAGGAAAATTTGGCACCGGACAACGTGACCGGCAAGATTCTAATTTACCGGACATTTGAGAAATGTACCGGACATCCATATGCATTGGGAGTGTAGCGCATTAGGGCGTCCACCCACGGTGCTCAAAATCCCATTTAGATTATTGTAATTCATTTTAACGGAATAGAAATGAGCCTGTAAAGAAGAACAATGTTCTTATACCAACATGACAGGTTTTATTCAAAAGCAAAACATTGCCCGTTACGTCTTCATCTCTGCTATAAAACATAAATGAAAATCATTCAGTAATAAAACACATCTTCAAAATATAATATTTGTATAATATAATTTGCGAACGACCTGTCCTAAAGGCTATTTGTATGAACATTTTCATTAATAAATAACAAAACACAGCCGTTTTTAAATACAATATAGGCCTCTCTAATTTAATTTAGCCTAGGCATTAACATTTTAACTAGGCCTAATAAATAACATGTCTGTCTATGAACACCGTGGCCGGCTGGTCATGGCTAGAAGGGATCAAATTAATGTCAGATTTGAGTTTTGGTAGCAGGTTAGAACTCAGGTTAGGAGAATTAGGTTAAGGTTAGGAAAAGGGTTAGGGTTAGCTAAAATGCAAACAAATTCTACTTTTGACGTTAATTTGACAAAAGCTGGATCCCTTCTAGCCATGACCGGGCCGGCTCGTCCCACTCCCGCTGCGATGCAGCACCACAGCAGTGGAAAGAGGACACTCTAGGCGGCCACAAAATGAATAAATGATCAAACTGACGTTGGACAATCAAATTGGATATGTAAATAAACTACATTCGTTAAGGCTGTTTCATTGAGAGAAAGCTAATTTTGCGCAATGCTCCTGTGAAACGAGGCCGGTGCCATGCATTTAATTGAACACACTTGTTTCCAAAGCTCAAATTATAACTCACTATTTTTACAGTTCTACTGGATGAAGTTAATAAATGTTATGTTGATTGTCATTTAACCTATCGTGGGGTAGTGACTCGTGTCATGTGTGATATACGTGGCTTATTGATAACATCTCTGTTTCCTACTATAGACAGTTGGCTGCCTAGTGATTGTAACATTGTAACTCTCCGATGTGAATAATTGGCAACGATGTTTCGTTTCCAAGTCCTACTGAATAAGCTCAACTGTGCATGAGACACATAATTACTTTCAATCCATTCCTAATCTTTAAACTATACATGACACGGGGGGGAATATGTTGATCTTGCCTAGGACGGCAACAGAACTGCTAGGACCAGGCCTGACGAGCACAATCATTTGCCTCTAATTTACTTGCATTTGCGGCAGAACTTGGCCTGCTTAAAGTGAGCCGCTGCTGTTGGGAAGTCCAAACTGTCCAACTCCTTTCAGTAGCTTGATGTGCATCAGCCTCGTTACTTTGTCCTCAAGAAGGAGCGATCTGGAGGCCATCTTTACTCCGTTTTGGAGAAATAATCCCCTCTCGGCAGGCACACTGGAGACGGATAATCAACACAATCTTCTCCAAACAGAAACACACACACCCCGACACTAATTTCCAAGCAGCTTGAGGATTTATTATCCTATGAAGTATATTTGCCTTTGATGTTGGAGCACATCGACTGGTATTTCCATCAATGAATAAAGCGCCTTATTTTGCAATGAGTTTTTTTTTGGGGGGGGGGTCCAATTTGGCCGGCAACTATTTTATTTAGCAGCTTTTAATTTATGTATTTTTTTGCCAAAAGCCTGGCATTTACCGGAAACCCTGATTCATATCCATAATTCTGCATTTGTGTGTAGTACAGATCAGGGATCCATGATTACATTCTGTTACCGTGTGTAAAACCACTTCACTTACTGTAGTTCAATACCAAAATATATTTTTTTCTAAGTCAAGGTGTCATGTCATCATAGCTGACACCCAATTCTGCAGACATCTTAATTCGGAGCAGATATTTAACAGAGTTTTTCCAACGGTTCTAGACAAGCATGTTTAAATGATCTAATGATGTGGCTACGCAGCGTAGACAAAGCAGGTCATTGTGTTGTCTGACCTTGTTTAGCTAGTTCATCCTGAGCTATAAACCACAACACACCTCAGACAGAATGGTGACTCCCATAATTATTATAAAGAACTTCACGTTCACTCTGATGGGCAAAGTAATGAAGGACAAAACTATAAAACAACTCCCGCAGAACAGGTATTCCTTACCATGCCCATGACATCCAGCACAGAGGCACGAACTGATCCAAGCATTTTCTAATGTACTGTACAGGCTTCCCCCTCTCTGTTTCCTTGGTTTGAAACAAGTTCACAACAAACTGACCTGTTCACCGGACGTGCTACCTTGTCCCAGACCTGCTGTTTTCAACTCTCTCTCTCTCTCTCTCTACCGCACCTGCTATTTCAACCTCTAAATGCGCGGCTATGAAAAGCCAAGTGACATTTACTCCTGATGTACTGACCTGTTGCAACCTCTACAACCACTGTGATTATTATTTGACCCTGCTGGTCATCTATGAACGTTTGAACATCTTGGAGAAAAATCTGGCCTTAAATGGCCATGTACTGTTATAATCTCCACCCGGCACAGCCAGAAGGGGACTGGCCAACCCTCAGAGCCTGGTTCCTCTCTAGGTTTCTGCCTTTCTAGGGAGTTTTTCCTAGCCACCGTGCTTCTACATCTGCATTGCTTGCTGTTTGGGGTTTTAGGCTGGGTTTCTGTATAAGCACTTTGTGACATCTACTGATGTAAAAAGAGCTTTATAAATACATTTTATTGAAATTTGATTGAACTGGAGAGGTAGTATAATCCACTGCTATGAAGCACCACGGCCATATCGGTTGGTACTTAGTACAGGAGTCTGTAGTCACTCAGCTTGGTTTAGTCATGGTGTTCGTTTTCTCACAATCTGCTCCTTGCGGCATCAGAATAGCTGATAAGCAGTTTGGAGAGGACTGAGGAGGACAAATCCCGCTAAGCCGTTATAGTGGATAAGACCCCGTTGATGCAAGCAGACATGTTAAGTATCGTTTACACCGTAGGGTAGGTAGCAGGGTCTTAAAATAACGTGGTTCCCAAAGCCACAGACGTGTTATCCAACTGCCTTCTCATCGAAGTTTCAACCCAATACTGGGATGAAAAATAATGCCAGGCAGACAGGCAGACAGACAGGCAGACAGACAGGCAGACATATTTCAATGTAACCTGGGGTTGTGACGGTAATTGAATAACCGTGTAACTGACGGTTATGGATGAAGACCGCCATGAAAATAAAATAACCATCAAAACCGTTTAAAATAGGCCTACATTCATTATTATTATTTATTAGCTTTATTTTCATGTAGATAAACTTGAGTGTTTACTAATGATTATAAGCAACTCAAGTCCGTCTACATCTCCTCCTTCCAACAGTCGTTGGATGCTACAGTAGCTAATCCGGTCGATGCGCGGGGGTGTAGAAGCTCTACGCTATAGGCTATGGGTGTAGAAGCTCTAGCCTATAGGCTATGGGTGTAGAAGCTCTAGCCTATAGGCTATGGGTGTAGAAGCTCTAGCCTATAGGCTATGGGTGTAGAGCGCTATAGGCTATGGGTGTAGAGCGCTATAGGCTTTGGGTGTAGAGCGCTATAGGCTATGGGTGTAGAGCGCTGTAGGCTATGGGTGTAGAGCGCTGTAGGCTATGGGTGTAGAGCGCTGTAGGCTATGGGTGTAGAGCGCTGTAGGCTATGGGTGTAGAGCGCTATAGGCTATGGGTGTAGAGCGCTGTAGGCTATGGGTGTAGAGCGCTGTAGGCTATGGGTGTAGAGCGCTATAGGCTATGGGTGTAGAGCGCTATAGGCTATGGGTGTAGAGCGCTAGAGGCTATGGGTGTAGAGCGCTATAGGCTATGGGTGTAGAGCGCTATAGGCTATGGGCTATAGGCTATGGGTGTAGAGCGCTGTAGGCTATGGGTGTAGAGCGCTGTAGGCTATGGGTGTAGAGCGCTGTAGGCTATGGGTGTAGAGCGCTATAGGCTATGGGTGTAGAGCGCTATAGGCTATGGGTGTAGAAGCTCTAGCCTATAGGCTATGGGTGTAGAGCGCTATAGGCTATGGGTGTAGAGCGCTATAGGCTATGGGTGTAGAGCGCTAGAGGCTATGGGTGTAGAAGCTCTAGCCTATAGGCTATGGGTGTAGAAGATCTAGCCTATGGGTGTAGAAGCTCTAGCCTATAGGCTATGGGTGTAGAAGCTCTAGCCTATAGGCTATGGGTGTAGAAGCTCTAGCCTATAGGCTATGGGTGTAGAAGATCTAGCCTATGGGTGTAGAAGCTCTAGCCTATAGGCTATGGGTGTAGAAGCTCTAGCCTATAGGCTATGGGTGTAGAAGCTCTAGCCTATAGGCTATGGGTGTAGAAGCTCTAGCCTATAGGCTATGGGTGTAGAGCGCTATAGGCTATGGGTGTAGAGCGCTATAGGCTATGGGTGTAGAGCGCTATAGGCTATGGGTGTAGAGCGCTATAGGCTATGGGTGTAGAGCGCTATAGGCTATGGGTGTAGAGCGCTATAGGCTATGGGTGTAGAGCGCTATAGGCTATGGGTGTAGAGCGCTGTAGGCTATGGGTGTAGAGCGCTATAGGCTATGGGTGTAGAGCGCTATCGGCTATGGGTGTAGAAGCTCTAGCCTATCGGCTACGGGGGTGTAGAGCGCTATAGGCTATGGGTGTAGAGCGCTGTAGCCTATAGGCTATGGGTGTAGAGCGCTGTAGGCTATGGGTGTAGAGCGCTGTAGGCTATGGGTGTAGAGCGCTATAGGCTATGGGTGTAGAAGCTCTAGCCTATCGGCTACGGGGGTGTAGAGCGCTATAGGCTATGGGTGTAGAGCGCTGTAGCCTATAGGCTATGGGTGTAGAGCGCTGTAGCCTATAGGCTATGGGTGTAGGCTATGGGCTACGGCACTTCAGTAAAAATGTTTGATGTGTGGACTTTCCTTTATACAATACATGTTTTCATTGCTGTCTAGTAAATAAATAAATTGGTCTTGTTTAAAAAAAAAAAGGTTGGATGTGTTTGACTATTCATTAATTATTCAACAAGGTTGTTCTGGCGCTGAGGCCGACAATGCACTAATGTTGTGTCAAATGGACAATGCGCCAATCCAACAAGGCATAAAGGCTATAATTTGATACCGATTATTTTCTTTATTGATAGACTACTCAACACTGATAAATAGGCTATGGACATGTTGCATGTATTTGTTTCCATTTTAATGATTGTCAATTGCATCTTCATGTTCCCGCATATAAAAATACTTAGGCATTTGGATTTATATGGTTTTGAAGCTAAGATTTAAAGTACACTGCTCAAAAAAATAAAGGGAACACTTAAACAACACAATGTAACTCCAAGTCAATCACACTTCTGTGAAATCAAACTGTCCACTTAGGAAGCAACACTGATTGACAAATTTCACATGCTGTTGTGCAAATAGAATAGACAACAGGTGGAAATTATAGGCAATTAGCAAGACACCCCCAATAAAGGACTGGTTTTGCAGGTGGTGACCACAGACCACTTCTCAGTTCCTATGCTTCCTGGCTGATGTTTTGGTCACTTTTGAATGCTGGCGGTGCTTTCACTCTAGTGGTAGCATGAGACGGAGTCTACAACACACACAAGTGGCTCAGGTAGTGCAGCTCATCCAGGATGGCACATCAATGCGAGCTGTGGCAAGAAGGTTTGCTGTGTCTGTCAGCGTAATGTCCAGAGCATGGAGGCGCTACCAGGAGACAGGCCAGTACATCAGGAGACGTGGAGGAGGCCGTAGGAGGGCAACAACCCAGCAGCAGGACTGCTACCTCCGCCTTTGTGCAAGGAGGAGCACTGCCAGAGCCCTGCAAAATGACCTCCAGCAGGCCACAAATGTGCATGTGTCTGCTCAAACGGTCAGAAACAGACTCCATAAGGGTGGTATGAGGGCCCGACGTCCACAGGTGGGGGTTGTGCTTACAGCCCAACACCGTGCAGGACGTTTGGCATTTGCCAGAGAACACCAAGATTGGCAAATTCGCCACTGGCACCCTGTGCTCTTCACAGATGAAAGCAGGTTCACACTGAGCACATGTGACAGACGTGACAGAGTCTGGAGACGCCGTGGAGAACGTTCTGCTGCCTGCAACATCCTCCAGCATGACCGGTTTGGCGGCCGGTCAGTCATGGTGTGGGGTGGCATTTCTTTGGGGGGCCGCACAGCCCTCCATGTGCTCGCCAGAGGTAGCCTGACTGCCATTAGGTACCGAGATGAGATCCTCAGACCCCTTGTGAGACCATATGCTGGTGCGGTTGGCCCTGGGTTCCTCCTAATGCAAGACAATGCTAGACCTCATGTGGCTGGAGTGTGTCAGCAGTTCCTGCAAGAGGAAGGCATTGATGCTATGGACTGGCCCGCCCTTCCCCAGACCTGAATCCAATTGAGCACATCTGGGACATCATGTCTCGCTCCATCCACCAACGCCACGTTGCACCACAGACTGTCCAGGAGTTGGCGGATGCTTTAGTCCAGGTCTGGGAGGAGATCCCTCAGGAGACCATTCGCCACCTCATCAGGAGCATGCCCAGGCGTTGTAGGGAGGTCATACAGGCACGTGGAGGCCACACACACTACTGAGCCTCATTTTGACTTGTTTTAAGGACATTCCATCAAAGTTGGATCAGCCTGTAGTGTGGTTTTCCACTTTAATTTTGAGGGTGACTCCAAATCCAGACCTCCATGGGTTGATACATTGGATTTCCATTGATAATTTTTGTGTGATTTTGTTGTCAGCACATACAACTATGTAAAGAAAAAGGTATTTAATAAGATTATTTCATTCATTCAGATCTAGGATGTGTTGTTTTAGTGTTCCCTTTATTTTTTATTTTTTCATACAGAAACAGATTGTGCCTTTCTCTAAGCACTAGGAAGCAGATTATTCAGTCAACCTTTTTATCTGTTATTGATTATGGTGATATTATTTATCAAAGTGCAGCTGCTACTACTCTTAACCCTTTGGATGCCATCTACCATCGTGCCCTTCGTTTTGTTACAGGCGACAGTTTTGATACTCATCACTGCATCCTGTATCAAAAGGTTGGCTGGACTTCGCTAAAGACACGTAGATTTCTACATCACTCCCTTTTTGTTTACAAGGCCCTGCTTCATAAACTTACATTTTAGTCATTTAGCAGACGCTCTTATCCAGAGCGACTTACAGTTAGTGAGTGCATACATTTTTC